TTAGGCAACGTCTTTCAGCCATCTATAGGTCTATACTCTATAGCGTAAGGTAGTGTGTACCATACACCTTACCGAAACAGCACGCACACCATCGCACGGAGAGAGGCCCACTCGCACGCACACTGGCACACAGACTCACCTGGACAGGCTTTGTACTTGTCTCTTACCTGTGCTGCCTGGCTGCCTGTGTGCCTCTCATTTGGCGGGAAATCATGGGTCGGCACTCGCAGCCAGCAGGGCAAAAACAAAAACCCGAAAATCAGGTAACTACGCTGCCGGCGTCGCAGTCGGCGCAGCAGGTAAGCGATCGGATCAGCGGCACACCAACGCAAGGCGGCTCACACCGACGAGGTACGAGGTACCTGGGGCAGGTCTTATGTACAATACGAGTGTAGCTGCGCCGACGTCGGCGTCGGACGTCGGACGTCTCAAGAAGCTGATCTGGAGCTCGTTTGTCGCATTTTTACCAAAACTGAATTTAGTTTAGAAGCGTTTGGCGGCGTTGAAGGTGTGTGCTAGAGCAAAAAATCCGGTGCCAGAGCCAAAATCTTGACAAAATCTCAAATCTTTGGAGACCAGAGCCGCACTTGGCTCCTTCCTCGAGAATGCCAGGCCGAGTTAAAACAAACCAGTGCAGTTTCACAGTCAGTTTCACAGTCAGTTTCAGTGCCCGATTCAGTTCGAAATCCACGGAGATCGCGCCACCACCGAATCAACACACAACTCAATTTTTAGCCTCAGTTCGCCGTTTTTCCAACTCCAAGATATCTGGGTATGTCATTTGCATTCGCAGCTGTTTGATATAACCCCACAGGCACACACGCACACACTACACCCATACACACACACTTACAGACAGCCGCGATTATATAGAAGGTACGTATAGTAGATCGTGAGCAAATTCTTTAGACATCCGGCTCTATAAGAGCGACACACGCTTCCAGAATTTTCAATAGCGCTATCGCCATCTACCTCATCTCATATGCACAGACAACTCTTGATTTTCTGGCTTCGGCCTAAGAAAACGTGTTTCGGGGCTGTTCGAAATCGATTTGGTAATCAGTTTCCTATATATGCGCAGATCTGCGATCTAGGCCTAGGCGAGTCTCCACTTTCGGCTCTTTTATAGCTCCAATCAGCGGCGGCATCTCATTCAACCCATTTGAATATGCTGATCCATCGGAACCCCTTTGTCCCGCGAGTTCGCGTGATGTGCGATCTGTTCTTGGAACTGTTTGAGTACGACTTGCGGTCAGCGGCTAGGCGTCAACTCGATCCGAGTGTATCTCTATATTTGGCGTGGACGTTATGTTGATTCTGTAATTCACGTCATCGGCTTAGTCGAGAGATTCGTTCGAGTCGGACGGGGATGTGTTTGCCCAGGGAGACCCATTTCATAGGTGTGCTGACTACAAGTGCAAATTAACCTTAATAGCATATTTGAAGAGATTTCAATAAAGTCTCCCCCGTTGATTTATTACCCATAGAATCAGTAACTAAGTGGATCTTTATACTGCACATTGCTTTCAACTCAAGCTTTGCTTAAACAGTGGGAAATCTCACACTTAGTTTGTAATATGCAGTGCTTTTCATTTAGGATTGGCCGGTTGAAATCCTTTAGAGTGTGCAGAACACGAATCCCCACAAGCACAGCATTTTACTTTTGTATTCGGCTGTGTTCTATCTGAACTGATCCTACAAAAGCAATAATTCAGACTATCCCGAACTAAAGTATCAGAGTGCTGCAATTAATCAATTACTATTGTTTAAAATTCTTTGAAATATATTAAGAATGCAACTGCTGACTTTCCCCGGAAGCAGAGACCTTAGCTAACCAGTATTAGCTTTTCCGAGGCGTTGTGCAAACTGATTGTAGCACCCTCCATTAGGCCAGTTAGCCTTTCATCTGGATCTAGACCTGCGGCCCACAGACTTTGAATGTTTTCGAAAAGTTTCTCGCCTGCCCACCGAGTGGATTCAGTGCCCGTACTACTTGAGCCTACTGCCCCCGGAATGGATCGTAAGTGGCTGGCTGGCTGGCTGGCTACTGTCGTCACACAATATCCATTGCACAATTCGAGGCAGGCGAACAAAATGCTGAAGTGGAGTGGAGTGGAGTGAAGTAAAGTGAAGTAAGACATTCAGAAAATTCGCCTGGCTGGCTGGCTGGCTGGCTGCTTTTCAACATTTTCCGCCGCTTTATGTTTCAGCGATTATTACCAGTGGTGTACAGTGTATAGTGTGGTGTGTGTGTGTGTGTGTGAATCGGGGAGTTGTGGAGTCGAGCGAGGCGCATAATTGTGGGAACTTACGTTACGGAACGCTCGTCTAGCAGGCCGTAGACTGGTGGACTCGTAGACCTGTAGACCTGGCTAAGGCCACTCAGCCGTTCACTTGGCTTACTCACTTACTCACTTACTGACTCGGCCCGGCGCTATAATGCCAATGCAGGTCCGAGCCCAAACCAAACCCAACCCAACCGAACCTATGCCTAAACCCACCACCGCCACTTCAGCCACCCAACGTCTTCGTCTTCGACTTCGACTTGAACGTCGCCTGCGTCTTCCGTCGTTCCAGTTACAGTCACTTGACCAACCGAAACATTGGGAATACTGCGAAGACTACGACTAAGGCGAATATACGACGACGAATGGGAGTAAGAGTGAAATGAGAATAGGACGGACTGAAGACGGGCCCGTTTTGGTGGGCATAATTGTTGATCGTCGTAGCGTGCATATTTATGGGAATATTTCTCCGAGCGGAGCCAAATCATTGCAGCTCCGCACTTCTTCCCATGGCATCGAGGCTCTTTTCTGGTTCTGGTTCTGGACGAACGCGCGCTCGTCCAACTTTGACCTTTTTCCGACCATTATCTCGTTACCCCCTCCCCGATTCCCCGATTCGTTTGTCTATGCAAAATGCATAAAAATTCCACGGAGCATTTCTCAATGCATTCAAAGCGGCTACGCCTGCGCAAAAACTGTAAGAAACAAAACTAAGCCGACGATGACGACAGAAATGTCTGTGTGAAAACAGTCGCAAGTCGCGACTGTTTGTGTGCGTGAGTGGGCGACAAGTCGGAGAAACGAGAAATCGAGTGAATGTCCATGGGGCCACGAACATTTAAAAGAAACAAAATGCTATAAAGAAAAACCCCAAGGCGCGCGACTAATTGAATGGCCAAAAAGTGAAGCGAAAAAGGTCCAACCGAAAAGAGCGTTCATCGAAAATTAACAAAAGAGGAGACCACTACTTTCCTTTCGCTTTCGACAATTGCCAGTGTTACACAATCCCATCCATACAGGGTGCTATGTTGTCTTTGGTTATCTAGCTGTATGAGTGATAAATAACGTCATAAAGCTAGCTTACCGAAGTTAATATTAGCGTCTGTCCAGCGAAACGGCCAAAAAGGAAACCCACGTTGCCTATGCCAAGCCAGCATTAAAAGCCAAATAAACGTACTATTAATATGAGCCCAGGTGTCGGTACACATGCATGTTTATTGTTTGGCAGTTTGCAGTTTGGCTTTATGGCCAGCTGCTTTGGCAAACAAAATACAACCGCGTACTCGAGAGTAAGTTTACTATTAAGTTTTGCGCCATGTCTCTCCATCCCACTTTGTTTTGCCTTGAGTTATAGCAACGACCTTTGCCTGGAGTTATTTCTATTTTTACCTCTGCGAACAGAAACAAGAGGTGGAAAATACGGAGAAGGAGGAACTGACCCCACAAAGCGCACTCAATGACGTTGCTAATGAGCAGCTGGCGGAGTCTGATTCACTGAAATCGATATGAAATATGGCCAGCAGGCACACGGGAATGTGGCAAGCCGAACCAGACACAATGGTCAACCTAATGAGTAAGAAAATTAATTGAAGAGGAAATCCGCAATTTCGACGCGTCGATAATTGATAAAGTGGGAAGAAAATATTTCTCAATTTTTAGTTGTTACTAACAGAGTAATACAGCTTAAGTGCTTTTTACTAACTTAATAATTGATAAGGTGGGAAGAAAATGTATTACAACTTTTGGTTGTTACTAACAAAGTAATACAGCTTAAATACTTTTTACTCACTTGTTCACTTAACAGTAAACCTTTTAGATATATTGATTTAGCTTTCAAAATTAGAAAACAAACCAATAATAAAACTAAATAATTGGTTTACCGTATTTAAGTTAAGCAATGAAATAATCGTTTAGATCAACAGTAATACTACCGATTTTTATTTCATGAAGAGTAACATTAGTTACTCTCTAATTTATTGAATCGAGTGAAACAGAAAAATTGAAGTCTAAGTTTTGGTAAAAATAAAAAACATGTGAAGGCTTAGTTTAGCCTTCGTAATCTCAGTCTCGCTGCCAAGTTGAAGTTCACAGATCTCGGCAACTCATAGGCATATGACTAACGACGACTATGCAAATTAGTTTTAGCCATATGCCCGGTTATCGCTGCCACAAAAAAGAAACAAAAACCCAAAAGGCACAACTCAACATCTGTTCGGGTTGAGGCTAAAAGCTAATCTCTCAGGCGGCTCAAGCGATCACTCATTTTAGCCAGTATACCGGGTGAGCATCCACACTCACGTAGCTCTGGTTAGAATAGATATAGGGGCGATCTCTGGCCTGGCGTCTCATATATAGCCGATGATGTATGGTGGGAATTTCCGTTACTTTTGCCATTCGATTGGTCGCCAACAGATCTCTCCCCCAAGTAAGGTCTAGGCGTTGTCTCCGAGAGAGCAGTTGAAAACAGTAAGACCCCATTGATGTGTTGGCACTCGGGTGGTCCATGAAAACCTTTAAAAATCTTCATTAAATTAAATTTTAATTTGAATATATCCGATCTCCAGTCCAAACGTATCCTAAAAAACAAAAAATGGTTTCTCAGAAAATGATGAACCTGAAATACAAACTACTATCTCGTTAAATTCGTAAATAATATTAGGAATAAGGTCCACCCTTGAGTGCACTTGCCAGATGTGTCGTTAAGAGACAGCCTTCTATGGTGGAAGTAAACAGATTCTTTATTTTATTTATTATTAATCTTTAGCTTTTTCATTCTCATAGACCCGTGGCAGAGTATTTGTTTTTGCTGTTACTCAATTCGAATTACATATCACTAAAAATCAAAACAGAAATGTCATTCGCCTCCTTCGGATATTGTTTGTAACCCGACTTTCTTTTACTTGATAGATTGGTTTTCTTTTAGAATATCGCTACAAGAGTTGGTTTTAGTAACCAAATTGTTGTTTGTCTTCTTGATGTGGTTTTTGTTAATTTTCGATCTAATCATAATCGCATTTGTTGCGCTTTATTCACAACTTCGTTTTGCTAAACAAAAGTCTGTGATTCTGGTTAGTTTCGCTTGTTTTCTTGGGAAATTAGTAGGCAACTTAGAGAGTTAGAAACAAATAGTCAACACTATCATCGTATTCTTCGTCGACATAATAATAATTAGAGTAATCATAATAAATTTATCATACATACATACAAGCTCCATATTTAAGTTGTTTTTTAAGTGTTTACTTGAACTAATTTTAAATGTTTGATTTTTAATTTAGAATTAATTAATATACTTTAAGTTTCTGTTAGAATTTGCTAAGAGTTCAGTTAGTTAATGGTTCAATTCGTTAAAGCCTTTCCTACACACACATATACATTTAAATAGGTTTCCTCGCTAACTTAGTTTCTGGAAGAAAGTTGTAATTTTTTTCATAGATTTTGATTAGTTCATTTTGGAGTATTTCGGAGAGAGGGTGAGAGAATGGCAAACTGAAACCTTTTCGCTATATAATATATTTTGGAAAAAACGAAGTTGTCACAAAAATGCTATCGCGATAGCACAGAGATATTTGCTGATGAGAAACAATTGAGGGACTTGTCGATGAAGATCATACCTAATAAACTACGGACCATTTAAAAAATACACGAATTCGTATTAATATTTTCATAATTTTCTCGTCAATTTGCATTTCTTTGTTCGTTTCCTGGCTACAGAAATCATTTGCTGTTAAAATGTCCTTATTGTGTTCGGTTTTTCTTTTGTTCTTTTGGTTTTTTGGACCCCTGCCCTTTTTCGGTTATACATAGTACATTCTTCAAACTATTTTGCCTTCTATGCTACTTTATGTTCACTTTGTTAAAACATACACAGTAAATTCCTCTAAAATGCTTCGGTTTCTGTTGTTTGCTGTTGTTGTCTTGTCACCTAAATAAAGTAAATAGTGTTGCATATTATTATAATTAATTTTTTTGGTTTTTTCATTAACGGGTCTTCGCTAATCAAATCCGACTTTGCCGACGCAGAATCTGGGTTCGGCACTTTTATTTCATTTGTTACTTGTTTCCTTTTTAATGTGCTCTTTACATTCACACAAACAGAGATGCTTCTATTTGAGTCGGCAATTGTTTACATTTAATTAAATATCTTGTTCGTTAAACTCGAAAATCAGATTTTAGAGATTACGCTTGTATTTCGGCTTATGTTTTCCCTCGGTATTTTCAACATTTTTCTTTGGCGACTACACACACACGACAATGTCTACAAACGAATTCAATTTAGTTTAAAAACTTTTCAAGTTAGACTAAACGTAAACATAAATCATCTCGATCTAGATTGGGATGATGTGGCTGCGTCCGTGGCTGAGGATGTGGATGCGAACCTGCCGTCGACTCAGAAAGAGGCCTCCACCAGGTAGGTGCCGTCCATGGGCTGATTGTTTTGGCTATTTTGAGCATTGCTGGCAGCCGGCATGTATTTGCCGCAGGCCTAAACAGAAACGAGAACGGAGCGGAGAATGCATTAGGGCCTTTACCGTTTCAGGTCAGGTTTCTCATGATAAATGATAGCTTCAGACGGAGTTCCATAGGCCTACAACCAAAAACAGAAGCTTGGAAGGGGACGTGGACAAAAACAGCCTTAGATCAAAAGGTTCGGGCAATCTCAAGTCTACTAAAGTTTGCTTAAGGAAGCTTTCTTACTCGAATGTTTTAAATAAGTTATACAATGTAATTTAATTTAATGTTGTGATAATTATTTTTAAATAATTTTTTAAGTTTAAAAAATATATTACATTTTTTCACCAATACAAGTGCTTTTCAAAACAAATATCTTTAAGTTTAAGGTAGCTCAGTTTCGAATTTAAAATAAGACCATCAAACTGTTTTCTTTAATTTTACCTCACAGTCTACGTGTATTCTACACCAAACATACATTTAAAAAACAAAATGTATAGCATACTTTTTGGTAGTTGTTTAGAAGCAATACATGTAAAACTGTAGATTTCAATAAAAATGTTAGGTTGGCAAAGGCAAAGATTTGGAATCGCAAGATCCGAAAGAGAAGTAGTGATGTAAGCTGCTAAAAGATGACTGTTTCAGCCTTTAAAAAAATAAATTGAACTACATATGAACTACCATCATGATTATATGTAAGAGAAGTGAGAAAATGAGCGCCTAAAGCTTTTAGCCTGAGATGCTTTCGGATGTTAGCCTTGAGGATGCATTAGAACTTCTGAAGGTACGATGTGGGAATATACAAAATACAATACCAACAGAGATAACAAAGTCAAACCACACACAAACGGAATATGTATAAAGAGGGAGAGAGAGGGTTACGGAACAGAAGGAACTTGGACCCACCTGCAACGCACTAGACCCCCTCGAGTGCCGGAAAATGGTTGACTATCACCCACTTTCCGCGAATGGGCGGGTCCTCTACTCTATTTACAGGGTTCGTTCGGGCATATAGCTTACCTGGTAGCGCTGGGAGCAGCAGCGGCCGCAGCAGGATTGCAGCAGACCGGCGGCACTGTTTGTCGAGTGGGCCGGACTGGCCATCGGCGACGGAGAACCCGGCCGCTTGGGCTGGCCGTTATACGGAATTTCTAACTCGACAAATTCTCGATCCTGCGGTATTTGAGCATTGAGAGGTACAGCCAGAGAAGAATTTTACAAAGAGAAACGAAGAATACATAGAGTACAATGTTTTTCCTTTTTTTTTTTTAACAATTTTACAAATATAAAAGTTTGGGGAGGGTGGGGGTTTTTACACACACAAAACACAGGATCGGGTTGGGTACATATGCATAAACAAATACTTAGAGCGACAGGGAAGAGGAAAGAGCGAGCGTTTTTGGCCCATTCGAGTTAAAACATCAATTAAAACATTAAGCTGGTCTATAAGAAGGTGGGACAAGTTAAAAACATTTGAACGCTACGTTTTATTAATAGGAAACGGGTGATTTTTTCATCATTTTTGCGGCTCCTAAGCAATGACAATTATACAAAAACACTATGAGAAGAATTTTTATATTGAAACAGCCAAGGGGAAGGGTTAAGGGGCGGGGCAGCGGCGGGCGGGCGGTTGATCATTTAGCGGAACGAGAGCGGTAAATGCAGGGCGGAACGCTGGGCGGGGCGGGGCGGGGCGGGTCAGAGCGGTAAGAGTGGGAAGCAAGCGCCAGCGAGCGACATTCGAGTGCGACTTTTGGTTTAAAGGCGGCTACTTTAATGGTCGCTTGGAACCGATTCTCGATTTGTGGCCATCCGGGGTTTTATTGATTTGTGGTTTTAAATGGACATTTTATGAGCTCATCAAGTGGGAAAGCTTATTGTTTTCGCTTTCTGTTTTCTAGTCGCAAACATAAAAAGGGTTTATTAAAGCCGTTAATGATAGCCTTCCTCCGTTTAGACCTAAAAGTCTTGTTATGGTGTCTTCAAAATTTTTAGTCGAGTTATTTCATGAAAACTATAAAAAAATAACAACAAAATTGGTGGATTTCAAAACAATTGTTCAGTACTTTTTAGATTTAATAGGTAGACAGATTTAAATATTTCTTTCCTTTGATTCTATTTTAGTTTGTTGAACAAAAAGAAATCTTTAAAAGTCACTGCTGATATAGTATTTTTAAGCGAATAAAAATAAGCCCGTTCAAATGGTACGCCATTAAATTGAATGGCAATGGGAATTTACTCTTTATAAATCAGGAATTATAAATTGTACGCCTTAATGATCTTTTTATATCCACTTTAGTGATTTTGCATAGTTCCCGAAGACGCCTCCCTCACTTGATGAGCCTCCGCTTTTTAAATTGTTTAGATTCTGATATTTTGGATTTTTATTTTCGTTTTGGGTTTTATGTTGACAGCAATCGATTGCATATGGCTAAATGGACGTTTCGAAAATTTCTTGATAGCATGTGGGGGAGCATTCGCATATCGTTCGATCCAATACTGCTCGGTAATGACCTATTCGGGGTACTTAAAACAGAACAGAGCGCATAGCATTCAACACGAATCGGTTTCTTTCAACAAAGAGTATTGAAAATCAACAAAAAACAACAGACAATCAACAAAAAATAAGAAAAAAAAAAAATAAAAAATGAAAATTGGAAATCATAAAAATTAATTGCAACGCGTAAACATGAACGAGATAAATAGATAGAGAGATACAGAGAGTTAGAGAGAGAGGGATATAGAAAGATTTGAGAAAGAACGGAACTTAAATACAAACCGAAAGCACTTACTTTTGCGAATTTATATTCGTTTTTCAGAGCATAGACACGATTTTCATTGCTTTTTATTTCTATGTTTTTATATTTGCTTGATTTCAAAGCCAGTTCGGCTTCAGATCGTGTGAAAAACATGACACAAATGGTGAACTTAGAACGTACAACTTAGGACGTAATACAACAGATCCGACACACACACATAAAAGACCATAATGTACAGAAAAAATATAATACGAAAATAAGAACAGGATTCCAGAGGGAAAACTAAAACTGGTTAACAAAAAATGCACATACAAAAGATGCTGAATATTCGCGTTTCAGTTCAGTTTCTTTTTCTCTTGGGTTTAAGCGATATTCGATTTTGGTTTTGATTTTGATTTTGATTTGGTTTAACGAGAAGACGCAACAGTTGTGGAAGGCTCGACAAGAAGTCCTTCCTCTCGCCATTGGCTGCCGTCGACGCTACTTTGGCTGGGGGTGTCGCCCTCGTGGTGGCCGTTGTCATTGCTTGGCTAACGAGCCTGCGGCAAACCTTACAATTTCTGACTACAACTGAGGTGTTCAAATGTTGCTACATCTGTCACGGAGTAAAAACGAAAGGTGTATAGAGAGAGAGAGTGTGTGAGGTAAATCATAAGTCGAAATCATAAGTTCAAACACTGAGCGCGCAGTCGAGTGGCACAAATACGTATATCACATGTATAGTATAGTATAGCATATAGATAGAGAGATACAGATACAGATACAGATAGCTGCGAAGCGAAGGACACACTGCCCCGCACGTCGCGTATACGCACCGTTGTCTTCTCCAGACAGCGCAGCAAGTGATGGTGCTGCAGCTCGAAGATGTCCTCGTCCCGGTAGTTGTCATCCAGCTCGATGCCAGACTCCTGGGCAGCCCACCGGGCCTCGGCGGCCTTCTTCTTGCTGACAAAGGCGGCTCCGGACGAGGCCTTGGCAATGCGGATGCGCGCCAGGCGAGCTTTCTGCAAGGCCACAACACGTAATGAGAAATGGTGGGTGGTGCGAGGGGGTTTGGGTGTTTACAAAAAAGGATTAAGGATACAGCTGGCAGAAATGCAATTATAGTAAAACATATTCGGTTCTTGATATATCCCGGGACTTTTCTAAGACACATTTAAGCACAAGCTTAGATAGATTCGGAACAAATAAGGGTTTTTGATTTTGATTAAATTTAGATCTAATTACTGAAAAAATAAACAACCCTTGAAGATAGAAAATTATATTTACTGCTTTAATTTGATGAATAAATTTACAGAACTGGAGAATGGATCAAACCCCATTCTTTTATTATTAAAATTCCTTTATTACTTTATTCACAAAAATGCTTGATTTTTCTTAGCAATCCCAATCTTGGAGCAAATAATAAGAACTTACCCGCTGCGCCTTGCGCTTGTCCGCTCGCTGGTTCTGGTGATAGATTCTACTAAAGTTCGATACGATAACAGGTACAGGTAAGGCGATGACCAGCACACCGCTGAGCGAGCAGACGCCGCCCACAATTTTGCCAGCTATTGTCTCCGGCACCATGTCGCCATATCTGCACAGGAATAAAAGATTGCATCATTAATATGGAAACAGTTATGTTCAGGGGTGATGCATAAATTCACGCAACTAGGGGTGACGATATAGCTATCCCAAAACCAAGATGGAATTTTATATACATACGAGTATATTGAAAAGAATCAATGAGTTTAAATTTAAGAATGATGGAAAATAAATACATTTTCAAAACGTGGCTTTGCAATAACATATTTAAAATTGACTACTACGCTATCAACTATAATGTGCAAAATATCTCAAACATATTTCCCACTCAAGCTAATCTAACTTAGAAACTTAAGTACTACAACCTTTATGCTATTATTTCACGTTAAACTCACCCCAGCGTCGTCATTGTGACGATGGTGTACCAGAAGGCCGCCGGAATCGACGTGAAGTTGGTGCCGTTGACGTTCTTCTCGGCGTAGAACATGACGGTGGCGAAGATGATGATGGCCATGGCCAGCGAGAAGACGAGGAAGCCCAGCTCGCTGGCGCAGGACTTGAGCGTGTAGCCGAGGATCCGCAGTCCCTGCGAGTGGCGGGAGAACTTGAAGATGCGGAAGACGCGGAACACGCGGAGCGTCACGAAGGCGCCGCTGACGTCGTCGTTGTCGGTGATGCCCAGTCCGATGTAGTAGGGCATGATGGCCACCACGTCGATGATGCTCATCACTGAGCGCACGAACTTGCAGCGGTCGGGGGCGGCGAACAGTCGGAGGAGGTACTCCGCCGTGAAGATCATCACGCAGGCGGTGTCCAGGCAGAAGAAGACGATCTTGTAGCGCTCGCCGCAGGGCAGGGTTCCGGCCCGACCTGGTCGATGGCCGCAGGGCACCGTCTCCACCACGTTGGCCATCACGGAGACGGCGATGAAGAAGCCCGTCACGTAGTAGAACACCAGGGCGCTCGTCGACGTGTGCGGGTTCTCGAAGGCCCGCCACATCTTCTGGCGCATGTTGGTCAGCTGCTGCAGGTTCTGATCCCCGTTCTCCGACAGCTTGTCGTCCATCAGCCGCTCGGCGTTCTCCCGCTTCCGGTCCCTGTAGTCCTCGTAGCAGCAGTCCCCAATTACGTCCGGCATGATCCCGAAGAAGGCCAGCTCCTCGTCGTAGCTGGTGAGGCATTCGTGCTTCGGGTAGTGCAGCTTGCCCGTCCGGTAGTAGTTCAGTATGTGCCGGAAGATGTCCGGGTCCCGGTCGAAGAAGTACTCTTTGCAGTCCTCGTCGTAGAAGAACTCTCTTTCGTTCGAGCCTGCAAGGGAGGTGGTCGCCATTTTATTCGCTTGGATATGTTAAATATAATATAATATAATTGTTGAGTTTATTTCTGGAGGATAGGAAATTCTTCAGAAATCTATTTAGAAATCTATCTTTAATAAGAAAGTTTGATCTGCGGAACACAAATGTGCTACGATTATAAGTTGCTTCAATGACAACTCGTTCTGCGGAGAAGTTTATTTGACCGAAAGCTTTTATTGCCATTTTAGTGCTTCTCGGTGCTAAGAGAACATTTTTCAAAATCATAATTTATTTTAAAAGCTAACAGACACCAGAGAAGTATCTTTATTTTATCATCAACGTATTTACAGTGTTCAGATTATGTATAAAATACAATTCAAAAAATAAAATACATATAAAATAAACTCTATATCATGCTTTAATCTATCTAATCTATTAATCAGTTTGAATATAAACAATCTTACTGTATGAATATTTAACAAATCGGATCATTCTTAAAAAATCTTTCCATATACAGTCGAGTCCCGATAATTCGAAATGACAAGGGGATCACTTTTTTTACGAACTTGACGGGAATTCGATTTATCGAGATTTTTTTCAAGAGATTTTTTTTCAAGGGAACAGAATTTTTTACGAATTATTTTCGATTTTCGATTTAGCGGGGTACGAATTATCGGGATTCGACTGTAAGTATGTACAATAGAATATCTTCTGCCTACATGTGCATACTACGCCGACGAATATGCAGTACTTTTTGAACTGTCTGGCGGGTGGTGGGTCAAGTGACTTATTGATTATATACTTTTTTATTGAATAATGCGATTTATCCTTTTACTTATCAATAAATTGAATCATAATCTCTTAAACAAAAATACCTAAGTTCAAGGCACATACCTAAGAGAGTATCGGGATATTTCTCCAAGGTGTTCCGCCACGTCTCGAAGCGACGGCCGGAGACGTTGATGAGGAGCTTCTCGTCGTCCGTCTTGCGGCGGTCCTTGGGCATCGGGGGCGGTGGCAGTGGGTGGGTGGCTATCGGCACCCACCCGATGGCCGCCGCCCGGGCGAAGGGCAGCCAAGCGGCGACCGAGGCCATGCTATGGGGTGGAATGTTTCAGTGTCCCGGCTGACCGTTGGGCTCTCCTGTCCTCCGGTCCTCGCTGCGATCCTCCCTTGCTCGGCTCGATCCCTATGTTATTTGGCAGTTGGTTGGGGCTTCTGGGCGCACTTCTGGGGCGGGGAGTCCGCTGATTAACTCCTATTTAAAGCTCTGGTCCGCTGCCCGTCCTTATTGTGCTGTTGCGAATGCATGTCTGCAACTTTTGGCTAGCTGTGTTTTATTGCTTAAACTTATTGCTGTCATTTTGCTGTGGCTGCTGCGGCTCTTGCTTTTATTGTTCACTGCGGAGATATGAAAAGTTTCCCCTGCACTCCAGTTGCGTCGACGTGCAGCACTGCAAGAAAGTGCAAAAGTTGCCAGAGCTGTAGTGAAAGTTTTCGGGGGGGAAAAGCGCCGGCTATAAGAGTTTTAATTCCACGAAAAGTTTTCGAGACACGTTCGCATTCACACACACTCAGTACTATAAAAAGTGCAGTTTAACATTAAAGTTTGGACTCAAGTACGAAATATTTTTGATGATCTTGTATGTTTGTTAACATTGTTTTTAGCTAACTAAAGGGTAGACTACATTAGGTATTTGTTTAAGATGTTAAAAAATCTTCTCACACATAAGAAACATCAGTTTATTTGAAGAATAATGGAAAAATCCTACAAAAGTACGTGTACAGACTAAGAACTCGTAAAATTTATTTTCAGACTGCATTCGCACAAAATTCTTTTTAACTTTAAATGTTATGGCAAATATTTTGCAAATTTTTTAAACAAATACCTTGATACCCCCGCAAATTCCCAAAGACCATGTGAACAGTATTCCGCTTAGGATTGGCTCATTCGAACTAACAACACCCACATTTAATTTAAATGCAAGCAATTGTTTGAAATTCACTTCAATCGAATTCTAAAGTTTATGGGGAATCCCAAATACTATTGTCTTCCCGCCCCCGTCCGGTGGATTTTCCGACTTTCCCAAAGCATAAATATTATCATAAATCTGAGGGAACGACCCGCTAGCACAAACTACACTCGCCCATCGACCCACTCTCCAATTTCTCGCTTCAGTTGTTTATATTATCAATTTATCCCCCGCCCTCCTCGACGCTTCTGCACATATAAAATGATTCACAGCGGCAGCAATCGACAGACAACGCCATTCAATGCGTTTTCGAGCAGCGCTCTGTCTAAATATTTAAACGAGCCAAACAGAACCGGGCCACTGGAGCGCAGTGGAGGGATGTTGTATATGGTAGTATGCCCCGTGGGTCCAGCAGCTGAGACCATTTTAATGGTTCAAACCAGCGGAGTGAACGACCATCGGACGGTCTTCCATCTGTCCGTGTCTGGATGGTTCTGGTTTTGGTTCTCCCAGTTCTGGCTCAGGAAAGTACAGAGGGAGAAAGGGTAATCAGAACAATTTTATAGTAGGCATTTGGAAGACTAAAGTTTTCCATTAACAATATGTTTTCTAACGCTTTTGAGCCTTAATAACATTGCCATAGCTTCATAAACTGTTTTTTGGAATGCATCGTAATGCAAGTTATGTTTTTTTGAGCACCATTAACAAACATAATTAATAAAGGAAAAAATGTTGTCATAAAGAAAGAAATGAAATTGATAATAGAATGTTTAGTGATCTGAAGAATATTGGGTTTAAAAAAACATAGCAAAGATTCAATAGTAAATACAAACATGAAATACTAATAGACATTCAAGAGAAGGGAATTCGGAAGTGGGAAGTAAAAGATTTCCTTTTATTTCTAGATTGTACGAAATTTGCTATTAACGAGCAACATTTTCCTCAGTGTATGGGATGCGTGGGTGTCTTTGCGTGGCTTTGTTGCCTGGTCTTGCCAGTCGCACAACAAATTTATGTGCATTTCTACAGACTGTAAACACCCTGCAAATCTTACTTAGGCCACAAGTCATTTTCCAAACAACAATTAGAACGCAAAAAGTTTTTGTGTCCGTCCTTCGGCCTTCGGACCACCCCGCCCCTCGGCCAGCAGCCACCCACCCAGCTGGGAACTGTGACAAAAAGTCATTTGTTTCCATAAATGTCATGCCTTGGCATGGCTCTTGAAGTCTATATAATGTGTGTCTTTGATTTATATAATATTTATGGCTTTGTCTCTAGTTGTGTCACGATTGTTATTCCATTGCTCAGATAGTCTGGCTAAGAGCACATCGATTGCACTGCCAGAAACTGCTACTCAACTTGCTGGGCAGCGCCACCTGCCAAGTTCCCGAGGGGTCATGCACTCAGAAAAAATAGTTAAAGCTATAGAAACCTAAGAGGATTTTCTACTTATAAATATCCGAGAAACATGCAGATAAGCTTTTGATAAATATTAAACCTTCTGTAGTTTTTGCAGATGATGTTTGAACCGATTATATCTGAATGGAAAATTATTGGGAATTGGATACAAAGTGTAAAAGTTTTTTTGACGTGTCTACACGCCTTGAAGGGGTTTCCTTTCAAGAGGTGAAACAAGGTGTTCTGGGGTGAAGTGGATGTGCGTTTGTCATTCGGCGTTGCCATAACAATAGCCATTAGTAGTTATTAGTTCGCTGAATGGAAACCACTAAGACACGACACGGTCACAAAAAGGTTGTCGATAGTTGAAGGCTAAGGTTTGCCAAGGTTAGCTCAGGGGATAGATATTCGGGACGGGGTTCGCCTTATTTTATTAATACATGCAATAGGAGTATTACGGTACCAGTTTGATTGATGACTTTTACGGTTTTTTTAATAATACGAGTACATATGAAATCTATTGATAAACTAATGTTGGATATACTTCGAAATATATTTCTTGCCTCATTAAAAGATTGCCAGGACTCTGATCTCAATAGCAATTGTGGGTCTAAAAGGAGTTTATAGACCGCCCTCGAAAGGCAAATTCAAACAATTTCATAAAAGTTCAGTTTACATCAGAAGTAAGCTCAGTTTTCCCTGCACATAATATCACATATTATACAAACACATTTCGCGTCCATTAAGCGCTGAGAAGTCAAACAAGCCGACAGATTCAACCTGGCACTCCCTGCAATATCCATATTCCACCCACATCCCACAAACCCCAAGCACTATTCGAATCCAGACAATGGGCGTTAATGTTTTAATGCCACATTATCCTATCAACAATTTTCCGTTATAGATTGACGTTCAACGTGTTCAGTGATGTACAGAGAAAAAAATATAACTTTAATGTATAATCTGAGGGACAATAGTCGAATTTAGGGAAACAAAAAGTGTGATTCTATTCGTTTTGATGGGCTTTGTTTAGCCAACAACTTTAAAAAATGATTACCATACAGCCTTGCTATCGATCGAAAAATGTTTATACCTTCGCTAGGATAAAGAGAAAGTGATAAACACATTGAAAACATAGACTTCATCAATAAAATTTTAAATCTTTTTAAAATGTATCCAATAAATATTTACCCTATTGATTTTTTTATTAAAAAATTATTTTTTGTATTTTTTCCTCTCTGTATTCATAGTCGTTGACCTTGCTTTTGTCGTTTGCTGCGGACGAAATGGAAATTAATCAATGCCGTTTGCTTTGCTCTCCTGACCCACCCGCACATCAAACACCACCCACCAACACACACCACACAGCACACACCAACCACCACCCACCACCCACCGCCCACTGCCCACTGCTGACGTTGATGTTGATGTCTGGGTGTCGTTAGGCAATCCAAGGAGAACTTCAACATCACCATCAGGATCAACGTGTTCGGTGCGTGGTGGGTGCCATCAAAATAAATTGTCAAACGGCAAACGAGGGGACAAGGTCGGGAAGTGGGCGGTGACCCGTCCAGCTGTCCAATGAAAAACACCTTGGCGCCAAACGGGGCTGCGAATGTGACTTCCGCTTGGCTCCAAAACAAAGGCGCCACATGTCCCTATTATAATTTTTTCGTCCGCTCGGGGCTTTCATTAATTATTTGCATAGTTTATTTTAGTTTAGCGTGGCGAGGGGGCTGCCTAATTATTTGCCATTTAGTTGGCTGCTTTCAGTTACATTTCGTCTCAAGGTTTCAGTTTGTAGGTAGGTGGGAAGAACCCCCGAAAAACCGAAAAAAGCAGCGACAACAAAGCCCCTACGCTTCGTCACATCGAAGGAGATCCATCCATCTGTCCATCCATCCACACCATGTTCGCCTCGAACAGCATTGTATGATTTTTTTCGGTTGCCATTCGAGTGGGAGTGTTCGGACTTGATTTTGGAGACGCTGACTGGCATTATAAACATTTCAATCAACAAATTTTGGAATTGCTATGAATGAAAAGGTGAGCGGAATGAGCCCGCAGTCGCATTTAATTAATCAATTCATTTCGTAGAAAGAACTTCTTTGTTTAAAAGTTAAACTTAAATCAAATAACGATATCTTTGTATACATATGCAAACAAAATTATTCGTTTGATATGGTTAGACTTCCAATACTTTTAAGGAACAAAAATAAAAATATAAAATATATAAATAATTAAGTTAATAATAAAAATAACATGTTAATATATAACATTAAAAAGCTTTGTATAAATGCAGATATTAAAAAATATATCTAATTCTTTTGAATATAAATAAATTGAGGAAAGACACAAAGTTGGTTTGCTATATAACCTTGCATTCAGAATAAATATATCATATTTATCTGACCTTCAGCAAAGAAATAACCATATCTATTTACACCTCGAAGCCGACATAATCATTATCTATTAATGTTGCTTTCAGGGCATATCAATTTCGCCGCCATCTCATTCGTTTTTTTCTCTCTTGTTTGCGTTTCCTGACGGCCTGTTTTTTAATGTTTTTGTTTTTGTTTATTATAAAGTACAAACGGGCAGAGCAGACCACCCACTCGGCCCCCGTTACTGTGCCATTCAATTTGGAGCCCCAAAATGCTAGTTAGGCATTAATGTACGAAGCACACGAGAAATCTACGGAAATCCTGCGAATTTTCCTCTGCGGCCATTGCGTGGGCCTGCGTTATTATGACGGCCCGACTTCGACTTTCTCTTTTTAGCCATCTCAAAGCGGAAGCAATTTGGCGAAAAAAAGAGGAGAAAAATTCGCCAGTTTGAAGCCAATTGCAACTTTGAGAACAATGCGAAACGAAAAAATGGAAGCGTTTCCAGATCATAAACGAAATTTTATGGCCTGAGCCATTTCAATTTTGTATTTTTATTGACAATAAGTTAACAATGTTTACTTTTAGTTGTGTGTTGTTGGGTTATTTTTAAACAATCACAACAACCTCCTAACCAGACCAAAAATACCCAGCGTTTTCCCAACTGTTCGAGTTTCCTTCGTTTCCCCGCGTTGCCTTTCCTTTGTTTACAAGTAGTTTTTTTTCTGATTTTTAATTTTGTTTCATCGGTTTAATGAAAAATGAGAAATATGTACTATTGAGCGGACAGAGATGCCGAAGAAGCAGAGAATGAGAGTGGGAGAGAGAGAGAGGGAGAGAGGGAGAGAGTCACACATTCTCTGCGCCTGCTCATAGGACCCTTGGGGGCTGGTCTGGGCTTTGGATATGGGTTCCGGGTCTGGGGTTCGGGTTCGGCTTGGGATCGGATTGGGATTGGTTCGGATTCGCCCTTGCCCTCGCCTTCGCCATCGCCTTCGCCGTGGGGCCAACATCAAAAAACATTTCGCCATTTGTCTCTGGGCCTTATGAACATTTTATAATTTTCCTTGTACTTTTTACTTTGCTCATGAGGCTGCTGCTACGCTTAAGTAGAGGCTTATGTATCCTCCCACTAAGAACCCAATTGAAGGTGTCCCTCGAATAAGGTGTCTATTTGGCAAGCTTTTCAAAGAAACTAATTTGGTTTATTGCCGCCTTTTGCTTGATGGAAATTAATGCGGCTTTACACACTATTTATTCCCAATCACCGGAGCTCTATAAATATCTCTGTTGCATTATTGATCCGTGCATATAGGAGCATGCATTTTGGGTCAGCATATTAATGTTTACCTGCTTACTATATTGGTATTAAAAAGACTAATTTGTTAAGAATTTTCTCTGTTTTTAATTTACTAAAAATTTTTTGCGTTCTGGTATAAACACTGCAATAAAAACCCACGTTGCCTGTTTTATTACATTATTTTTGAATAACAAATACTGAGCAATGAATTGGGTGATTATTATGGTTATTACTAACAATTTTACACATCATAAATATTTTAGTGCTCAAAGCCTAAGGAATAAAATAAATGAAATGTGAAACGGATATATCGGAGAATATGCAAACAAGTCAATTTAATATGGACTTTTACAAAAGTAAAGTCAATAACTTTACAAATATTTTCACCATCAACTTAATTTTAAATTGAACCATAAAATACGCTTTATCTGCCGTAAATCCGCACAACAACTTTCAATAAATGCATGTAATTATTCGGCCAATTGATGCATGGCCAATTAAAATCCCCTCAATCTGGAAATTAAATAAAATTAATTCGCCAATATTTATTTGCTTTGGCAAAAAAAAAAAATTGGCCAGCTTTTCAGAGGCATTCGCATATTAATTTCGTGGAGCCGCAACACACTGCGTATGCTTATTATTAATTTAACATTGCCCATACGTCATGTTGCGCCAGAGAACAATACAAGAAAGGGCCGAGTGCGCCCACAACAATTCGATTACAAGTTGATTAATTATTTAAATTGCGTGTACGAAAACAAATATTCGAAACAACAATCAAATGGGAATGCTGTGAAAGCGGTTAAACAAGAGTTTCTTGAAAGAGTTCTTCAGTTTGGAAGGTAAACAAAGGACGGGGGTTCAATTTCCTTAATATTTATAACAAAAATGTCTATTATTTCTCTACATATTTTACGATAAGTAAAAACTTAAACTTTTTTTTTGGAAGATGTAACCCAAGATTACGAAAGTGACATGATATTATTGACTCTTGGTACATAAATATGTAAATAAAAAAGGGAGTAATTTTATTTTTATAAAATTATAACCCACAACATCATTTTATGTTTTATTATACATTTTTCCCAATTTTGTAACTTAAACTAGATTTTTTTAAGTGTCGCAGGACTTTTATTGCATAATAATAAAGATGTTGAGAGCTGGGATGTTGAGAACATCTAGTTGGAGAGTTTCGTTCGTTCACTGTTCAAATTAATTGCAAAACTCATAAAAAACTTTATAGAGTCGTGCTTATCAGTTGGCCAGCATCGTCGGATGAAACGGCTGCAGTCCACCGAATCCACCACCCCCCGAAAAACTTTTGGCCCGTGGCCCTGACAAGCAGAAAATCAGGAGCGGATCAGGGATGTGAGGGGATGCGGGGGCGTCCTGCGGACGTGCAAGTGACCCAGAGAACGAAATCCTAGGCCGCAGAGAACGGATGGGTGGTTCGGGTAACAAACGGTGGAATGTGGAATGGTGGCTACGGCCAATGGCGTAATTTATGTAGGCCCGCTAAGCCTTTCCATGCGTAAAATGTGATTATATCTGCGTATACAACTGTGACCACGTACGGGATGGTGTATTATACTTTTTTGGGATCCGTGGATGATATAGTGTCCCCTACACCCCAGGAGTACTAACATAAATAAAAAAAATTTAAATCGTACAAAGAAAAATTTTATTCCAGGTGCATACTGTTTTATAATATCTTCTTGTATTATTTATATATTGTAAATTCCACCCTATTGGTATGTTTAATGATTTAAAAATTCCATTTTTATGTAATTTGTTTTTCCAAGCAGAGGTAATATGGCTATACTGACTGGGCAAAAAGAGGTTATTTTAGATCTTAAACCAAGATGAAATCACAAAAACCTCAGTGAGGTGCCCACGTGCATTACATTTTAATGGAATTGTCATTCTTATCCCATGATAACAAAACAACAACTGCAGGATGCGCTGCGACTGCACTGCTACTGCGCTGCTTTGGCTGCATTAAACGCGTCATCACAGAAGCACACGCACGCACTCCTACACACGCACAGGCAAAGACTGTGTGTGTGCATCGGAGATGCTTGTATTAGTGCGGCTTTGTTGTTGCGCCAAAAACCAAGCCAAGGATTTTTCGCACATTTTAGCCATCAAATGGACTGTTTCTAATGCACTGAAGAAAAATATGTGATTCGAACTCATCGTTGAATTTTATTTTTTACTAATTTACTGAACTATGGTAACAGAAAATTCTACTAGCTAACCTGATTTCAATTAAATGCAATGGAGAAGAGAAAGAGAATATTTATTTCAGAAAAAGGACAGAAACAGACGAAATCTTTTTGAAGATTCTGGTTAATTTGATCTTTACTAAAAGAAATCAGTAAAGATAATAGCCATAACTAAATTATTAGTAATCAGTAACCAATTCAAAAATGGTCCAGCAGGCTATTGTTACTAAAAATTAAAGCCCAACCAACCCTCTACAAATTTAAAATTCTTCCTTGTTTTTATACAATTTTTAAGATTTTAAAGCTTTGTCTGGCAAAATTTGTATTTTTCTTAATATTGTAGTTTGTTAAATATTATATGTAGAAATCCCATGTTTTTGACAGTGTCCTGTTGCTCCTTTCTGCCTCATTCTCTCTTTCTCTCCTACAGACGACCTTCACTTTCATACGGCCGACCGTTATATATTTTGTTTGCTCAACGCTTTTTAACATGTTACATTTTTATTCGTTGGCCTCCTACTGGATAAATTAATATCATGAGTGGAATGGTTAAGGGGCAGTGTGGGGATTGCTCTAAATAGGCCAACAATGCAAGAAGAACTACTTGTTGTTGTGATGCATGCATTTTATGAGGAGCAATTAAAAAACATTTTTTTATGCGCTAACTATTTAGCAAGGACATGAGCGGTTAAAACTGGATGCGAGTTTTCTGTTCTATTCCTAGTTTTTCTCTGTTATTTTTTACGGCTGTTGTTGTTGCAGAGAGAACGACCGCAACAACAAAAGCAACAACAGTAACATTCGCGGATACACACATTTTCACAAATCAAAAAAGCAAACGAATATTGCCGCACACACTCACAGCAACACACTCCCACACACACACACGGACAAGAGAGACAGACAGGGAAAATCTCTCTTTTTTTATGGATTTTCTGGGCAGGCAATCTGCTTTCGCTGATGTTTGATTAAACAATTGCTTGATATTTTTTCAATACTTTAGTTGACTTTCTCCCTTTATCTGTCCGCAATTCTCTGGGAAATCATCGAAATTATTTACACATACATACGCACTCTTTTCGGATTATTACATTTTACACTTGTCGCCTCCTGAACTTTTCCCACCTCCACCACCTTCTTCTTCCGTTAGCCGCACATTTTACGCACTATTTCGTGTACATTTTCTTCGCTTTCGTTTCGGGAAATTCTTTTCTGGCCTTTTCCTTTTTAAAACTAATATTTTTATTTTCCCAGCTTTTTCCTGCACGCACGATGGCCACAAAAAACTTGGCCCAAGCTGCGTCCCGCTATTTGCTCCGCTCAACTTTTTTGGAGGCGTTCAGACAAACAGTTCTCGACAAACTGAAAGTGAAAAGCAAAAAGCACCAGCGCCTCCGACCATCGGAGCCCGAGTCCAAATCCGAACCAGAATCCGGGGCAGCACCAAAATACTCACGGAGTCGGCGCACTTTATAGAGCAAGTGGTGGCTACAGAATCGGAACAGATGTTGATGTTGCCTTTCGAATCGGCAGGCAGAAGACCTGAATGAATTAATATATAAAATGTATTGATAGTTACTTGAATGTCTTTAAATTCCTATCAAATTTTCCGAACTTGCGAGATCGGCATCGTAAATACGCACAGTTCTACGGAACTACAAAGTTTATTGCCTTCTAGTCTGCTTGTATTTTAATATTAAATAATAATAGTCTGCTTGTATTTTAATAATAAAAATTTAAGTATCATGTTATCGGCAAAATCGTTAGTATAACTAAAGAAGAAAGGCTTCAAATTTAGGAAAGAAAGCAAATTGTGGAGAAAGAGCTTCGATGTTAAAAAAAAATAAAAGTTGCAGTAGTACGAACTTATTTCATAAGAATCGGACAAATTGGTGCCATGATGCAAAAATTAGAATTTTAATAAAAAAAATATTTCCTTACTTCAGCGTTTCGGACAAAGTCGTTTAATACAGTAAACTATACGGTACATTAAAAAATGTGTGCACTTATATTAATTGCTTTGATGTATAAACTCGGATTTAAAAATATTATATTTTATAAATACCTTAAGGTGAATAAATTTCCATACTGATTTTGACCTAATAGCAAGGTCTTACAATACAGCTTAACTTACAATACAGCTGCTAAAAAAGTTTTCACAAAAAATATTTTTTAATACAACTATCTTTGAGTTAACAAATTTTTGTGTACATGCTTTGAAAGAATTGTTCTAAGTCGACGTGCCACTTTAGGAATTGGCGTGATACCGTGATTAATTCCAAAAAACATATTCTAATCGGAATTTAAACGAAAACGGCCAATGTGTTTTCAACAGGGTTGTGCTTTCCTATTTGGCAGCCGAGGCAGCTGCTTCGCCCTCCCTTTGTTCCTGAAATTGCTTGTGCCACTCAAGATTACTCTTGGTAACGGACTCTCCTCGCTTGGCGGCCTGTTTGCCACTATAAACCATTATGGCACAACCGACGATAGTAAATAACATCATTACGTTGGCCAAACGGATGCGCATCTTGTTTCGACAACGCTCCATGACATCCTGACTGTAAAACATTTACAATAGTAAGAATCATGGACCTGTTGCACTACATGACTACCCCAACTTACCTCACAAAATTTGGAACTTCTGCCGGCGACTTGTATTTACCGGTCCACACCAACATGCGGCGCTCCAAATTGTTGGGCTCGTGGTTTTTAATCGTCTCCCTAAGAACCTTACTAGTCCCAAAGGAACGCCGCACCAGTGCTCCAATTAAAGCGGTTTTGCCGAGCATGCTTGAAAATTGTTTTTAAGATAACTGATGAAAGAACTGGAATTTTATGCAATTCGTTTAGTGTTGTGAAAAGACAAGAAAATTATTCCCAATCAAAAAACAACAGCATAAACAACATTGGTTGGAAACTTAGCTGGTCCCACCAAACCCATAAGAAAACAACATCAATTTTTGGCCCTAATGTTCGATTCCCACAAGACACCGTCCGTTATACCATCCGTTGCTGTGAAAACAGATCATTATTGCAAAACTACAAATAATCTCATACGAAGTTTTTTAGAGCAATAAGAAAAATTAGCTAGTTGCCAAAACCATTTGCATGTCCTACCCGATAGATTCGCTACAAAGCAAACCTACGAGGGATGCTACCTTACACCGTCAGTTAAGAAAGACACTACAAAAGCAGAACTTAGTTCCAGAAAAATCTAGGTGCTCTGTGAGGAACAATAGGTCGATCCTATTAGATCCCAGTTGGATATCCAATCGAAAAGCAAGAATACTCAATTTCAGCCCATTGCCAGTGCTCAACGACTTTTAAATCTAAGCATCAATTCAAGAGCTTCATGAAAACGCCACAAAAATCATTTTCATGTTTTCTTATCGGGACAAGATGTTTGCAATTCGATGTTAGTTTAGATTTAAAATAAAAGCATATCTTATAGTTAATATGATATGAACGTGGTGTATGATAGTGGAATCTCTGCCGTATTTGAGCTCCCCTGACTTAATACGTAAATAAATTAACACTGAGCCCTGGAAAACTTCAAGTAATTGAATAAAATTAAGGATTTTTCATATATATGCCTCTTTTTCACTATCTTAGCTAGTTTTCCGTTTTTTGATCTGCACACTAGTCTTTATTTTTTAAATTTATAAAATATCTACCTTTTTCGGTAGAGATAGTTTTCAGACCAGTTGTTTTGATAAGAAATAAAATAAGTTATTTTAACAAGAATGTACCGTAAAATACCAACACTTACAAATAAAACACATAATATACCAAAAATTTGATGTAAATACAAAAAACTGTTATTTTGCCTATCTTTAGATGCCTATGGAAAACCTATCTTAAAAAAAAACACAATCCTAGTGTAAACAGGTCCGAAGGGTTTTTAAAACTAGAACTAAGAACAAGTGGTGGAAAAACAGGAAAAACATCGGCCGCCAGATATCGATTTCGAAATTCTACAAAACCTTTTAAACATCGATACTATCGTTCGCGAGCCAATTTCTTTTCAGCTCTATTCGCAGTGGTAAAAGTCGGAAAAGTCAATTAATATCCGACTGCCACACGTTGAGAAGCCGATTTTGCAATCAAGGTCAACCGTAGGATCCAACTGCCCGCCACGAAACGCGAAAACCGCCGAGATGAGCGACTACACGAGCATTCTGCAGCGGGAGTTTCCCAAGATCGACACGGAGCTTCTTACCTATGTTGTGGGGGTGCTCACCGGAAGTAAGTGCCGTCGAGTCAACCAGCCCTCTTAGTCCTAATCCGTAACCCCACTTCCTCAGGTGAGGAGGACTTCGACAGCGGCGAAGACATCTTTGAGGCGGTGGGCGACATCCTGCAAAGCGTCGACTGCGACAGGTCCGAGGAGAGCGTCCGGGCGCTGTGCGAGCAGTTCCTTAACATTATGAAAAACAACGGAGTCAATGTTGAGCGCAAGGTGCTCAATGCTCCGGTCAACATCGAGGAAATGGCCCGGAACATGGAGCGACTCGACAAGGACATGCAGAGCATCTGGGTGGTGAACAAGGACGGAAGCAATGTGAGTGCTACCATATCAAAGCATCAGTATATAAACAAATCACAGGCCTAAAAGCTAAATGAAGGTTTTTTTAACCTACTAAAGCTATATTGTTTTCATAATTATGAAATGCTAATCTGACTTCATGATTACAAACGAAGCGTGAATTAAACAACTTTCGATCCCATAAATAATCTAAATTCTAAATCATTCTAGTTGCATTTTTGAAAACTATTTTCTTTTATCTTTAGACTTAATTTGTATCTTAAAATTGTAATGCATAGATCACCGCAGAGCAGCTATAAACTTTTGTCAAAAAATTGTAATTGAGTTGTGAATAACAAAATATGACTTTCCTGATCTTTCAGAAAGTAGACTCAAAAAAGCTGGGAAAGGCGGAGGCCAAGCTGCAGCAAAAGCAGGAGAAGCGGCAGGAGGTCAATAAGCACGGCATGATTCCCGTGGCGGTTAAACTGCAAACGGCTACAGCTTCCCAAGTGACCAACAAGAAAAACACCAAGCTGGACCAGAAAGGCCTTAACCGTTCCATGGACATCAAAATCGAAAACTTTGACCTAGCTTTCGGCGAAAAGTAAGGCAATGGGACCGAGTAGTTGACCAACCTTTAAATTTGTTAATCCCCTCCAGAGTTCTCCTGCAGAATGCAAATCTACTCCTCTCCTTCGGACGCCGTTATGGTCTGGTGGGACGGAACGGCCTGGGCAAGACAACGCTGCTGCGGATGATTGCCGAGCGCCAGCTGCAGATCCCCTCGCACATATCGGTGCTCCACGTGGAGCAGGAGGTCGTGGGCGACGATACGCCCGCCGTGGACAGCGTGCTGGAGTGCGATACCGAGCGAACGAGGCTACTGACCCGGGAGAAGGAGATCCTAGCAGCGCTGAACAGCGGGGTGCAGGATTCGGCACTGTCCAACGAGTTGAGCGACACATACGCTGCTCTGCAGAACATAGAGGCGGACAAGGCGGTGGCACGTGCATCTGTGATACTCAAGGGTTTGGGTTTCGACGCAGACATGCAGCTGCGTCCGACCAAATCCTTCTCGGGAGGCTGGCGCATGCGCCTGGCCCTGGCCAGGGCACTCTTCTCAAAGCCTGATCTGCTGCTGCTTGATGAGCCGACAAACATGTTGGACATCAAGGCCATCATTTGGCTGGAGAATTATCTGCAGACATGGCCCACCACCATCCTAGTCGTGTCCCACGACCGCAACTTCCTGGACACGGTGCCGACGGACATCATTCATCTACATTCCCAGGAACTAGAGGCATACAAGTAAGTTAATCAGAGCCTAACATACACCCATTAATTTAATATATTTCTGTTTCAAAGGGGTAACTACGAACAGTTTGAGAAGACCAAGACGGAAAAGCTAAAGTCACAGAGGCGTGAATACGAGGCTCAAATGGCTCACAGAGCGCATGTTCAGGACTTTATCGATCGCTTCCGATACAACGCAAATCGTGCCTCATCCGTGCAATCCAAAATTAAAATGCTCGAAAAACTGTAAGTTCTTAAAACAAAACACGTTTACTCGGCTTCTGAAGATCATTGATTTAAATCTTTGATCCTTTCATAATCTACTTATTGCTTTTCAACCCATTTCATCTTCAAAAATTGAAGCAAAAAATATATTTCATTTTTAGGCCAGAACTTAAGCCGGTTGAGAAGGAGACAGTGGTCACGCTCAAATTCCCCGATGTGGAGCCGTTGAATCCTCCCGTGCTGGCGATTTCAGAAGTATCATTTCGCTACAATCCTGAAGATGCGCTACCTATCTTCAAGGGTGTAAATCTCTCAGCCACCTCCGACTCGCGAATTTGCATAGTTGGAGAAAACGGTGCTGGAAAATCGACGCTGCTTAAGATTATTGTCGGCCAGCTGAGCACCATTCATGGAAATATTGTACTACATCGTGGGTTGCGAATTGGGTACTTCGCTCAGCACCATGTGGACCATCTGAACATGAACGTAACGTGTGTGGGAGTGCTGGCAGAACTGTTTCCGGGAAGGCCGGATGAGGAGTATCGCCGCCAGTTGGGTAGTTTTGGCTTATCCGGACCACTGGCACTGCAGAGCATAGCCAGTTTATCTGGAGGACAGAAATCACGTGTGGCCTTAGCGAAAATGTGCATGGGTAAGATCGTGAAACTGCTTTTACTTTTTTAACTCTACAATTTTCAACTTAATGAATCGATTAGCGGAACCAAATTTCCTGGTGCTCGATGAGCCGACAAATCACTTGGATATTGAGACTATTGATGCTCTTGGTCGGGCCATCAATGCCTTCAAGGTAAAGGAACCGATTTTCTTATTTGATGAAATTATCATAATTATTACTAATCTTAATTTTTAGGGCGGCGTCATCTTGGTCTCCCACGACGAGCGTCTTATCAAGGTCGTTTGCAAGGAGCTCTGGGTATGCGGCAATCGCACAGTGAGGGCGATTGAAGGCGGTCTGGACGAGTATAAGCGGGAGGTTTACAAGGAAATCGAAGCTAATAGTTCAATTTAATGTAATAAATAATTACTCTATTTGTGAAACAGCCTAGCAATAAATTTATATTATGTCTATGACACAAGGAGAAAAAAAAAACCTTCTCGTGAGTGATACAATCATTGAAATAGAAAGATGGGTACTGCCTTTATAATAGTTATTCTATACAAATTTAAATTAAAAATGTCATGCTGTGTAGTTTACTAGATTGTATCTAATTGTTTAACATTTAATTACAGGGGTGAATCGTTTAATTTATTTACGAATTTGGTTTCCATAAAAATACTTTTATTTCTGGTTCGATACTCGATGCTTATTTTTCAGCTGTCGCCTGCTCAGTTAGTTTTCTTCGCAGCTCGAAGAGCAACAGCGTTAACGCGGATGCCACATTTAAGCTATCTATGCCAGCTGCCAGCGGTATATAGACGCACTTTCCCTTGCGACCAACTAAGTTCAAAAATCTAAAAGAAATAAAATAGAATCAATGCTTAGCAAGAACTAGTATGTTTTTGCTCTTACCGATAAGCTTCCTCGCTAACTCCATGACTTTCTCCGCCAATAATGAGTAAATTGTGGGCTCCGATATCCTTGATCTCTGCGTAATCGATGGCCTTGTGGCTCTGCCGCTTTTCTTGGTTGTTCTCCGCAACGAAAACATGGCAATTATCGGCTGCTTCTGGAGGAATGGTCAAAGGGAGCTCCTCCCAGGGCACATCATCACGAATGGGCACTCGGAATTGACCGCCACAGCCTCCTCTCAGGGCCTTTGACTCCCAGGGATCGCAGCAGCCGTGGGTGACGACAACCTGGCTGCAGGGCAAAGCGGCACAGGTCCTTATGATACTACCCAGATTGTTGGGCTCCCTGATGTTGTCGCATACAACTGTAATGGGCAGGGGCTGAGTGCCCAGACGCTGCTGCTCTGCCAGGTTCTGCTCCAAACCTTTGTTTGAAGGCCTGTCAAAAATGGCCATCAGTCCGGGAGGCGTTACCAGCGAAGACCATGTCTTCAGATCGTGCTGCGGCACCTTGTATATCTTGGTGCGCGTCTCCAGTTGCGCCCGGCCAACTTGGTCTTTCACTAGAGCCAACTGATCTTTCTGGCTGAAAAGGAGGGTCTCCATTTTGAGACCACATTGCAGGGCTTCCTGGATGAGGCGTCTACCCTCGACGATGATCTGTCGGTTCTTGTCACGCCGTTTGCGGGAACGCACTGTGGTTAACAGTGTGCTGGTCAGCGGATCCTGCAGCGTGAGACGCACAAACTCCAGATTCAGTTCAGTGTCCTTGATTACTGGGGCAGGAGTCGTAACTATCCGAGAAGCCAGGGGAGCCGTCAACTTTCCAGGTGCAACCGAACCACTAGGTTCCTTGGATTTCCTTGCCACAAATGGTTTCGTTCGATTCTTGCGTAAAGCTTCCCGCGTGTTTACCGGCTCGTGCCTCAACCCGGAATTTCCGAAAAGATTGGCCTCGATGTCCAGTGCATCCTGGATGTCGCCTTGGGGTCCATTGGAGCTACTCAACCGCAGCACATTCAAGTTGATTACATTCCTGATATTAGCTCGAAACGAACGATTTAAAATTTTACAAAACATGGTCACTGAAATTGAACAGATGCTTGAAATAACATAGCTGTGGTCAAGACCACAAAAAGGGGGTCAATAATTACTTTGCTTTATACTTTCAGATATATTTATGTTTAGGTTAGGAAGTTTGTTACACCGTTCAAATCAATTCACACTTGCGACTGTCCAAAAATGTTTTTGGCCCCATTTGAAATCAATTCCTGCTACGCCCATGTTATCAGTGTTGACTAACGATACACACTCACGCTAGTACAGCGTTAGTGTCCAAAAGGTGGAACATTTAAAATACATCAAGTAGTTTAATGAAAATATATTTTTATTTCATTTTTAAAATTTGGGTTAGCAGTTAATAACAATTTGAAATTAATTAAAAACTAATAGCGCAATAAGTTTTCCTACCTGGGTGTATCGTAGATAAGCAGCCATAACATAATACAATAATTTAAAATAACAATGCAGTATTCAAAACGCCTTCAAGTGCATAGACGAAAAGGAGATAGTTCTGTAAAACAAAATCAATATAGAAATGCAGTAAACAATTAAAAACAAAAGAAATTCATCTAAATGGGGCTTCCTGTGGTGGCGTAGATGCTAGTATTTAAATAAGTCCTTATATTAACCATAATTCATAATCTGTTCCATCTTAGCCAGGTCCGCAGGCCTCTTCACGAAATTTGTTCATAACAATGTACACTCTAAAATTACTACTATCACCGTTACATCTTACATGGCTACATGCTAATTGTTAATTAGAGTTCATAAATATTAAGCACTGCCTCTTATTTTAGGCGTATATACACGGCTTAACCTAGTCGCTGGCTACATCTGTTAGGTCGAGCTGACCATAGAGCTGCTACTGGACTGCTGGGTTTTTCGCTGCCGGGCACCGCGACCGGACAGTAGGTATGACAAATCAATGGGCTGCTCCTGAGCTGTCTGCGCATCCAGACACTTTAGCTTCATGGTTATGAGAACGTTTTCTAAACGCGACCGCTTCTTTTTTAGTGTCTGTTAGGGAAAACAGGTATTAATACATTTTCATTGTTTTAAGTTAAGTTACACTCACCTGTTTATTGGGCGCCACTGGAACTACGACATGGACAGCTGTAGATTCCACTGCGGCCGCACTACTTCCACGCGGCTTTCTTCCAACTGACTTCGGTTGCTGTTGCTCCTGCCTGCCAGATGCCTTTTGCATCGTTGTTGGCACGGCTCCTACTTCTAATTCAGTCTTTTGCTTCCTCGATTTCAGCAACGAAGGATCCACATCGTGGGGCTAAATAAAAAGTGTTTAAATTATCAAGTAGGTTGTTATTATGTGATTTAGATTTACCGCATAGCTTTTGGAGATCTTTAGTTTTTCGGGGAACTTTCGGAAGGCGTAGCTCTTGGTGCAGGCCGGATGATTGGCCTTGGCTTTGGAGAAGAACCTTGCAGTTTTGTCCACACGCAGCTCACAGATGTAGCAATGATCCTCATCGTCGCATTCCATCGGACGTCCTTTACAGAAGGTGGTACGATCCAAAACCCAGCAGCGTCCAATGACTAACTCAATGGGTACCACCTCATAAAGGGATACTCTTACCACTTCATTGGGGTAAAAACGACGGGAAGGTTCGTGGAAAGTTTCGTGGGGTCGCAGAAAATGGTGCCCGAATATGAAACGCTTCCCCATTTCATTCTTCCACAAATGTTCCACCCGAAAGATGTCGCACTCTTGGTAATCAATGGCTCCAATCGTTTCGTACGTGTGTTTCTTAGTTGGCAAGACCTTGCCCGCCTCATCTTTAATGGGAATATCCCGCAGCACATAGACGGCGTCGCCCTGACGCACCTGCAGATCGCCACGCATCAGGGATAGGTAATAGCGATGACCCTCCTCGGTGAATTCCTCCAGGGGAATCTCGCGATCCACCTCCCTTGGCTCGCAACGTTCGCACTGATAGTTGTCCGCATCGATGTCGGCTTTGGTGCACTCCGTGTGCTGCCACACCATGCACTTGGCGCACTGAATCATCAAACCCTCGTCTTTGTACAACCCGCAAATGCAACGGATTACATCCTCCTCTGAAGAGGCTTCGATGGGAAGCAGTGGAGGAGTTGCTTTCAATGGCACTACTGGAGAATCCCTTTCTATTGCTCCTGGGGATTTCTTAACTGTAACCTTCGGCGCTTCCTCCACTGGCAAAAGCGGTTCCTTCGGTTTAAAGCTCTGCAAAGCTTCTGAATCGCCCAAAATCTCGACCATCTGCACATAGCTGGACGCCTTCTGTTGCTCATAGCAATCCCTCAGCGATTGGAGGGCTTTGGCCTTGCCCTCGTCATCGCCATGTTGCTGTTTGGCCTCCACAAAGAGCTGCTGCATCTGATCATCGAATTCCTGGGGCGTCTTGTAGTGACCCTGCTCGACTTGGGCCTGAATCGATCTGAACTCAACTCTGGACGTTCCAGCTGTCGTTCCCAATTTTCCGCCCAAAGAGTTCTTTATGGCCTTCTTTTTCTTACTAGACAGTGTAGTTAGCAGCTCGAACATCTTTAGGTTTTCCAGGGCACTGCAGATATCTCTCAGAACAACAGCCATCTTAGCCATCTTTTCCAGCTCGGGGTCATGAACTGCCAGGGTAAGTCCACGGGTTTTTATGTTGCGAGGAGAGCAGAGCGCGGAGATCTGGGCAGCCAGAGAAGTCGAGGATGGTGTTGAGGGTCGTCGACCAGGAATGTCTCCATTAGTTGCGCCGTGTGCTGGAGAAGATGCGGAAGTGGCCGCGGATGCCAAGGCTGATGCTCGCTTAGCTTTACATCTGCGTATCTAATGGAGGAATGGAAGATGGTTTGGAAATAACATAAAATACACAATGCGTACATTACATACCTTTTCAAAGTTCCTAACTAGGAAGGTGTTGCACTGTTTGACCAGCTTCTTTTCCTTCTCAGACAACGGTTGCAGCTTTGCTACCGCAACTGCTGAAGCTGTGTCCTTGCCCGCCTGTCGTTGAGCGTGCTTCTTTGCCTTGTGCTTGCGTTGGCGTCCGTTTCGGCCAGTAGGTCCCTCTGAAGCGGGCTTGGCCTCCACTGCGGGAAGAGGTTTCACCCTCTGTGACTTGCCTCCAATGACACCACGACACTGGGGCGTGTTGCATCTGCAGGGTTGGCCCTCCGACGGATTAAACAGCGAAAAGTTGTAATCGTAGGTCAGTTCCTCGCCCTGCTCGATGGCTCTTTTAGCGAAGAGAACCATCCTAGACAAACCGTTCACGCTCCACTTTTGCATCTCGCAGTTGGGCTCGCAGGAGTGGTTCACAAACCTGCAATCGCTGCCCATACGCTGGCCATCAATTACCAGACCTCCATCCAAATGGAGACAGTAGTGGTGCGTGTCGTTCAAATATATACTGGCCATCCGCTGCTTGAATTCCCTCTCGGTGACCACCTCTCCCACGTACTCGAGTATGTAGGTTCCCTTGGCAATGGGTAGTTTAGTTCTGACTCCCCATCCCTTGTCCACCGTCATGAAGCGCTCCACTCCAGGCGCTACCGCATGTCGTTGGATTTTTTGGTTCCGGCACTTCTCCCCGGCGGGACAATTACTGGGCGAGCACTCCGTATAAACCATGCGATTTAGGCAATTGTCTAGGCAGGATTTCTCGCCCTGGTTCTTACAATTACAAACGGGATGGTCGAATCCAGCCAGATTCGGGCGCACTGACTCTGCATATACATTCGTGCGAATCTTTCGATAATTCCAGGATGGCACATCGTGTCGAGTGGGTAGCTTGGAGTTGGTGTAAGCCCACCATATGTCGTATGGCAGCTCAAAGTCCACCTCACTCCTTCGCAGATACTTTTCGCAATATGGCGGTGGTGGAAGCAGACTCCCAGAGACCACTTGCTGCTCCTCTAAAGCGGGCTTCTTAGTCACCTTGGCTGGCGGCGGCATTGGCGATTGTTTGTAGTAATTGGAGAAAAGTCCTGCCACCAGATAGGTCTTCTTAACCTTGGATAGTTTTCGCAAGGAGGTGCTTGATGCTTTGTCCTCGCTGGACTCACTGCAACTAGCGTAGTCTGGTGGGCCGTGATGTTGGGATTCGTTGGCGGGCAAGGGATCGTGTTCGTTAGGGATTTTGTCTAGCCGTTTGGCCTCCGCTTCAGCATTTATCTCCTCCTGGCTGGCGGGCTTTTCTGGGGGTATCTCCTCCACTGGCGCTGGCTGAACAGGCTTATCCTTCTTACTTTGGGTCGAGCCCGTTTCCAGGTTCCTTCGCCGCTTCAAGCGAATCTTGCAGCTGAAATTCGTGTTGGGGTCGATGCCAGCTGGAAGTTTGATATTCGGTTCCAGTTTGGTTTTCTTTTGCTGAGGCGTTTGAGTGGGAGGTGGCTGTTCCAAGACCGGTTGCTTGGGCTGCCGACCACGTTTCTTGGCTGGCTTTACCTCGGGTTCCGATTTGGGCGGCGGTAAGGTTGTAGCTGTAGGTTGATCCTTATTCTTGGGTTTTCTACCTCGGGGTCTTCCTCTGGCGGGGGTTTGTGGTCGCTGTAGACGCTCCAGGGCCACCACTGATAGGCGTGGAGCTCTTTGATTGCTTCTAGCTACAAAGGTCTCCCTAGCTTCGCCTGCTTGAGGCACTCGCTCACAGTCCATTGGGGTATTGGCTGGATGCTGCACCTGGGCACTGCTGCTGCTCCTGGTTTCTCTTAGGGATTGGAGGGGCTCATCATCGGGATCGATCTCTGGGTCAGCGTCATCCATCACGGCGGTTGGCTGCTGCTCCACACTGACCTTACGCTTCTTCCTGCGCACAGTGGGAAAACCCGTTCGATTGATCTTTTTCCGTTTCCGCTTCAGCAGAAGATTGCCTCCTGTTTTGTGCAGCAACGATTCCACAACTCGCTGACCAATCTCCTTTTTGGTATCCTCCTTAATATCCAGCGCTGAGAGCAGCGGAGATTCGACCTCTGCTTTTGTAATAACTGATTCGTTCAATTTGCCGATGGGTATTTGGATCTCAAGTTCCACAGATGGCTCAAACACGCCCGGCGGAGGATAGCTACCAGCTGGGGAGTGCAATTGAACCAAGTCCCTTGTGGCCGCAACCTTCTGCTTAGCCGCTCCTCCTCTCCGTTGCTGTTTGAGGGAGCACAGCGAGCTAGGGCTGATGTCCAGCAACTTCCCACCACTTATGGAGTTGTTATCAACAACGATCCTTAGTGGAGAATTGCTAGCCGAAGATCCAGCTGCGCTTAGAGCCGTAGGTTGCTCTAGAAGGTGCCTCTTTTTGGGAGTTAGCGCGGATTTTCCACTCTTGGCATTAAACTGCGCCTGCGACTTGGTAGATGCAGTGGTCTTAGCAGTCGCCGCCGCTGCGGCCCAGGCCTCTGCATTCAGTTTTCCATTGGCGAAGGCCACTTCGGCAGGGGGACGCTCTCCCGGGGTCAAAGGTAATGACGCTTCTTTAGTGGAAGCTTGTGGTCATCGGGACTGGAGCTGTCGTTGCTCTGCGATTTCTTGTGCCGTCGTTTGGCATTTCCGTTGCTGCTCCCACTGCCATTTGGAGTTCCGCTGGCGCTGGCCGAGAGCATGGCGAAGTCCACCAGGGGCTCACTGAGCTTTCGCTTCTTCAGGGCCCTTTTCAAGGGCTTGGGGAGCGCTGAAGCAGATCCTCCGCCATTAAGAACCAACTGCTGCGCCGGACTTGGAGCTGCTAGAGTGGCCTGCAGCTTGTTGGCTTCGGCCAGTAGCTTCTCCTTGCCACTGCTCCCGGCCAGTCGATCATCCTGTATGCGACATCTCGAGTGGAAAGTGCTTGTGATTATCTCGATTTCGGTGAGCAGCTTGGAGTCAATGTTTAGGGACTTGTTGTGACTGAAGCTCTTCCTGCGATGTCTGCGACGCATCTTTGACACTCCCGAAACGTAGCTGCTGCACATACTGGCAGCCGAAGAACGCCGGGATTTTATTTTGCAGGACGCTTTGCTGGGAGCCGGAGTCTCCTTCCGCTGATTCATCATCTTACTGATAAAATTCTCTGGATTCGTGACTGTCAAACTGCCGCCGCGACCGAAATATTGTCCCGTGGTCACATATCGATTGATCTCGCCGTACTTTTTGCTGGCACTCGTCGTTGGCAGGCTCTGGAGGCTTGGCTTGCTGATGTACTCATTGCTCTCCTCGCTGCTCTGGCCCAACGATAAGCCTGCCAGCTGAAGGATGTCCTGATCCTCGACCTGATCGTCTGCAGTGCTCTTCAAGAGCATGGAAGCCCTGCGCTTCCGCCGCATCCTAAGACCAGACTTTCCGGATTCCTTGCAATCACTCCGATAGCCGCAGCTTTTGGCCCTGCTCCTGCGGCTCATGCAGCTCTTTGTGCTGTACCGGCTCTTGCAGCTGGCATCGGACTTGTAGCCGGAATTGTGGTTGTGCCCACTTCTTTGGTGCCTCACACTTCCATAGTCCGAGACGTAACCGCTCTTTGCGGCTAGGATCTTGCTGCAAATGGTTGTGCTCGCTCCAGTTCCACTTGCCGCGCCCACACTCATGCTCCTCAGCCGGAACTTTTTGTTCACATCAATCTCCCGCCACAGCGGATCCAGCTGAAGCTCCTCTTTGTTAGATGAGGTGGCGGCTGCTTTTTTGTTGTTCTGGCGCCGCTTGCTTCTGGGCGGCGGGTAGAGCACCCGCTCGGTGGCATACATCCGCTTGTCCAGATACGCCATGTCGATCTTGGGTTTGCTGCTGGACGCTGTCGGCACTGCTCCCGTGGGCACAATGTTCTCGCTTTGCATTTTCGGCGAAGGAGTGGTGCTTTGCGTAGTACTGGTAGTGCTGATCACACCCGAATCAGCGGATTCGTTTATAGCCGGACCGGAGTTTCCCGCGGCTGTAACAGTGGATACAACCTTTTTGGGTCTGCCTCTGCGCTTTCGAGGATTAGCGACTTGCAAAATTGTATCCTCCTTGGCTTTAACCACTTTCTCTTCCGGAAGCTTCGAGTTCGCACTCTGTCCCAGCATCTGAGTCTTCTCCATAAAGTCCTGAAGCAATGTGGACTGGTACTGGGGCAGATTCTTGTCCTTGGCCGCCTTGCGGAAACTGCCCTCAACAGTGGTATCCTCTGTATCGCTCTCCACTCTCTTGATGGCCGCCTGCACAAGACTGGGCAGCTCGTTGTCGCTGGAAGAGATTCCTATGTCCAGCGGCGGTTTGTTGGCAGACTGGGCCGCCTGGGAGATCGCAGTGAGCAATAGACGCGGAGCTCTCTGCTGGTGTACCTTCAAGGGCAGGTCATCCTCTGAGTCCGAGGAAAACGCCGAGATCTGTGCCTTCTTGGACTTAGTCAATGTCTCTGACTTGCTAAGCCCACTCGCGCTGGCCAGCTTCTTTCGCTTAACCTTGACTTTTTTGCTGGCTGCTCGGTTCCTGGCCTCCGAGCAGCCTGACTCGGTATCCTGGGTCGACATTTTTCTGTGCTTCAGGGGTTTCTTTGTTGCAGGAACTCCTAATGGGGGACGGATGGCTGAGATTCTCATTCGCAGGCCATCGGTATCCGAACGCTGCACGCTAAACTGGGTAGCTGACTTGGTGGACTTCGATTGGCTCGACTGATCCGTAATGGAGTCGGTTTCCTGTGGGCGAATGAGGCAATTTACATATCTAGTTATTCGTATTTTTTTTACCCGACTTGCCTCATTTTCACTGCCGGATTCTTGTGCGCGTTGCGTTTCCAGAACCTTTGCTGCTGCTGTCTCATTTTGGCCACTGCTCATATTTTGGAGTCGCTGGGGAGCTGCAATATATTGCTTTTTGTTAACCAGGAGGGTTTTTATTTTGGTGGATTTTTTAATCGCATTTAAAGTAGGTCAAACCGCGGCGACGACGTCAAAAAAATTTTCCCCCGCACACTTACGCTTGATTGTTTTCTTGGCTACCACCTTCACTCGCGACTTTAAAAGAGAGTTCTGTTTTCAGTGTGTCTCCAATCTATTATTTCACACATTGCATTTGCACTTTCCTTGCGCCTTTGGCCGTGGCTTGCTTGCTTATAAAATGGCGCCGTTTTCACTTTTCCAAAAACTGCTTTGTTCGACGCCCGACGACGACGCAACGTTGCAACACCTTTCGCATGTGGCACATTAAATCGCGCTCCCGATTTTTCACTTTAATAACTCGAGGGCGACGGTGGGGGCGCACTTTAATTGTTATTGTTAATGTGGCGCAACAACAAAAAGCCAGGCAACCAAAAATGTACGAACATAAATAAAGAAAAAGACACTGCGTTTTGGTGTGGCCAGCTGAGGTGGACGTGATGTCTGCGCCTTAGTGTGACCGTGGTGGGGACTTCCGGGCAACTATCGGTTGCTAGCTATCGCTTGCCTGAGAAAAAACTTAATGAAATTTTTTACTCGCGTTCCACAAGCTGAAGGAAATATAATTAATATTTATCCTTTTTAATATTGAACTCAGTTCAAATGATGTGTTAAATAAGTAACATGATATTTAGTTAGATTACGTATTGCACATATATATAATTTATTTACTACTCTTTCCTGTCTCATATGCTAAATGTTATATCGTAATAACAGTTTTCATTTGAAAACTGGTCTTATTTTTTTAAATGATTTGAACAAACTAAGTTTATATGTAAGCTTCTAGACTTCAACTTTTAAGAACGCGTAATATCTAAATCGGAAAAGATTCAAGGCATTTATTATTACATTTTCCAACAAAAGTTTTTGGGCGTATTCTATGTTCTTTTAATTTCCTTAAAATTAAATTGGTTCCGGTCAGAACCAAGTTGCATTTCTAGTTCTTTTCAATACATACGATTTGGATAAAAATACCTTAGCAAAATTTATTAGAAGATGAAGAAAGTAAATCACCAAATCACCATAATACATTTAAAGAGCCAGAATTGGGTTGTAGATTAAAGACAACCAATAAAAAAAAGCCAAAAATAAGCCAACAATCAAAACGATATATTGGTCGCCGAAATCGCCATCACTCTTCCATTTATTTTCTAATAAGCAGTGTGTACACACTGGCCGAGCTGGTCGGCGAAAACAATTTGTTTATTTGTAAAAACCTTAAAATGAGTGGGAAATCGTCGAAAACGAACAGCGCGTCTAGCAGCATGCTGTATGGTTCCAGTATCTCGGCGGAGTCCATGAAGGTGATCGCGGAGAGCATCGGCGTGGGCTCCCTTTCGGACGACGCCGCTAAGGAGTTGGCCGAGGATGTGTCCATCAAGCTGAAACGAATTGTCCAGGACGCGGCCAAATTTATGCATCACGCAAAGCGCCAAAAGCTCTCAGTGCGGGACATCGACATGGCTCTCAAAGTTCGGAATGTGGAGCCACAGTATGGATTCGTTTCCAAGGACTTTATACCTTTTCGTTTTGCATCCGGTGGGGGGCGGGAGCTGCACTTCACCGAGGACAAGGAGATCGAACTGAGCGAAATTACCTCCTCCAACTCGGTTAAAATACCTCTGGACCTAACTTTGCGTTCCCATTGGTTTGTGGTTGAGGGAGTCCAGCCCACTGTGCCAGAAAACCCTCCTCCGCTTTCAAAAGACTCCCAGTTCCTGGACTCCGTCAATCCGGTCATTAAGCTCGACCAGGGTCTCAACAAAGATGCGGCTGGCAAGCCCACAACCGGCAAGATCCAAAAGCTCAAAAACGTGGAGACCATTCACGTCAAGCAACTGGCCACGCACGAATTGTCTGTGGAGCAGCAGCTATATTACAAGGAGATCACCGAAGCCTGCGTGGGTTCAGATGAGCCGCGACGCGGAGAGGCGCTGCAGTCACTGGGCTCCGATCCCGGCCTGCATGAGATGCTGCCCCGCATGTGCACCTTTATCGCTGAGGGCGTTAAAGTCAATGTGGTGCAGAACAATTTGGCGCTGCTAATTTACCTTATGCGCATGGTGCGTGCCCTGCTGGACAATCCATCGCTGTTTCTGGAGAAATACGTAGGGCTCATATTTTTCTAAACTTTGGTTTGGTTTCTTATCTAAATAAATTTCGTCGTATAGTTACACGAGCTGATACCCTCGGTGATGACCTGCATTGTGTCCAAACAGCTGTGCATGCGTCCTGAGCTCGACAATCATTGGGCTCTGCGAGACTTTGCCTCCCGACTGATGGCGCAGATCTGCAAGAATTTCAACACCCTGACCAACAACCTGCAAACTCGTGTCACCCGGTAAGTCTTGCGTATGCCATGCTAATAACTCTTTTAACGTTTATTTTCGTTACCCCCCAGCATATTCAGCAAGGCCTTGCAAAACGATAAGACCCACCTCTCCTCGCTGTACGGCTCCATTGCTGGACTTTCCGAGCTTGGAGGTGAAGTCATAAAAGTATTCATAATACCCCGCCTTAAGTTCATATCGGAGCGCATTGAACCACACCTGCTCGGCACCTCGATCAGCAACACAGACAAGACAGCCGCCGGTCACATTCGAGCCATGCTCCAAAAGTGCTGTCCGCCGATTCTTAAGCAAATGCGCTCGGCTCCGGACACGGCAGAGGATTACAAAAACGACTTTGGCTTTTTGGGGCCATCGCTGTGTCAGGCGGTTGTCAAAGTACGAAATTCGCCGGCCACCAGCATTGTGACCGTGTCGTCGAACACGATCAATACGGCACCTATCACAAGTGCCGCCCAAACGGCCACCACCATCGGGCGTGTGTCCATGCCCAGCACACAGAGACAAGGGTAAGATAACTTTTTTTTTATATTTAGATGTTTTAGCCACATAAATCTAGCAGAAAATGTTTAAAGATTTAAATTTTTCCTTAAACTTAACTTAAATATTAAAAGCAGTCATGGTTTTCCTGCTTCTGCTCACGTCATTTACTTGTTGTACAGAAGATAGCTTAAAAATTAATTTATATTATGTATTTTTAAAATTGTACAATCTGTTATTTATTATTCGCTTAATTTTGTTCTTTTTAGAAGTCCCGGGGTGTCGGCTTTGCCGCAGATAAGAGCCATTCAGGCAAACCAGCCTGCGCAGAAGTTTGTGATAGTCACCCAGAACTCGCCGCAGCAGGGACAGGCGAAGGTAGTGCGGCGGGGCAGCTCCCCGCACAGTGTGGTACTATCCGCGGCTTCCAACGGAGCCAATGCCTCCAACTCGAACTCTAACTCGAGCGCCAGCGGGAGCGGCAACAGCGGCAGCCTTCTTTCAGCCGCACAACGGAGCAACGAGAATGTGTGTGTTAATGCCGGTAGCGAAGTGCCAGCAGTTGATGGAATAACAGTTGAATCTTTCAGAGCACCATAGACGCCAACTCGCTGATCATTGAGACGGAGATCATACGCGCACCGCCCGAGCTGGACGATCTCTCGCATCTGGAGTAGCCAGCTTAGCTTGTAGTCAAAACAAACATTTTGTATGCAATAAAACAAAGAAAGCGGCAACCTACCCCAAAAAAGCCACCACACATATAAAAAATAATTAAACCATTATTACATTTTTATAACTTCTACGTATGTTGTATCTTTAATGTGAGTATACAATTTTTATAGTATACAATTTTGACAGAATTTATTAATTTAAGAAATAAAATTATTACTGCTATAAATTAGAATGGGGAGGTGCGACGGGTTCCACTTTATAAAAACTATGTATGCAGTTAGTTAGTAAATAAAATATTAAAAATATTGATAATATTATTTTGCCACCTGTCATGGGAACGTTCGATTTGCTAGAAATTTTGATTTTGCTAGAATTCAAAATGATGTATGTACTAATTTTTTTCTGTGCTATACAAACCCCCTGCCAAGCAAACTCAAAAGCTCGTCCACGCAGTCATCACGCATGTGCGGGTCTCGGCCTCAAGTGACTTGCTATTGATTTTCCAACTACATTCCTTCGCAAACGCACAAAGAGCTCTGCTCAACACTCCTTGTAGATACCCATCGCAGGGCAAAGACAAAGCGCGAAGAAGTTCGTTCGAATTTTTTAAAGAACTTAGCGGAATTCTCACAAAAACAGGGAGAAAATGCATGCCAGGTTTGCGGATCCCGAGCCCGCGTCTCCCGACAGTGAAGACAGAATCGAAACGGAGTCGCTGGAGGCCAGAATCGAGGCGTTCAAGCAGAGTCCCCAGAATATGGCCGCTCTGCGGGAAGTTCTCGACGATGTGGTTCTGCGGGCTGAGGCGGAGGCCAACAGGAGAGCAGTTGAGAGCCAGAAATCGCAACAGGTTGACTACTCTTATTGCATTTCGTTAGAAAACTTACTAAAACATAACTTCATTTGCAGGGAAAGGAAAAGCGACCGAGTAAGTATACGCAGTGGCGTCCCTGTCGTTTTCCTTGGCTTTTTTGGATAGTTTGTGGCTTTTTTTTACTGGCGCTTTACCAGTCCGCTGCTGGGTACTTGGTCGCTCGATACTGGACGGTAGTCCTTGTATCAATCGAAAAATAGATATAGGGTATTTGTGCCTTGAATGGGGCCAACATATAGTAACGACTTAAGCACCAAAGGCATTCGCGACATTGAACTTGCTTTTCTTGTGAGAGGCACTTGTCGCGGACAAAGGATCAAAATTGGTGGTGGGTAAAGTGTGTAGATGGAAATTGTAAAACCTTGGAAACATTCTTGCGCTGGAATAACCTGTCACTATCCCGAACAAACAAATCGTTCATTAGTTTTTTAAATGAATTAATTTAAAACCTTCGGAGGTAATCACCTAAAACTAGTAAGGCAAATTGTATAAGTATTTTCTTTTTCGTCCTAAACGCATGTACTAAATTTCTCAAGGAAATAAAAGCCTAAACCAATGCTTTTGCATTAAAAAATGTTTAAGATCAGGATTGGCTACCAGTATTAGGATCGTGGCACCGACTTACCGATAAAAGCGACATTTAATTCGTTCCCATTTGTTGCTTAAAAGTGGCCTTTATATGAGATAAAATCAGTGGAACCTGTAATTATTAAACGCACTCGCACGCCATTTTCACCCAGCTCGATTGCATGTTCATATTTTGTTGCACTTAACTTGTAATTTGCCTGTCACTGATCTTTAATTTCCTATTTTTGGTACCTTCTGCGCTTCGCATGCACTAATCTCTCAGGTTTCGCCATACCAGATTTTAAGAACGGCAAGGTGGTGAATCGGGCCCGAGGATTTGTGGTGCGGATCTTCGATGCCATTTGCAATTGTGCCAACAACAATGCAGCGGCGGCCACAACGCGATTCAAGCTGAGGAGCAACAGCGGAGGAGGAGCTGGGGCCGGAGGAGGAGGGGCCACTGGAAACGGGAAGCGGCAGCAGTCCCAGGATGAACCGGAGACCCTGGTCCTGACTAAGAAGAAACCCGTTGGCGAGGGGAAAAAAAAGAAGGGCGTCAGCATGGCCGATGATGTTCAAGCCGGCGTTCGACTGATGGACTAGGCAAGCAATAAGATTCAATGGTTGATCCTGCAATGGGAAAACATAATCAAAATTATTACCAGTCCCTCCCTTAACACGAACCTCACATCAGCCACACTGTCCTCCTAAAACTTCTACACAGCAAAAAAAGACAAACAGTATCAATATAGTGTTGATGGAGGTTTATATTTTTAAAGTAAAAGTGAAACTTTAAATTTAAATTTAAAGGTCGATCTCGGTTTTATTTATTTTCTGCGTATGAAGAATCACTTACTTTGCTCAAATGTCCAAAGCACAAAACAAATTCTAAGTCTTCCTCTGAAGACCAAAATTTATCGTATAAGAAACTAATTTTCGTCCGGTGTCGTTTTGCGGAGCCCTTTTGTTTGATATGTTTTCGAAAACCCATCAGAACAAATAGCTTTTATAGGTATACGTACCTTAAATAAAAGTTTCTCAGTTCCACAAGCGAAAGGTTTTGGAAAACATAAACATTTCTCTGAAAAGCATTGAAATTTTAAAGAAATATTTACTAAAAAACGCGTACATATTATGGCATTCCCCGCAAAACGAAGGAACAGGACCGACATAAAGCTTTAGCTGTCTATTTTATTATTTCATAAACCTAAATGTGATCCCAGTTGGAAATGTAAGCAAAAGAACTCGAAGCACAAACAACTTCTAGGTTAGTTAAGGAAGCAGGAAGAAAGAAGATCTTATAGGATAAACACGGTCATAATCTCAGCCGACCTTCGAGGCTTTCCCACGCACAACACAATCAACGGCATTACACAATCCGCAAGGGGATTCATTGCCGATCTTAACAACAGGCCTGTCAGTCTCCACCTTATAATAACTACGATGTATCAAATTAAATACCTACATATATGTGTATACCTAGGTGCGTACCACCAACCTATTTAGATGTGTATTAGTAGTTACAAAATATTTCCAAGCCAGTAACAAACGGTTCAATATACAAGCATCAATGTGTACTGATTTTATATACAATGTACTAACTACTATATACATGTCGACATTATTAGACTCTTAGTTGTTTACACTAACCACCTTCTAAACGCCGCACAGGTTTCCTCCAGCATCCTCATCAAAGTCATTAAACAATCTAAATCCACGACACACACGCTCTAATCGGATATATTTTTGTGAGGCCCTTTTTGAGAGATCTTTAGGAACACTATTCTATACCGAATCCGAAATTTATGAAATCGAATACGACTAATCGCTGGCGAGAGAACTTTGTACACACGTTTGCAAGGCAACCTTTTGTATAAGATTTTGCATTTATTTTGTAACCTCCAAAATGCAAGGATCTCCCTAAGTTCGAATGCGTTGCTAAGCCAATTGAGTATTTATAAATTATAAAATGTATAAGTGTGCATAATGCGAGTATAAAACTGTTGTATTTAGTTAACAATATCAGCAATAAAATGTAACAATGTTTGAAACCAAAAGGTGACTTTTATTTGTCATTTGTTATTTAATAATATCATTTTTAAGGTTTTTTGCTTTAACGAAACAATTGCTTAAATCATGCAAATAACACATAAAATTATATAATACTTATTTATTATTTGAAAATTAAAGCCAAGAATTTAAGAGACCAAACCAAGTTTCTGGATTCATACAACTTCTTTGGTTCCATAGAATATTTCTAGCACTCGCTTTAAGGCCACATGAACTTTCCTTCGCCATTATCTGCTAGGCACTTCGCTGTTTGAAAGACCCTCTCGCACGACTCCTTGAAAGCTTTATCTGCGGGTAATGAAACAGGGTAAGTATTCCTGGTGGATTTGTGGCAGGGACTTACGCGCATCCCTGCAAGCCTCCACAGATCTCCTGGATATCTCTAACATCTCCGTCGGGACCAAGTGTGGCAACTGCGCAAGGGCCTTTGGCGCGTTGAACTCTCCTTTTTTATTTACGGTGCCCGCCATTAGGGACACACACTTAGTATAGCACTAAAAAACATAAAATTAAAAGAACACAATATCACAAATTTCCTGGTCCTACTCAGAACACAAAACTTCCTCAAAAACTTAGTGGGCTTATAGTTGAAAAGAAAACTTAGATCCTTCGCTCACCATGAGATCCTGCGATGGCTGCATATTGAAATCTCCCTTGCGAAGCCGATCCAGATCCTCTTTATTAAGTTTAAACTTGGGAGCACAGCCATTCCGAATCATGTCTAGCGAGGCCAAAAACTGATCCATCGTCATGGCCTCTGCAGGATCAGGCGAGAGGAGCACTAATACCTCCAGGACGATGGCCAAAACTGCGGATGAGCGTCGTTTCCAATGCCTCATAATGTCACCAACACAATATGTCTACTGGACAACGAGTGGGAGACATTTATAGGCTGACTTGGTGGGATGGACACCTGACAATTAAATGGGAAGAATCCCTAATTAAACAACGCACCAACACGCCATTTTCACCTGTGACCGAACCTTTATTGGAGATATGACAGTTTAATTGCTTGTATATTTCCTATATACTTGTACACATATCTGAGCTCAATTTCAGCTCGTGTATACGTTAAATAGTTACAAATGAAAAAGGATTTTTTTGTAACTAATTCAAACCTATAACTTTAAATGAAGAATCTAGATTAAATAATCTAAGCAACGTTTAGCTGATTTTTGCTGTTGTCCTGGTTAAGAAAGACTTAAGGGAGAGTTTGTTAGATTTTCGACAATGCTTTTGTATTTTTTAGCGTGTATTAATTTATTATTTGTTTTTGCAACAAAAACTGTTTCTATGCCTTATGTATCGTTTTTAGTTTGAATTTAGATTCTATGATTGTATAAGACTAAAAGTCCTTTTATTTGCAATCAAATCAAAATGAAAAATTAAAGGATGCAAACCATTGATAACTATCTCAAGTTTAGATGAATATTGAGCTTGAGATCAGTAAATAATATTTCATTTATCATACCTATTATAACAACTATTTCGTTATAATATTACTGAAAATATATTATTTGATAATAATAGATCAATATACATATATACAAATAGGAAACTTAAAATCTTGTATGACAAAACTGTTCTCCGATTCCGGTTTTGGCATGTAATTTATTTATTACTGTTTTGATGTATAAGCGTCAAAAGGCAATTAAGTAGAGAAATAAGCTGTGTAGTTATAAAATCTTCCTCAGTATTTTGAAGATGTTACTTCTATGGAATCAAAACCCACCCAACCGGATCGTTACCGATGCACATCACGTTTTTCTCAGAGAATCGGAGTGGATTATCATGGGCAAATTTCAGCGCCTGGAAACATGTTGCCAAACAAAAGTCAGCAACATTGAGATAATACACGAAATTAGGTCCAAGCTCATAAGCATTAAAGGGGACCGGCATATCAGTGTCTCGCTTTCCAAACTAGTGATAAGCCAATAGCGAAAAGTGCTCGGATTATTTTGGTATTCATAATATTTACTATTTAAGTGACGGTTCCCGTCCCAAAGAGCTTTTGTCTGAACTGAGATACAAGCGACTTGCCCGAGAGCCGCTTCGTAATTCAGGGAAAACCAAAAGTGTCAACGCAACGAACAAGTTCGAAAACAGTGTCCAAGGTAAATCGTAATTTGAGCCGATCTCAGCTTGCTTCCATATCGGAGCAGAAGTTTGTTGGAGAATTTCGCAAATCAGAACTCATTCAACTGGCGACGGAAGCGGAACGAGATAAAATCCCAGTGCATTTGCAAAATATTTTAAAATGAAGGTCTTTCTTTGGGCTTTCTCGGCTTTATTAGGCTGTATTTCGCAGCAGGCATTAGCAAAAACATTTGCCAATGAATACATAGGTGAGCATAAACATCAAAGTATATCCTCTGAAATTAAAAAAAGTTTATAACACATTTATGGATTTATTGAAAATCAAATAAAATTTAAATTAATAAATTTTAAAATCGTTTAGGAATATCCTAAGATTTAAACATTACACTGTTAATAAAATCTTTTTAAACTTTTAGACCTACTAGACTTTAGAGATAACGATGAGTTCCAATGGGGCGAATCAGAAAACGCTCTTTATAGCCACCAAAATAGCAGTGGGGTCGTGAATTTTCTGTCTCAACATCGTCTTAACAAGCGGCAGGCTCCAACCTCGCAATTGTTGGTAGGTTATTCTTGAATGCTTCTATAGGTTTACAATTAAACAATTAAATAATCACAGGAAAACAAGGATTATGGTCCGTGCAGTACTCCTTTGGGGGAATCCGGTCGGTGTCGCCACATTATCTACTGCCGCATGCCAGAACTCAAAAACGATGTCTGGCGTTTGGTCTCCCAGCTTTGTATTATTGAAAAGAGGTATGTGGCTTTTAATAACAAATTAATTGCAAAGCAAGTTCGATCTGAAAATACTTTATCGAGCTTTAAGATATATTTGCAAAGTTTTGAGGCAGCATTGAAAATATAAAATAAAATAATTTAACTGAGATACAAAAACATGAAAAAAATCTAGCTGCGGCGATCCCAAGCTGGTATACGTTTGCAATTAAAACTTAAATGTAAGAAACGAAAATAATTGTTTTATATCTTTAATTGAAATGAATTGCTAAATGGAAAGAATTTAATAATTTTAAGAGAGCTTTATGTCATAGAATGAAAATGAATCCTTAAAAGATAAAGAAAAACGACGTTATAATTTTTTGTTTCGATCTCTCTTATGGGAGCTATCCGATATAGTCCAATAGACTTTTAGACTTACATAACATATATGTATAGTGCGTGCAACTACTATACAACCTTTGGTAAATGTTTATCGATATAGCTTTAAACTGCGGGACTAATAGACGTCTAGTTCGATTCAAACGGTGATGATAATCAAGAAGATATTATATAATATATACTTTATGGTGTCTGAGGTAGACACCTCACCTCACCTTCACTGCGTTGTTAACTTCTGATTGAAATTATAATAGCCTCTGCAAGGCTGTCAATGAGTCAATTAAAATTAAAAAATTAGGGTCCGCATTGTTAAAAAAAATGTTCAAGCATATGAAATAATATAACATATTTTAAACTCAGTTCTATAGGCATTTGTTGCACAGAGCAGGCGACCAGCAACCGCTTTAGTCCCCAGATCGTGACTAATCCGGACCAGGACGAGCCGCGCATCGTCAACCAGCCTGAGCAACGCGGCTGTGGGATAACCTCCAGACAGTTCCCGCGGCTAACCGGCGGACGACCTGCCGAGCCGGACGAGTGGCCCTGGATGGCTGCCCTGCTGCAGGAGGGGCTGCCCTTCGTGTGGTGCGGTGGTGTCCTGATCACCGACCGTCATGTCCTCACTGCTGCCCACTGCATCCACAAGAAGAGCAAGCAGGACATCTTCGTTCGCCTGGGCGAGTACAACACGCATATGCTGAACGAGACGCGGGCGAGGGATTTCCGCATTGCCAACATGGTCCATCACATCGATTACAATCCGCAGAACTACGACAATGATATTGCCATTGTCAGAATCGATCGGGCCACTCTGTTCAACACATACATCTGGCCAGTTTGCATGCCGCCCGTGAACGAGGACTGGTCGGATAGGAATGCCATTGTCACCGGATGGGGCACCCAGAAATTTGGCGGACCTCATTCAAACATCCTAATGGAGGTAAGACTACATTCTGTTTATTTATATACATTGCTTATTACTATTCCGTAACCATATCATTGTTGAATTTATGGTTTCCCAACTTTTTTAGGCAACGACATCTTTTGTAAGACTATATTCTTTTTTATAGGAAGTTCAAACTAATATTGATTCATTTTAATACAAAAATATTTTAACGACTTTAGGTTAACCTGCCGGTGTGGAAGCAGTCTGACTGCCGGGCGTCCTTTGTGCAGCACGTTCCGGACACCGCAATGTGCGCGGGATTTCCAGAAGGCGGTCAGGATTCCTGTCAGGGAGATAGCGGAGGTCCACTGCTCGTGCAGCTACCCAACCGACGCTGGGTTACCATTGGCATCGTGTCCTGGGGCGTCGGCTGCGGAGAGCGCGGACGTCCGGGTATTTATACGCGTGTGGATCGCTATCTGGACTGGATTCTGGCCAACGCAGACGTCTAAAGTATACGCAGTTCTGGCTTCTGTTCGTCAGTACATTCAATTTACTTGGCATTAGTTTATCAAATGCTATGGTCTAAATACACTAATTAACCTGATAACGATCGATATCAATAAACTATGAACACCCGTACAACCCCCAAGCTAAGAATACGATTAAGGCTGCTTCGACGCCTTGGCGGCTGCCGCACTGGAAACCTTTTGCAATGGCTCCTGCTCCACTACGTTGTCGGTAGTCGTTTCGGTGGCATCGGCAAAGGCTATTTTGTAGACATCATCGTAGGTGGTGGCGAAGTGTACTTCTAGACCCTCGGTTATATACGAGGGTAACTCCTCGAAGTCTTTTTTGTTATCCACAGGCAGGATCAGACAATTGACTCCACTTCGACGGGCCTGGATTAATATGCATTGAATTATTAAATACTAAAACCTTTTTTGTTCATTCTTTAACTTACTGCAATGGTCTTCTCCTTGATGCCACCCACGGTCAGCACTTTTCCTTTCAGGGACACTTCACCCGTCATTGCCACATCTTGTCGCACTGGCTTGCCAGTGGCCAAAGAAACCAAGGCTGTGATGATGGTAATTCCAGCACTGGGACCATCTTTCGGTGTGGCTCCTTCAGGAACATGAAGATGAATGTGTCTGTAAATAATATGTAATATTATAATAATACAATATAAAAAATATAATATGAACCCTGGTTGGTATTTAAAATCACAAATGTTTTCATGCTTAAGCTAGCGCTGTATGGGTATCACTTGAAACTGCCCAATACAAAACCACCTGTCCTTTTAGTTTTAATAATCTTGACGATCATAAAAAGCAGAAAGTACATTTTAAAGGCTTCAGAGATTTACCATTTATAAAATTAAATTTAACTGAGCTATGCAAAATGTTAAGAAAATTAACGTCTTTTTGAAACTAGACTAAATTAGTGGTAAAGACACTTATTCGAAAACCAAAGTTAGGTTACTCAACTACATAAAAAAAAATAACTTAAAATCAAAACTTACTCCTGCTCCAAGAATAAATTCTTAGGATCAATCGTGTTCAAAAAGTTTCGTGCTACAGTTAAGGCTATTTGGGCCGATTCCTTCATGACATCTCCCAGATTGCCGGTGATGTGTAGAGTTCCACTGGCAGAAGTCGCATCTGTTTTTTCCGAATGTCGTATGTGGCGCCTGGAGGTTTCGATATAGAGTGAAGAGCCCCCCATGGCCGTCCAGGCCAAGCCCATTACCACGCCTACCGGTGTGGTGGCGTACATGCGATCTGAGCTGAAGATCTGCTTGCCCAGGAATGTGGTCAGGTTATCAGCGTTCACGGGGAAGTGCTCGCCCTCCTTCTTCACCAGTCGGAAGGCCACCTTGCGAATAACTTTCTCGATATGCTTCTGCAGATTTCGCACACCGGATTCCCGACAATAACTGCGGATGAGCATATTTAAGGCATCTTCGGTAATGTTAATCTGCTTATCCGTTAGGCCGCAGTCCTTCATGGCCTGAGGCATTAGGTACTGTCGTGCGATGGCGATCTTTTCCTCGGCAACATAACCAGACATCTCGATCAACTCCATGCGATCCCTTAAAGGCTCAGGGATGGTGTCGATAACGTTGGCTGTGCAAATAAAAAGTACTCGAGAGAGGTCCACTGGCACATCCAGATAGTGATCCAAGAAATTGGCATTCTGCTCAGGGTCGAGGAGCTCGAGCAAAGCAGAGCTGGGATCTCCCTGGTATCCTCTAAAGGATAATTTCTTATTAATTAAATTTCTTCGAGTCTGAGGCTTCAACTTTAACTTACTTGCCGATCTTATCGACCTCATCGATAAGCACCAAGGGGTTTTCTATCTTGGTCTTCTTCAGGCACTGAATCAGCTTACCAGGCATAGCGCCCACATACGTGCGGCGATGACCCTTGATTTCAGCTACGTCCGTCATTCCTCCCACGCTGAAGCGGAAATACTCTCGGTTCAAGGCGCGAGCAATGGACTTGGCTATGCTTGTCTTTCCCACACCAGGAGGCCCATGAAAGCACAGGATCTTGCCCTGCGTGGTGCCCTTCAGGGAGCTGACGGCAATGAACTCCAAAATACGCTTCTTAATATCTTCCATGCCATAGTGATCATTGTTCAGAATCTCAGTCGCTTTCTCCAGGCAGAGATTCTCGGTACTTATAACGCCCCAGGGCAGAGAGGTAAGCCAGTCGAGGTAATTGCGGGTAACGCTAGACACAAAGGGATATAAGTTATAAGATAGTAAAACCTAATTAATTAGAGGTTCTTACTTAAACTCAGAGCTGTGGCTCTCCAGGAAGTTCAGTTTGGTCAGCTCTTCGTCAATTACTGTCATTATACTTTCGGGAACGACCTTATCTTTCAGTTTTTCGCGATACTTTTCACCTATAGCATCCTTGTCATCTTTTTCGATTCCGAGTTCTTTTTTGATAACCTTCAGCTGTTCTTGAAGTATATATTTTCGGTGCTGCTGTTTGACCTTCTCCTCCACTTCGCGTCCAATTTTTTGTTGCAGCCTCGACAGTTCCAATTCTTTTTTTAGCAGAGTAAGGGCCAGCTGCAGGCGTTCTGGTATCTAAAATGAAGTAGCCTGTTTAAAATGTTTCTTGTGCTTAGGTATAAACAAAATTACATCCGTTTCCTCAAGAATCTTTTGGAGTTCAGCTGGCTCTCCAGCGGAAAGTGAAGCACCTAAATCACATAGGTAAATAGGATTGTCGACTACGCGTTGGTTTTGATGCAGCATCTGCTGGAGACTCTCTCTGAAATAATGTGTATAAGTTAGATAAACATAAAAAGTAATCAAAGTCTTGTGGGGGTACCTATACAAGGGATTCATTGTGATGATATCCCGTAGAGTCTTAATGATCTCCTGGGTCAACGCCTTGACCTCTTCAGTTTGTTTGTAAATTGGCTGCTTTACATTCTCTACTTCTACAATGAGAACAGGAGGGGCGCTTTGCGCGGACTCAGAAGCACCTTCTGCAGCGCCTTCGGCCTCTACTTTTTTTCCTTCCGTGGGAGGCTTGGGCGAACTTATAGACTCGACTTGGCCTGATTTTAGAGGCGGTTCTAGAGTCTGAGCTTGAACAATTTCCTCAGCGGCCGCCGACTCGCGTAATTTTCCAGCCCGGCTTCTGGGAACCCGGCCACGAGGCTTTCGGGTTGCCTCGGACCTGGATTTCACTGGCGCCACCTCCGCTTGATCAGTCGTTTGATCTTCAGCTGGGATTTGTAATTTAACATTAAATAGTGGATAATGCAAAGTTGTCATTTTCACTAAGAGCAGAAACATATGTCACAACAGTTGGGCGCTTAGTGTGTGTCTGATTAAAAAGCTTACCGGGTTTGGGCACATCCTCGACCACCTGACCTGTGATCCGAATGCGCCGGTGGGCCACCACAACCATGCGCAACTTGTCTCCCAGATCTTGTAGCTCCTGGATTTGTGCAAATGTGCCGAGGCTGTAGACATCATTTAAATTGTGAATGAGTTCCTCCTCGCCATCAGATTTCTTGAGAAACACGCCCACATAAGGTTGATTTAGCTTTACTTTACGACGCAGCAGGTCCATGATTATAGGATTGGATACCTGCAAACCGTTAAATTTTGTAAATTAGTATATGTTTTTTTTTATAAAGATCAGTTAAGCTAACTTTGAATATTTTCTTTTTATCTGTTACATTAATAAGACCATTTTTTTAATATGATTTTAAAGCCATTAACGCCCAAAGAGCATTGGGACGCTTTTATTGTTTCTACAATTTAATCTACTCTACTTATCTAGCTCTTTCTAGAACATCTTTAAAAACAGATAAGAAAGCGGGTTTTCTAAATTTCACTTCAATAACCCAGGTCGGCTTTTAATTCTTAATAAATTTACTATAAACTTAAAACAACTTAAAGGTTTCTGAAATTTAGTTAGCTAGCGTCTTTCCATCATTGACAAAGCATACATCTACAATTCAAGTACTTCTGTTGACAAATTAGAATTTTAAGACTGTTTCGGAATTCTATGATCAACTACTTTCTTCAGAGACGAAATAACTTTACCTCCACAATCTTCATGAAGCGCGGAAAGAGGGGATTCTTGCGCATGGCCAGCAGCGGGACATGTGGCCAGACATCCGGCACCGCCACCGTAGCCGGCAGCTGGGGATCTCGGTCAGACATCAGCTCAGGGCCGTGGCCCTCCGACATCATGTCCTCGTCGGAATCGTCCCTTTTGCGGCTGTAGAAGCGCTGCACCATTAAATTGGCTCCATGAAATCGCTGAAGGCGCGTTGCCCGATCCCGGCAGTACTGCATCAGGGAACTCTGGGCGGGACGGTTTCGTGTCCACACCGACGTCGAGGCGATGCCCCGCATCAAGGGACGCACTCGAATAGCGCGGGCTAGCATTTCGATGACAATTCCCACTCGCAATTTACTTAGAAATATCTAGAAATGGTAAAAAAAACAATTTGCAGTCCAAATGTGTGAGGAGTGATTATGTGACGGCTGGTGAAATGACAGCTGCTGGCAGTGTTGCCAAACGATTTCTGGTACTACTGCACTGTGTGACCATCTTAGTAACATTGCAGAGGGTTTTATAATTTTAGTCAGAAGTTTGCAATGCAGTGGTACCGACTCAATAAATGCTTTTGACCAGCATCAAGTGAGCATATTAAGACATGTATGCGCAGGTCCATCTGTTATTCTAGGTTCTCAGTTTTTAGGCGACTTACTAAAACTACCAAATTTGTATTTATTTGTATATGCTACCATAAGAATGATTGAAAAATAAAACTCACCTTACCACTTTACCTAAATACTATCGGAATAAAAATTTTTTTGTTGTGTTTTTAGAATATACTGGCCAGTATTAATGTAGAGTACCCCATTATTTGAAATTCGTGTTTGTCCAAAACTGCAAAATTGATTTGTATTGCTTTTTATTAAATGTTCATGTGTCAACCCACTGTAGAATTAGTGTTGATAATCGGCAAAAATCAAACGGCAGTCAGAAAGACGGCAAAGATTGTAAAATTTAGATTTAACTGCATTTAATCATGGTTTCCCGATTTGACCAACAAAAGACCAAGCACCAGCTCTTCCACGTGTCCCTCAGTTTGGCCACCATCCTGATCTGCATGGCCTACATGCAGTATCGCCGGAATTGGGCACATCTTGGCAGCTTCTGGGACTCGTTGGTTGTCCCGATAGTTTTTCTCGGAGAGCTGCTAAAAGTTGTATTGGCCCGATTTTATGGACGGGTGGAGGATGGTGTTCTAACCGTCAAACAGCGCCAGAAAAAGGCCTCGTACTTCACGCCGCGGGAGCTCCTGGGCGGATTCACCCTTCAGTTTCTGTGCACGCTACTCTACGCCTTCATCTGCATTATTTTGGGAGCCCCTGTGCTGGGCAACTACGAGCAGACCTTTGTCCTAGCCTTACTGATGACCCTGCTAACAGTCTCCCCCACTGTTTTCCTGCTCGGGGGTGGAGGAGCCCTCCAAGTGTGCTTCTGCGAGAAACCCGATTTTGTGACCAAGTGCGAGGACACGGCGCTGAATCTGTTCAAGTATAATGCGCTGGGTGGGATTTTGGGCGCCTGGGCAGGGAGTGTGGTTGCGCCTCTCGACTGGGGCCGCGAGTGGCAGGCCTATCCGATTCCGAACGTGATTGGAGCTCTTTTAGGAAGCGCCTTGGGCAACATATACGCCTGTACGCACGTACTCTACGCCACAGCCCGTGTTTACATGACAAAAAAACGAACTTAAGCATAATAAAAGCTATTAATCCTGCCACCAAGATTATTACGTTGCGCTGCCACTGAAATCCACACGAATTCCAATCATCTATTAAGAACCACGTCATCATCTCGTCTAGTCAGCAGCTTAGAAATTACCAAAAAGCAATTAACACTTTAATGTTACATGTTTAAGCATTTTACTAGAGTGTAATACATATTATTGAATTCTTTTTCTAAATCAATCAATTAATAAACTAACAAATTATAAATTTAATCACAAGCTTTAAAGACCTTCAGATTCCTTGCAAACTAATTATGATTGCACTATTAAATTCTTATAATTTTAAGCTATAACCCAAATTGGTTCCAATTTTGATTTTCAGAAATGAGGGAACCTTGGATATTTTAAGTTTGTGAAATAATGATTTTATTCAGACCGTGAATGCTGATCAGAAAAATATTTCTCAAGGATAAACTATTATAATCGAACTCTGCTACCCCAAGTTAATGATAAATGAGGAAACCATATTAAAGCATCTTAACCGATCTCAACAGATGGCATGTAGTGATTTACAGACGCAAGTTGACGACAGATTTAAGCTTTAACAGCCATCACAAAAGTCTCATCCTCCAATAGACACCGTTGGCCGACATAGTTATCATTGGGCTCCCAGTAGTCCTCTTCATCGGCGTCAGCCAGAGGTTGGCAGGCCTCCTCATTGTTGATTGCTTCCTCAGGTAGTGGGAACTCCCGTCGACTATCTGTGGAGTCGTCGGAAGACGGTCTTCTCCGAAGAAAAGCTCCCATTGGCGCTGCCGGGCAGTGGCCTGTCTCAAAAATTTTATAAAGCTTTATGAAATGCAAGCCACTGGCCAGCCGTTGACCCTCCTCTCTGGCCACTAAGGCACTCCAACTTATAGCCAGAGTGGCGTGCGGCACATAGGCAGCGATGCTTGCGTTGAACTCCTCCGTAGAGATGTTAGTATTAAAATACACCGTCTCCTCATTGGTAAGGAAGCTATACGGCTCTTGTATCGCGGGCATAGTCTGCTCTACCTGTTGGGCGTGCTGCGCAGGCATTATTTTCAAATGAGAAAGTCGCGATTGCAGCAAGGTTTTGATCGATGGAATGTCTTGAAAATCTTCTTTTTTTGTCCTCTCCTGCAAGCGACACTGGAAGTTGCAGCATATGGAAGACTTGAGGCACTGTGCTTCCGCCTGTCCCGGGCTGACACCCATGCTGTTCATTACTAAAAATAAAATACGTATAGATGAATTTCTAGGTGTCACAACAAAGTCTTTTTCGGTGGTGTTGTACTAAAGCATAAATATGAAGTAGATCCATTTATGTTAGATGTTCAAAGAAGTTGTTTGAACTTAGTTGCAAAATAATAATAAGCTTGAGAAATTTTTAACTGAAATTATTTTTTGTTTAGATTCAGCACCCCAGAAAATATTCATATTAGTAGAGATCACTTACTGTGTAGTTTATGTGGGTTCAAATCAAATTCCTTGGAGTACAAGGAAATCGAGTTGATGTAAACCTCGGTTCCATCAACTGCATGCTGGTTTCTTACGTTCACATCAAGACCCAGTTCGTTGGTCACGGCATTGCTCACCACACAAGTGGATTCAGCCTGCAGACAGCTCTCTACTTCCAGCTGCCAAATGTGCCGAACCAATCGATACCGTAAGTGAGCATTTGTTCCCACTGGTATAGAGTAATAGAAGAGTAGACGAAGGGTAAAGGGTCCAGCCTGGTGGGGAGCCTGCAACCACATGGATATTGTTTGAACCTGCTGGGCATCAAGCGCAGCCTGCCCTGGGCGTTGAAGCAGTTTGTAAACCCGTTGTCCACGGATTTCTTTGTCCTTTACGAGTTTGTCATTAGACAGATTGCGAAGGGCTAAAAAGTTTGATATTTTAAATAATTTCAAAAATGCCAGTTATTATTTACTCACAACTCATCATAGCCAGCGACATTTGACTGTTCTGATCCAAGAGGGACACACAGCGCGGATTGTCGCATCCTAAGTAAATCTCCCCTATCGGAGTGATCCCTAAATTCCGTAGTGTTACCGAAACGGGTACAATTTCACCAGCTAAAAGTCGACTGGGAACAGGACTAAAGCTAACATTCATGGCGGGCAGTTGGGGAATCAACTTTATAGTTAATCTATTGTCCAAAACAGTCTGCGAGGATTGCTTGGCATTGTTGGGTCGGATTTTTTGCGTCTCGAACTGCAAGGTACCTAGCAGACTAGCGGCTGGTTCCGCACTGGCTGCTACTCGACAAACCACTCCAAGAACATTAAGGCGTCCAGTCAACTTAGGAGTCAGTTTGAAGTGCAAAGTTTCCTCAGCCTGTTCGGCTAGTTTAATTGAAGCCACACAACTTGTTTTAATTGCAGCTCCAACAGCTATTTTGCTGGCACTATCCGACGATTCTCCATAAATGCAGGCGTTGGAGAGGACCTCCTCATTATCTAATGTTAGTTTCCACAGTATATCGATTTCAGAGAGAACTATCCCACATCGAACGCTATTGGAAAGGGTCACAGCCAGCTCTATGGGTTCACCCTGCACTGCGATTGGAGTTTCCATTGCAGGCTGCTGTTTGGTGAACAAATATCTTGAGGGCTTAAACACAAACGGCTTATTATTGGCAGCCGTAATGACGAGCATTTCTTCTATCTTGTTCCAAATAGACTCATCTGCGGTCAGGTTAGAATTTATGTCTATGTTTGTGGCCGGCACTTGTGGTGCCAGAGCCGATGGTGATTGCACTAGGGTAAGAACTCGAACGGAAGATTGCACTACTTGGGGTAAAGCGTGTGGTAGCAATCCCAATTCAGGACTGCGCTTCAAGAGTTCCTAAGAAAGTATATAAAAGACATTGGAATAAGATGGTTTAAAAAATTTGATAACAGTAACTTTAAAACTAGTATTTCATTGATATAATGGAGAAGAACTTACATTCTGTGTTTGAATGTACTCCTTCAGAAAGCTGCTCTGCTGTTGCGCACTTTGAAGGCTTCCAGGTCTCAATAAGTGAGCAAAGGAACGACTGGCCTCATCGAGTTGCTTCAGCATGTAGGCCTGCTTAGCCACCGTATATTGAATGTGATCCTCAGCCAAACTCCACTCGCGCCTCTGGAAGACCTGATAGGCCTGACGGTAGCAACGATACGCATGCTTTCGTTGACCAGCGCGAGAATAACGATTTCCGGCCAGCACAATATGAAAGGCATACTTTCTGTGCATGGGCGGTTGGGTCACCAAGAAACAGTAGGCTGCCTGCTCAAGCAACAGAGCTGAGCGAAGATCTGATTCCTCATTGGTCATGCGAATTAATTGCTTGGCCACTTCGCTATATAGTCGCGCTGTTTTCAGACATTCCATGCTCAAGAGTGTTGCTCTTGTGGCGAATTGCTGCAATCTGCAACAACAAAATTATCAAAAATTGCAAGAGACGTTAATGAAATTTCACAGATATCTCACTTGCACACTGTAAGGTAACACACGATCGCATCTTCCATATAGTCATAGGTCTTTCGCTGGGCTGTGCCCAACATGAAGGCAGATAAAGCAGCCATTTCCAAGGCTCCTGCATAGTACTGCCAGGCAGAGTCTGCATTAAAATCTCGTTTAGCTTGATGGTAAGCTTGAAAAGCCAAATTGTAGTGGCCAAACATAAAGTAAAGGTCGCCCAACTTCCTAGTTTGAAGCTCTGCAGATTCGTTGGTGTAGCTGAAATCAAATAAAATAATTAGTGGTGTATATTTAAAAACAAAATATTTAAAAAAATATTAAATCAAGCTTTATGTCTTACATGACTGCATTTTGATTGTTTGCTCCTGCTCCGGGCTTGCTAGTGACAAACCACCGTTTGGTGGCGCTTAGGAGGGATTTGCTGACGCCCTTTTTGTTGGTCACTCCCTCAGCGAGAATAGCCACCAAATGCTCAATATACGGTATCAAAGCACGCACAGCATAGTCTTGCACAAAGTGCCGAAGGTTATCAATGTCCCGACTGGTCAGACATACGCCGTGCGGGGCATCCGCTTCCAACTCATTTGCCCACACATTCGGATTGATGGTTTGGGAGGCGATGCTTTCGCTGCTTATGCTAAACTTTGAATTAATTGCCTCTGTGGCACTCTCCTGCATGGGGCTCAGTGGATGCAGCATGGCCAGATCGCTTTCTTGAGCATTGGCTCCATCCAGTAGCTGTGACATCTGCATGGCAGGCATGGTGATGACGGAAACGGCTTCCTGTGGCGATTTCGGTGCACTTAAATCCGTCGAAGGTAGATTAGCATCACTTTTTGGTTGCCTTTTGATAAATGTTGCCCAATGATCCGGAACCTCTGCGGCACTCTGCCCATCCAACGAGTTGATGGACACCAGGAAGCACTTGCTGTCTCCAAAGGTGGACCTCAGCAGCTCGAAGCCTTGCTGCGCTTTTGACAAATCCCCCTGGCTAGCCTCGTGCAGCACCACGTAACTATTAAGCACTTCGGTGGGGTGGAACCACTTAGGCAGCTTTTGAGGCGTGATGCTTTGCATCTGCTGCACTCGTTGTCCCAGTTTGTGGGCCGTCTCCACGATCTGTGGATCAGCGCTGGACAATACCAGCAAGCAGCTCAGTAAGTGGCGGGTGAACTCATGATCCGCCGGGAATTGCACAGTCAAAAAAGTCTCGCGCCATTGCTCGAACCAAGGTTCTGAGGTGGGCAACTCGAGGTCGATGTCAGCTTGAAAAATGTAATACGTGGTTAGAAAGAAGTACTATCGCGTTAACAGATAGCCTACCTATAGTAGCCAGTCTAGTTTTGTCATTGTTTGCATTGGACACCGACTCATTGAGCATCTTCCTGGCCAAAACCGTTTGGGGCGGCCGCCAGTCCACATCACAAAAGTTAAGGCGAAGCCCACGAACTGAGACACTCGTCCCGGAAACGTCACGAAAGTGAGCTGGAAGATATAATGATGACTTAGATTAAATATATATGTTGACTATGGGATAGCCCTGCCAATGAACTCGGTTTTTTTAAGCTTGCTATATTTAAGCTATTGTGAATATCCAAAGCAAGTATTAATATCTAATTAGTCCTGTAATAACTTTAATCAAAACAATTTACATATGTTAATGTTCTCCTAATGGATACGATACATCTACTGTGTTGTTAGTTGTATATCCACCAGATAAAACCTTTTCTTTATAGTTTCTTTGTTTTCTGCTAAATGTTGAATAACCAAGACGAATCGGTTATGGAGCTCTATTGGATGCACTACTTTTTTGGACACAGCTGTGTCTTGTTTACCTCACTCATTTGCCCATTGACATCCACCCATCCACTCACCATCGTTTGGCAACTTTGCGAACGGCTGCAGGAGCTCCACGAAGGAGAGGTTGTTCCGGTGACAGATCTCGTCCGCCTGCGGACTGGACAGCACGCCGATCAGCGGCGAGAAAATGTTCCGGATTATATCGCGCGCATTGTAGTTCTGACCCGTCAGGTGCAGCATTACTTCAACTATTTACAGGGAAAACCAAGAACACCACAAATTAGGGGGAGCCACTAGAGATGGAACTAAAATCGATTCAGTGCAGATTTTTCTGGCATCGATTATTTCATAAGTCGAATAAAATATCTCATTCAAAACAGCTGGTCAGCTTTGTTTCTTAAAGTTTTTGTAATACCTTAATAGTATGTGAAAACCGTATAGCCAACATTATATACATTATTTTCTTGAAAGGACTTATGTTTAAATATATTTCTACAAGAAGAATAAATATATTAAGAATAAATTATATTTTCTTGCAATTTTAAATTTTAAAGCCAAGAGAAATACATTTTATTCCGAAAACTTACATTTATATTCTGCATATTTTCGTTTCAACTATCGCCGCGTTTTGACATTCTGTCACTTGTCGTGGTGAGTTTTTCACCACCGCTTGCTCCTCAAAACGGTCACACTGAAGCGCGGGAAAGCCGTCAGCTGTCATCACAAATTTTGCGAGCAACTAGGCGAAAGAATTACAATAAATAAACCTAAAAGTCGCTGCAGAGAAGTACACGAACCCGAAAAAGAAAGTTACACTAACAATCAGAAATTATTGCATCACAAAACGCAAGAGTTGATCGCGGTTTCAGCAGTCGCACTTTTTCAAGGTGTTATTTTCCTGCACGGAACAAAAGCAGAACCTGCTGAAAAAGCGCGGCGTTTCAGGCGTCTGGAATAAATCAGTCTGTGCATCCCAATCCACGAGGTACAGTCATGGCCAAGGTACACATCACCAACGTGGTGGTGCTGGACAATCCTAGCAGCTTCTTCAATCCTTTCCAGTTCGAGCTGACATTCGAGTGCATTGAGGAGCTGAAAGAGGATCTAGAGTGGAAGATGATCTACGTGGGCTCGGCGGAGTCGGAGGAGCACGACCAGGTGCTGGACACTATATACGTGGGCCCGGTGCCCGAGGGAAGACACATCTTTGTCTTTCAGGCGGATCCGCCAGATGTTAGCAAGATCCCAGAACCAGACGCAGTGGGCGTCACCATTGTCCTGCTCACCTGCTCATATCGCGGACAGGAGTTCGTACGTGTGGGCTATTATGTAAACAACGACTATGCGGATCCGGAGATGCGCGAGAACCCGCCACCGAAACCCCTCTTCGACAAATTGACTCGCAACATCCTGGCCAGCAAGCCGCGAGTCACCCGCTTCAAGATCAACTGGGATTATGGGCACATCAACGGTAACGGTAACGGAGTCGAGAACGGCCATGACGAGGAAATGGTCACCGATGGCCCGTCCACGTCCGAAGCAGCGTCAGTCGTTGTGCAACCGGAGGAAGACAACAGCCTGGCCATGCCCATCGAGAACGGTATTAAGGCCCTCAACGAGAACTCCAACTCACTGGCCATGGAATGTTGAGATCTGCCGGCAGTCCCAGCTGTAACCACATAAACCCACACACACAGCCTCTCACCCACACGAACACATGCTGCTATGGTCGACGACTTGAGGATAACTCCGACTCGGACACTTAGCACTACATGTCCCTCTATTTAAGTAACTATTAATTAAATCAAACAGTTAAATATATATACATTAAATTAATTTCTAAGCTTTGGGTGTTTTCTTATAGATAATGAGGAACGTTGCGGTTTAAAAAGTGCAGTAAACGTTGGTTGAAAACTTTTTGGGCTTGCTCAAAATTTGAATGCTATCGGCAAGTTCTTTTATCTTTTCAAATCTGCACAATCAATGCTGTTTAGATTGGTAAAATAATGAATTCGATACACTTTGCAAAATCGCATCTTTTGTTTCGGTTTTACCTTAAATACAATTCAAAGTTGGAACCGGTCCTGCTATTCTGATTTATTTAGTAAGGAATAATATAAGGTTTACTTTATTTTACTGAACAATTTTTTTATTATTGCCTATAAATGAATTTGAGCTTTAAAAATGTAAGTAAATCTGATATAAAAATGACTGTCAAAATAAACAATTATACGAAAATGTAAACAAAAAATAATTGCCTTCGAATTGAAAAGGTTTACTTTAACCAAAATCAGATTAAACATTTTCGAAAGTTCAAAGTTAAACAGAAAGACATATTGTGCCTTACCTAGTGATCAAATCTTCCTTTCTGCAATATTCAGCTAAAATTTTAGTAAAACGAAAACAAAAAGTGTAAGAATTTTTTTTACGCAAATTAAAATTCTAGACAGCCAGGATGCCGATCAGCCAACAGGATCTGTGCCGTATGGCCAGCATGCAAAGCTGCTGTCCTCGGTTCAGCAATAGCAAATCTAGCAACACGTGAGATGTGCTCCCAATTGCAGCGGTTTTTGAGTGCTTATCTGTGTCCTGTTTACCCTTAGATACATTAGCTACGTTGATCAGGATCTGGCAAGCAAGTTTTACAGCGGAGGATCTTCCATGGGGGAACTCAGCTGCGACCACTGGAAATTCTGCGAAAAGATTCCGAATCGTTCGGAGGTGGAGGCCGATTCCTTGGGCAGTCCTGTGGGTCTGGTCTGCTCGAATGCCACCCTGAACAATCCTTGCGGCAGCAGTCCGAAGCAGGAGGAGGCGAATGTCCTGAATTTTGCCATATACCTGAAGGCTTTTGCTTTGATTTATGTCCTGCCTGAGGTGGATTGGACGGCGGAGAAGATCGACATGCTGCTGGAGGAGGGCACCGACTTATTCCGGGCCAGCTCCGAATCAGATCGGGAGCAGGGCGACCAGGAGGCCAATTGGCTGCTCCAACCGGAGATTTACACAAACGAGGAGAAACGGATCAAAAGGAACTTTAATCTCGAAGGGCACACCTTTACTTTGGCCTTGGAACCCCCTTACCTGGCGACTAGCTCAAAACCCCTGAACCAGCAACCGCCATACACGATAAAGAACTTAAGTCCCGTGCTTCAATGCTTTTTCAAGTCCAGCCGCTACTGCCTCCTGCTCACCCGAGTTGGCCATCTGCTCGTTTGGCGACGCAGGAAGGTGTTCTTTGTCCTGGACGTGAAGGGAAGGAGGAAGGATGATCTTGTGACTGTCCAGGATAACGGGGTGGCCATGATGGTGTGCTTAAAGACAATCGAAAACGTGGTTCACCTGGCCAGCAACTTGAGTGGCATTTCGCCTCAGGACGAGTTCACCATCCGGGAGCTGGTTGTGGTACGACTAGAAACCCCGGATGGACGCATCTTCATGCGGGACACCAGCCACCGGTCCATCGAATTCAGGGTGGTAAACAAAAGCTACGCCTACCTGAAGGGCACTCTGCATCTCTCCCTGAACCAAAATGATTCGTTGAGGAACCGCAGCAGCTTGATGGTGGCGGTTGGCTCGATCCTGGCCAGCAAAATAGATCACCCGGCCAACTGGGACACCAACATGCTGGATCGCCTTATCTGCTATGGAGTGGAGCTGTGTCGCAGTTGCTGGTCGGACTGCTTGAGGGACTGCAGACCTATCGACCTGGACGCCTTTCCCACCCAACTCAGGATGGGGCAGTTTGTGCTGGAGCTCAAGCTGATTCCGAATGTGAGAACGGGACACTGGATGTGTGGCGTCCGAATCATCGGCACAGACTTCGAGGCTCACGTCGCGGAGGCTCTCAAGGAGTTCGGCAACGTGGTGTTCCAAATAAACAGCCAGATGTACGCCATGTGGATCAAGGACGAGTTCTACTATCTGCTCGATCCCTATCGCCACACGATCGTGGGCACCCATGTGGCGGAGGACAAGGCTGACGGCGCCAAATGGGCCACGGTGCGCATGTTCCGCGACCAGCTGACCATGCTCAGCGTGTTCCACCAACTGCTGAAGGAGTCCAACCGGCAGTCGGCCTATTACCTGCACGTGGTCCGTATCCGTAACCTCGCTGAGTGTCCCGAGGGATACGCCCTGGCACCTTTGCCCGAGGATGCGAACAACGAAGAGGTGAAGTCCCTGAACGAACCCATCCACTTCAACGAGCAGCTGGGAGCGGGTGTCTGCGATAAGGCCCTGGCGGAGATCAGCGATTATGAGGAAGATGTGGTCAGCCGCACGGGGGACAGATTTGAGATTGAACAGTTCAAACTTCTGGAGGAGCGGCGGAACGCCGGGGCAGAGTGTGAAATGTGCGAGGAGGAGGTGGGACCCGAGGCAAGGAATCGCAGGTCATCCAAAAAGCAAACGGACTCGCGAATCAAGAAGAAATCGAGAACTGGCAAATGTGAATGTCGTGATGCTCCCTGCAAGCATACTTGTTCCAGCGCTCCTGCGAGGTACAGAATGGCTATCCAAAAGGAGCAGGAGATAATGGAAAAGCAACCCCAGGTAACAAGCCAGAAAGGTGCGGATTTAAAAAGAAAAACCTCTGGAAGATCTGAAGGCAGGGTTACCAGCCGATCTTCCGCCAAGTCCCGTACGAGTCATACTTCCAACGAAGGTTCAGCTCCTGGCAGGATTACAAAAACAAATACGAAAGCACCCCGGTTAACTGGCGGCAGATCTCCTAGCCATTCTCCCCTTCACTCCAAATCTAAGGATGGGTCTTCTCCTGTTAGAATTGGAAACCAAAATATGAAACCACATCCACAAGTCGGCGGCCGATCTGCCACCCATTGCCCCTCTAAGTCTCAAGTGCGCTCCAGGTCTAGAAAAGGCGCATCTCTTAACAGGGTTATGAACAAAATCAAAAAAAACCCCCCAGGAAATTGGTAGAAAGTCTTCTATTTATTCCTCGTTTAAATCACCTGAGATTTCAAGATCTACTGAAACAAAGACTCCTTACGGAAGGATTGTGAAAAAAAATGTGCAAAACCATACAGTAGTGGGTCGCAAAACCTCTCCATCTCCCTCTAGATCCCATGAGCGTTCCCGATCCAAACAAAGGACTTCGCCTGCCAGGTGGATTAAACGGATTTCAAAAGCGCCCAGAGAAATGGACGGGTAAGTCTTCTAACCACAGAGATGAGTTATCGCCTGGACGAACCAACTTTAAGGGATCTTCAAAAAATAATGTTTCCAAAGTACTTGTTGCCCAGAGATCAACAGTCAGAGAATCAGGTGGCAGGTCACCTGTGCGGTCCAGATCTAGGAAAAGGTCATCTTCTGGCAGGTATACTTCCCCCAAGAGAAACGTTCCCAGACCAAGCCCGGTGACCAGCAAGAGATCTGATTTCGGGGACGCAGTTAAAACTGTTTCCATACCCAACAAAGGTGTTTTGCTACTGAGTGAAGCCTCTGAGCCACTGCCCGCTCTCAAAGAGTCCCCGAAAATGATCTTTCCTCAGTCTGACGTAGCCCAGAAACCGGTGGAAAAATCCACTACTGGTGAAGTGGCTTCTGTGACCGAGGACCACGTTACTCCTGCTGAGGAAATCGTTAGCCAACCATACCAATTAGAGACTGGTTCCTTCCCTGTTGAGGATTTTCGGAGGGAGGAGAACAGGGAGAGTGAGGAAAGAGAGGAAAAAGAGCTACCGAACGAAACCCCTGGAAATTGTTGCTGCAGTGCCGGATTGGAGGACCAGCCCAGATTTCCAGGCTTCAGTCGGGTGCCGCAACTACTGGCAGTCGCTGGATCCGAAAGTGGAACCGTGGAGAGCCTGAACCGGCTGCTGTGCTCCGCCTTCAAGGTGGCCAACCGGGTGCTCACGATGACGCCGTGGGGCGACTACGTGGTTTTCCGACATCACCCCACCAGCGGGACTGAGTCGGCGGCCACGTGGTTCTACGTATTCGACGGCTGCACCTGCAACATCGACCGCTTCAGGCACTTGGATCTCTCCACGGGCACGGCCGGCTTGATCGCGTTCCGCAAGCAATCTGAGGTCGTGTGCCACATTATCGACTCGCGGGAGCAGAGGGCTCTCAATAAGCTGCGCACCCAAGCGGAGGAGCCACCCCACAAGAGGGTGAAAAGGCTGTTGGCTCGTTGACATCCCGAGATTTCGACTCTCGAAATTTTTCAGACACCTCAAAATCTTGAGTAAACTAATCTTGTAACTGTGAACCAATATGTGAAAAGGCAATATTATGTGGGTTGTACTAGATTAAGTACATTTAAGGAGACCCTTTAACTCATATTCTTCCCTTTTGCCCCGCGGAAGCTCACGTAAATAACTTTGATTAGGTTTTTGATACCAAAATAATATATAAAATTGGACAAGTACTCCAGAATTGAAGATGACTTTCGGCATTAATCAATCTTAAATGAATTTAAAATTACCTACGAATGGACCCGCAAGTTAACATAATACCGAAAATATTTTTACAAATAAACATTTCTTTTACACGTATTGGGGAGTTTTAAAAATAGAAACGAATAGGACAAGGTTTTCAGCTTTTTTACATATCATTTTATTATTATTGCTAATTCGTATGAGTCGTTAAAATTAAACTTAATATGGAGTACATTTACATAATGTAGAGAAAAGTCGCGCCCAAGCAAACGACATATCTTACGAAGCTAAACATCCAACTAGTGTGTAAATATATAGAATATATATATTGAGTGTATATAGAATTATATTAAATTTGTAATTCGTTTTGCAGCTGATGAACGATTTCCAGAGGGCGAAACGTTTTGACCACACACTATATCTGCCCAATAAGTTGCCAATGAGGTCTAGAAAGCGTTCATTGCCGCGTCATAGCCGCGGTCAGATCTACCAGATTATCATTTAGTTTTTTCCAAAAATTATTCCCATTTCTTTTTGTTGTGTTTGCATTAAGGCACTGAAGCTTCGAATTTTGTGCATATAGAAAGTAAGATTTTCGGTTGATCGAACTGTAAGTTCCCCGCATAATTGGGAAACTCCTGTCCGAATGCATCTACAAAATAAACGTACAATGCGCTTTCTAAAACACTTCCCTCACAGGTTCTTAGCAAATTTTGTTTTATAAAAAATATCCCTGACTATTTCTCCTCTTTCCTTTCTTTACTAGTTTATGCCTGAGGCCAATTCTATTAATTTGTGGCTTTGTAGTTCGGTTTTTTGTGGGAGCGTTTGTTGTTCTTTTGTGTAGTGGTGTAAGCTCTTATTATCGAAACAAAAACTAAGCTTAATGGTTAAAATTACATGTACAATCAGGGCATTTTTTAAATATATTACAAAGGCAGCTCTCTAAGGACAAGAATAGTAGTAATTATAATAAGTCTAATGCAAAATTATATTCAGCAAAATAGGAAATGCATATGATACGAGTACGACACGAATGAAGATTGCCCCAACCCAAAAGGTTCTTCTTTCCGAAACGGTCAACGCTTGGAGACGATCTTGCACTTACAAGTTTACATATAAATTAGATGGTTTATAGATCTGGACATGAACATAGATAATACCATACAATTTGGGGCGATTTCTCGTTGAGTATATAGGAGACAGTTTTGCTGGGTAACATGGACAACTCTAGTTCCGGTTTAGTTTAGGAGTTCTCACTTAGGCTAAGTATCGTCCTAGGTTAGACCATATTGACGGCGCCATCAGCCTCAAAAGTGGGTATTGATATAATATCGCTGCTGCGCACGGCTGACATCGGCAAAGTAGGACCCTCAACCTTGGGCTTAGCCGCCCGATTGCCCTGCTCCTCGTCACTGGAGTCGCTCGAATCGTCTTCGGGTTCGCTGAAGCTGTTCGTTGAGGTGGATGTGGTCTGTGTTTTCTTCATGGCCGACGCAATGTCCGTATTGCTCTCCAGCGTCGAGTGCTGACTCGAGGGCGAGTGACTGTACTCGGAGGTGTTCTCCTCCTCGTCTGAGACTATCACTACGTTGCGTTTTTGGATGGCAAGCTTCTGGGAGAGAGGGGCCTTGTAGCTGCGGCGGAGTCGCATTCCCCGACCAATGGGCAGTCGGCCAATGCTGCAATGGCGGGCAGATTGATATTAGCGTCACTTCAATAGTCTTTACATTGAACTACAAAATTGCTGGACTCACCTTCTTCTCCTCAGGGCGCACTTGTAGTCCGTGGTTTCACCCTCCTCATCCGACCAGCTGTCCTGCTCATGGGACTCTTCGTTGGCATTGCTTACCGAACTGCCGATTGGGTTGTCCCCCAGAGGCTGCTTTCGCCGTTTGCTCTGCGTGCTGCTGCACCGACTTAAGCACGGACTGTTGCCGCTTTCGCGTAGCTCCAGGGGAACAGCTCCCCCGTTCCCGTTCTCCGTGTTGCTGTTGGAGTTCGTGTTGGACTGAATGGACAGGCGGTTCTCGTTGATGAATTCGATGACTTTGCGGCCCAGGCGCTCCAGGTTTTCGTTGTCGCTGCAGCACTCGGTCATGTCCAACCGCTCGTTGCTGTTCATCACGTCGTCGATGAGCTGATCGGGACTGGAGCAGGCATCCTGGTAGGTCAGCTCGCTGGTGCTGAGCGAGTTGCCATTCGAGGGACAAGCGGGGTTCGGGGCACCGGCGGCGGATGATGTGCTTCCGCTCCGCGCCCGCGCCTGAGCTTGAGCAATTTTCTGCACCCGTTGCAGTTGGAGTGGCAGCTGGCGATGGTTCGGAACTGGCACATCGATGGGCCGAGAGCGAGGAGCCTCAGCGCTGGGACTTATGTCCGTTTCACTGACATCCATGGCGTCCGTTTGGGTGTGCCGCTCTACCAGCTGCACCTTTCTGTTCTCCGGCTCGCTCTGGTAGCGACGATCTCGCGTCGGACTGTATTTGGGTGGGGCACCAAAGGATCCGGAACCGTTGCGCCGGTGCCGGAAGTTCTTCTTGTTTTTGTTGGGCATCGTGCCGCCCAAGCCACCGCCTGGGATGATGTTGGCTAGGTACGACTTCGGTTGGCAATTGCTGTCCAGTTGGGCATAGAGCATACACTTCACAGGAGACTGAAAAATAGGAAAATCATATAAGTTCTAAGCGCCGAAATTGTGCGGGAAATTAAAAAGCAAACGCATCATATGATCCGGAATGAAGCATTGCGAAAGCAATAGCAATCATAGATGGATTTTGTTTTATACCTCCGGCGTAGTCTCGGGATCTGGCGTGGTTGACTGTTGTTGAATCACTGCTTGTGGCGGATTCAGTCGTCGGCGATAATGCTGCATTTTTCTGAGTGTGTTCCCCAAACGTCGAGTTGGCTTGTAGCCGCTTCCTGGCAGCTTCCGTTCACGTCTAAAAAAAAATTTAAGAGTATAATGAAATACAACTTTTTGCTGGCCCACAAGAGAGCACTCACTCTGCGATTTCCTTCTCCTTCTCCTGCAACTGGGACATGCACTCGCTAAGCTCGAAGAAGAGCTCGTTTGTCATCTGCAGCTTCTTCTCGTAAACCAGCCGGATGTCTTGGGCGTGTCTCCACTCGGCTGTGCGCCTCTTAATCAGGTCTTGCTCGTACTTGTGTATGCTAGTGCCGTTCTGGGTGATCTCCTTCAGGTGCGATCGGACCTCCTCCTTCCATGACTTTTGCGTCTCAAAATATTGCTTCTCTGTTTTCCTTAGGAGTTCCGGGCCGGCGATGTCCAGGTGCGAGAGAATCTGGCGGAACGATGGACGATTGCGGGGCTTGCTTTTCCAGCAGAGCTTGACGAGCAACTTGAATCCCTCTGGACAGGTGCTGGGCACCAACAGCTTGAGCGAGTTGTTGCCCACACCCCAGATAATGGCCGATGAGTCCACATCCTTGTAGGGGATCTCGCACGTGAGCATTTCCCACAGCACCACGCCGTACGACCAAATGTCCACCTTTTCGGAACACGGCTCGTTTCGTATCACCTCCGGTGCCATCCAGGCCACGGTGCCGGCGAAACTCATCTTGGTGCTGATCTCGTTCCACTCGCGACTTGTGCCAAAGTCGCTAATCTTCACCACTTCATTTGTACTTATCAGTATACTAAAAAGTAGATACAAAAAGTAATTCATTTTTTCCAGTGTTGCTTTTTTTGTGACTTACTTGGGGCTCTTTAGATCTCTGTGGATGATCTTGTGGGAATGCAGATACTGCATGCCCAGGGCAATTTGCTTCGACCAAGAGACCAAGCGGGACGGTAACATGACTTGCTCCTCCTTCAGTATATTCTGCAGAGGCCCATATGGACAGAACTCCATAATAATGCAAAACACGGGCGATTGAGTGCAAACTCCTCTGCAATGTAGAAAAATGTTTAGGGGATTTTATGTATTAGAATTAAATGTAAGCGTAATAGTTTTACCCTTGCAGAGCAAAGGGTATTATAATTTCAGTCAAAAGTTTGCAACGCAGTGAAGGAGACACCTTAGACCCCATAAAGTATCAAAGTATATTCTTGATCAGCATCACGATCACGAAATACGTCTGTAGTTGTGTAGTTATTGCACGCAGTATGTAAGCCGGAACGGCTTAGAATGAAAAAATGAAAAAAAAATTCTCAAGCCGCTGTTTTTGATCAGATCGACTTGATTTCTTCCAGACAGGGCCGGCGGAAGGCGTGGGTACTATGGGTAGTACTAGATCGAAAAGTTTATATAGAAATAACGGAAATAAAATTATAACATCGTTGTTTTTCATCAGACAAGCATAATTTTTGGAATATAGAATTTTCTAACGTCTTTTGAATTACAATTAAATTTCATCAAAACCGAACAACTATATCATATAGCTGCCAAATGAACTATGGTCGAAAATATGGAAAATTAATAGAAAAATCGGTTTGGCTTCGATGTTTTTTTAACCTTTATGTACTTTGTTCGACATATAATATTTGATGACTGCAGCAGACTCCAGCTAGCTTCCTTTCTTGTTAAAAAACAAATTTTTTGTATAAGGCTGTTCTCCAAATTAGTTTTCTAAGTTAAGTGTTGATACAAAAAAAAAAATACTAAAATCGAGTACGTCGACTTAAAAAAACCCGTTACTCAACCGTGTTGCGAATAATTACCGCTTTTTTCAAACCACTTTAATATCCATAGAAGTCCAATTTTTGAGCCAAAACATTATTTGACTTTTGAAGTGTGTGAAATGTGAGTGCAACAAAACAAATAAAATGGGGGCGGAGCTTAAGCTGTAAAACCCTTTTGCTGCGTATTAATCATATGAGCGGGCTTGTCTTATAGCAAAATTCGACTACCGAAAGTTGCTTGTGGAGGAATGCTGATTTGTGCATACGAGTGGCCACATGTGCAATACTGATCTTCAAGTTTCTATACTCTCTAATAGCAATTATACTCTTTGAACTTTTTCTGCAAAACATCTGCGAGCATCTGATATAGAAATTCATTTATTCCCTAAAAGTTGCATTAGCAGTCTTTGATAAATAACTATGTTTTGTACCGTCTTCCCAAAAGTTATCTAGCATTACTTTATATTTTATACAGATTTTGAACATTTTTGTTTGATACCAGAAGTCTCTCTTTGGGAATACTCACTTAAACTTAATAATATTTTCATGGTCGAGCTTCCTCAGATGCTTTATGTCCGTTTCCTTTAGTTCCTTAACCTTCTTAACGGCCACAATCTCGTTCTTTAGCTTTCCGCTGAAGACGGCTCCCTGCGCCCCGCTTCCGAGCCACTCCAAGTCCGTGATGGACTCGAAGGGAATCTGCCAGTCTTCGCTCCGTTGGCTCTTCACCTCGATGACGCCCGACTTTCCGATAAACGAGAGCACGGGCTTCATGCATCCGAGGAGCCCGTACATCCAGCCGATCGGCTTGTCCGGATGGCCGAAGCCCGCCGCCGCTCCACCCACGTGGGGTGGCCAGCGCTGTTGGCACGTGTTCTCCGCGCTGCTGTCCGTGATCTCCGCATAGTTGGTATGCTGCTGCAGCCGGGGAGGAGAGTCCAGATCGGGGGACTTGAAGGGCAGGTCCGTGGTGGCGATACCCAGGTGACCAAACTCATCCTGCAGGCAAGCCATGCTGTGGAGAAATGAAAATAAGAAAGAAAAATTAATAATTGTAATTACAATTATTCGGAATACCCAAAGTTATATTAATCTAGAAATGGGCATGTTTACTAGAGTGAGTTGAGTGAGCTGGAATCTGAATATTCAATGCTCTGTCTCTAATGGTTTCTATAAGAATGAATTCTTGACAATATAAAAGCTATGACTATTTTGTATAGTTTCCTGTATTGTTCATATAAATGTCGCCCGATTTTTTTTATATATTATATTATACTGTATAATACTGCCTGCAATAACTACACAATTTTTGCTAAAGTTTCAGCGAGATAGCTTTATAACTGAGAGGCTTATTTACTAGAAACAGACATTCATGTCTAGATCGATTCAAATAGTGATGCTAATCAAAAAAATATGTGTATACTTAATGGATTCTGAGCTGCACCTCCACTGTCTTGCAAATTTCAGAATGCAAGGGAATAAATATCCCCAAAACTTCGTGTTGATAAACATTCAATTAGGTCAAATTAGGTCGCTATCTTGTTAAATTTCAAATTCGAAAATATTGTAAAAGTTTAAGATCTGAATGGTACAAATTTTCTTATGCAATCTAACAATCTGGTGTAATTAAATTATACAAATTACATTATATGGTCGTCCGATAGTAGGGGTCTTAAATCTTACATTCTTAACAGGAAATCCAGAGCATTCATAATTTAAATTTTAACATTCAAATTTTAGGCTCACTTACTGCGTTCCAAAACAAAAAAAAATGTTTTTTTTTTCACTACCTTAGAACTTTTTTATATTTATAGTATACTTATAGCAAAGCTGTTGCAAGTCTGTGTGCATAAGTTTTTTGATTCTTGCCATCTTTCATTTCATATTTTTAACACGAAAAGTTGAGAAGAATGAATGTACATATCTATGTATATCTGTATGTATACGACACCAAAAAAGCAGTCTTTAAAAATGAATTGGTAGGAAAGGTTTTCAATAGATAGAAAATTTAAAGCTTTTTTTAATATTGTTAAACATTTTAAACTTATGACCCAGCTCAACATTCTGGTAGGCGCCATTATTATCAACTAAAACGTCTACTTCAGATTGTTTATCAATCACAAAATGTTGCTAAAAATATAACGATTACGCATAGCCTTTAAATAGTTCTACCTTTTGATATAAAAATAAAGGTGATAAAATCCTACTCAACCCAGCATCAACATTTGAAATTGCAACAGGATGTCGGATGAAACGCAATAGTTTATTGCTAGTTAATTGTCCGTTTGATAATCAAAGTGCTTTTTGCGATTTCTATGTTTACACATGCCATAATAATCATTTTTCGTGCTGACATAGTGAACGGGCACAAAAAAAAGCAAACTTTGATAAAAACAAGCCCGTGCAAATAAATATTAGAGAACTGATCGCTCGAATTTCAGTTCTTTGCACACATACAATTAAAAAAGCCTTCCTGTTGGAATTCGTGTTTGTTATTTTTTGTCTGATAAGATAAACAAACACAGGAAAACGGGGGTGAGGAGGCGTGCAGTGCAAAAGTGGGAGCAGGTGAAAAAACATTTATCATTTGTCACTGCCAGAACGGTCATAAAAACAGCAACAACTCCGAGTAGAAAGTCTGATAGTCAAAATCACCTGCTCCGGACTTTCATACACTCACGCATCCACGTTTTCATATAAGGCTAGCTAGTGTTCTTTTCAGATTTCGTCTAGCATTAGTATTGACTCTAGGTAGGAGCACGTGTCTGGTATTTGTACAAATGCATTGTAATATATAAAAATACTTATTTGATAATATAGGTACATACATATGTACATTTCTCTAAATGCTAGATCATTTTGTAGTGAAAAACAACCATATTAATATTAATATAAAAAGCTTTAGTAGAAGTTGCCGTTTACAAAATTTTTTTAAATATGTGGCATAGTACAAAAAACTATAGTTTCATGGGATAGTTTCCTAAGAATATTAATGGAAACTTAGCTATATATATTTAATATTCCAGAAACAAATTTACTAAATGATTTTATTCTTTGTTCTTTGTTTAAAATTATTTTATTTTATTTGTTATAGTTGAACCATTGAATTATTTGACATTATCTGGTAAATAAACTCAGTTTCAGAGTCCAAAATAAAACTTAATTTTCTGTCCTATTTGCAAAAATGCGGTACGGATTTAATACGATACTAGGACGGGGTAAGCGACAATTTTGATACATTAATTCTTTATTTGTTATAACGGCCAGATGCATAAATTCTGACTTTCTCGTGTCACGCAGATTAAAAGCCAGCAAGGTAGCTTTACCTGTTGCCCCATCTGTAACACAACCGCACTGCGCATCCATGTACCGTTCTTTGCTGTTTGAGTTTTTGTTTTTGAGAATATAACCGTCCTGCTCGCACATGGTGAGTGGCACCCGCCGTGCAAATGTCAAAAACCTTTCGTTAATTTATGAATTTGTGAAAAAGCATTAAATTCCGTCACCAAATATTAATTTCTGAGTTGCTCGACTAAGCACGTTTTGACCTTTGCCGGGAGGTTCATAGAACGCGGATATTTGGCGGCGTCTTCTCATTTCTTTTTTTTTGCATAGGTCAGCGGTGAATCTCAGAGATTCTGTGACTCAGTGCATCTTCAGATACTTTTGGGTGTTTTACCTTTTTTCTTGGGTGATGATCTTGTCGGGTGGCTCATTATGGCTAAAAAACGGTATGGTGTAGACCATGGTTAATTTTTCTTTCTTTACTTTTTTGTTTGCTTTCGTAATTAGTTTTCACGCAATAAGAATTTCATTCATTCATGCGACGCGACTGCATTGATGCAAATTTTACGCTTGCTTTCGGTCACCAGTTTTTTTGTTTTTGTTTACGCACTGAGCCGACAACAACAGTTGGCTAACTTTTGATTTAAAGTTCGTGCCAAGCACGAGCTGCCACCAAAAAAACAACAACAAATTTTTTTTGTCGTCCGATGTTTAATAATAAAAAAAAATGACGTCAAGGTAAGTTGGTATGTTTTTTGTTGTTTTAATTACAAGAAAAAAGAGACGAACGAAGCGCGTAACACTTTCGTTGGCGGTTTTTCAAGAGTGTTGGTTATGGGCTGGGAAAAAAGTTTAATAATTTCACGTATTTCGCACAACTGCGTCACATCAACACACAGACAGCAGTGAAAAACTGATTTGCCGATAAGCTGTGCTGTTGTTTTTGTTGGCTCACGAACACTCGAGCGTATTTTAAGGCTGGCTCGCGAAATTCACGCGCACAGACGACCGTCAGAATCGTTCGATTTTCGCCAACTGAATTGCGAGCGGGAGCATATGCATAGCGGCGTAGCTTACCATTATCAGCACAGCTTTCGGATGGGGCTCTCTCTTCCACTCAGCTTTCATCGGCTGTTATCACTTCGCTTTGTTGTTGATCAATTCAGACTGACCGAATTCGCAAGTGCCTGTATTGAATGGCGTGCCATTCGAGGTCTCTCTAAGCTTGGCTGCCATCTGGCCACACTCCAAACCAGTTTCCATGGAGGGGACCACATGATCAAAAGCACACACACAGGCAGGTGAGCGTACTTTGTAGGTGCTCGTGCATGTGTGAATGCGCGTCTAGGAAGTCTTTCAATTACGCCCCCCGCAATGTACCCATTCCACCTACAGTGCATACCACCGAAGGTATTATCTTAAAAAATTAACTTTTTCCCATAAGGAAGGAAATAAGGAGTTTAAAATTTCTTATGAAATGTTTTAATGTAAAGTGTGTGTTTTTGTGAAATAGTATCACACAAAATAAAAAAAAAATATTTTATGAGCTTTGTTTTAAGAGTTTCATATAAATACATATATACATAATATTGGAATAAAAGATATCTGTTAATATAGTTGTATGGATCCTGTGGGCTTGTTTTGCGTTTTATATCTTAACAGCTTAATCAAAAATACAATTTTTTTGTTGTTTATGTCAATGAAACCATTTATCTACTGTACACTGTGTCTACTTTTTATCATTTCACCACAAGCTTTTTGCTTAGCACGTGTTAACGTTTTTTATAGCGCGTTTGTGGTTTTTGCAACGATTTCTATTTAGACGTATTTAACCCCCACTAGTCCTAACTAGGAATCTTGTTAAAATTGCAGTTTCGAAAAGAAAAACCTGTCTCGATCAGATAAAGTTTGCTTTCGTTAAGGTTAATCGACCTACAGTATTACAATTTGAAGGTCATTACCACCTTTATTTTCCGGCAGATTCTTGAAATTTTAATGAAAATTTAAAGATAAGGGGGAAAACTTCCGAAACACTCTTATTCGAAAAAAGGTTTAAAAAAAATTTAACAACATCGAAGGTCAAGGAAGTACAGCCTCCGTTTTTGCGTCAATTTTGTTGCCAACATTGTTCAATATAAAGATTCGTCTGCTTAGGTATCTAAATTTATCCGTCTAAAGATTATCCATTTCTGTGTTTTTGAGAGCACTTCAACAATATTGAAACTCTGAATAATGGGAATATTTACTAAAGGTGCAGATGGAAATGGTTGTCCTGTCTTAGTTTAGGGGTACATAAACTTTAACTTTTTATAGTAATAATTCTAATGAATACGCGACCTTACCTCCTTCGCAGGTTGTCCGTCTGATCCAGGGAAAGATTGGGACTGCTGCCGTGATGTCGTCTTCGGCCGTGAAGTTGTTGCCGGGATGCGGCGGCGGCGACGTTGACCAGATCATCGCGACTTTTGCTTAAACTGTCGCTGAACGGTTGCATTGTCCAGAATTTGGATATTTATGGGTGGTTCTTTATTTGATCCCTACGACATTCTGGTCAAAACGATGTTGCTAAAAAGGGGAAATCACGGAAATCAATCACTTATTTTGTTACAGGGAACTTTATTCTTTTCACACACACACACGCACATTAACTTATAATCTTTTATCAATGAAAGGCAAAAATCAATAAGTGAGCGACGTCAAACGGTAAAGGGCGCAGGATATGCGTGCAGGAGAGCGAGCAAGAAAGCTGTAGCACCCACGCAAAAAAAAACTCACACATACAAAGTAAAGAAAGCCCAAGAAAAAGGGTCGATAATTGCACTTGTCAATTATTCACTTTGTATTCCGATTGAATGTTTTTGTTTCACTTTCAAACTGCAAGCCGAGTTATTTTTATAATGCCTTTAAAAGGCGAGTTGCACAAAAGAACTAGCGCACACAGTCGAGAGCAGGTATTCAATTTTGATGTTTGCACATAAAAAAAACCTTAAAATAAGCACGCTAAGAAGGAGTTTTGGTTTTATAAAAATTGTGTGAATCAAGATGAGTTCTTCTTTTTAAGAATCATCCTAAAGCCTAAAGTTAGAAAAGCCTATTTCCCAATTTTGCATTAGAAATACATATGTATGTATGTATATTTCTAAAAAATCAACATTTTTCTATGCAAGTCAACAAAAATATATTAATATCGAAAATATTATGGCTTGTCTAAAACATATCAACAAATTTTTGTTTTTTGTGTAGAGCTTGACTTCTTCGTTATTTTTTTCTGTTTTACTTGGCCAAAGCTAGAACATAACAAAAACAACACGCTGAAATGTTGCCACACACACATACACTTTTCTCGGTATCGCTGTCTTTTTCAGTCGTCCAAAGTCTGGCCCTCTTAGTCGCACTCACGGCAGAAGCCTTACAGCGCAGCTTTGTGCTGTTGCTGCTTCTTCTTCTGCTGCTGCCTTTTGCTCGCTCTTTCGCTCTTTTGGCCAAGAAAATCAATATAAAAATTCTTGTATTTGCACATTTTTCACACACTTTGCACACTTTTCCAGCAATTTTCCATGGGAAAATTAATAGCTTGCGTTATTTCCTACATTGATTTGGTTGTTTGCGAAGAACTTTTAATTGATTTCAGCTTAAAACAGAACAATTAAAGACTGGTTTTCTGGCTTTCTTGGGGACCCGCAGCGAAACGCGTTTTTTCCGACCAACCGTCCGCACCAAAGGTAGATACAAATTAAAAAGCAAAAAACTGGCTGCTGGCTTTGGGCCGAAACCCAATCCGCCAGAGAGCGAGAAAACGAGAGAACGGATTTCCTCCCTCGAAACCAGTTTGGAGCGCAGGTTGTACGGCGCATGCGTGCGGGGGAGGGGGAGCACGAGAGAGAGCCATGGTCGCCAGCCACAAAAAATAATAAAGCACTTGCAAGGCACTCCGCTCTTGTTTGAGTTCCCCTGGTTTTCCTCTTCTTCTTTTTTGTTGTTTCTAATCAACTGGAGTCGCTTTAAAAGTTTTAAAAGCTCGAGCCCGCAACGTGAACGATCTTGTTGCCTGGCTTAAACGCTTTAAGAGCTGCCTTTGGCATGTTATCGATAGAATGCTAGAATTATAAAACAAATACAAATGTTTATATGAATGTGTAAGTCTTCAATAAAGTTTTACCTTAAAACGCGATCCTAGCAGATTCAGTGAACTTTCTTTTTTTTTTACGCGCGTTATAATCATAATCATTTAAAAAATGTATGTAGGAAACATGTACGTAGGAAACATAAATATGTACATACATATGTACAAACAAAATAATTTATAAGAGGATTAATCTTTCAACTCCTAATGTGATCATAACATAAAATCGTAAGTACAGTTAAGCTCCATTTTAACTTGAATTCTACTTTTTGAAAAAAAGTACATTTTAATTTTTTTTACACATGTTAGTATTTGTGTACATATCAGTCGATTGCTTTATTATATTTATTTATATTTATTGCTCTTAAATATTTTTTGACTACTAAGAAGGGGCTATTCATGAATTCTTTTAAATCATATTATTTGGGGATACGAGGATAAGAGTTACACAATGTTTTACGCAAGCCCCAAATGATGTATTCTGATCAGTGGCGTAGCGTGCCTTGTCGGGGCCCCGTATAAAAAATTTTTTGGAGGCCCTTATATGGAGGTAAAGATTTTTCACAAAAGAAAACAAGAAAGGAAGCTAGCTTCGGCAAACCGAAGCTTTTATACCCTTGCAGTCATCAAATATGTCGAAAAAATTACATAACGGCTAAACAACATCGAAGCTAAGACGATTTTTCTATTCATTTTCTATATTTTTGACTATTGTTCAAATGACGGCTATATGATATGGTCGTCTGATTTTGATGAAATTTAATTCGGTATTCGAGAATCGTTAAAATGAAAAACAACGATGTTAAAAATTTATTTCCGTTATTTCTATATAGATTTTTCGATCTTTCCTATGGCAGCTATAAGATATAGTTGTCCGATTTTTATGAAACTTTTTTCTCAATATAAGAGTTTTTAAAAACTTGATATTCAAAAAATCATGGTCGTGGGATAAAAAACAACGATGTTATCAATTTATTTCCATTAATTCTATTTATATTTTTCGATCGCTCCTATGACAGCTATATGATAGAGTTATCCGATTTTGATCAAATTTTATCCGAAATTCAATAACATCTTAAAGAATTCAATTCGATCTGATAAAAAACAACGGCGTGAGAATTTTTTATTTCATTCTCTCGTATGGGAGCTATCCGATATAGTCCCCCGATCCGGCCCGTTCCGACTTACATATATACTGCGTGCAATAACTACACACCTTTTGGGAAAGTTTCAGCAAGATAGCTTTAAAACTGAGAGACTAGTTTGCGCGGAAACGGACAGACGGACAGACGTATTCTGATTCTACTCGTGATGCTGATCAAGAATATATATACTTTATGGGGTCTGAGGTGTCTCCTTCATTACGTTGCAAACTTCTGACTGAAATTATAATACCCTTTTGCTCTGCAAGGGTATAAAAAATATTGTAAGAAGAAATATTTATTTATCACATTATTTACCCATTTTACAAATAAAAATCAAATTTTAAATATTCACTCTTACACACTTTGGGGGCCCCCTTGGCCCGGGGGCCCCGTATAATTGATACGGTGTATACGGCGGTAGCTACGCCCCTGATTCTGATAAGACTCGTACGTCTTTTGCTTCACATCTTCATAAGAGTCAAAGAATTTGTACACAAGATCAGAGCTGTGAAAACTATTAAAGATTTGGTAAGACACAAATGTCGTTTCCCATTTGCACTTCTTCCATTTGTTCAACAGGTAGATTCAGAAAATTCATATGTATATGTATGTGATAACAAAGTGCAGCAGGTAGCATAATTTCTACGTAAACAAAGATGACTCATACTAAAAAAAGAGGAGGGAATTCTTGGTGACCATGTTTGTGGAGCACATTGGAGCTCGACTACATAGTGGAAAATTCATATCGATTTAAAAACGATATTAAAAAATTGATTTTTTAGAACACAAAGTTTTAATAACTTGATAGTATAAATTAGTTTTAAGAATTAAAATGTATAAATGTAAAGTTCTTTAAGCATTAAAAATGAAAAAGGATTGTTATTTTCTTTAACATTTTTAATTATCAAACAATTCTGAAACATCATCGCAATTTGAAGAATATAATAAATTTTTTCTCAGTGGTCTTGACTCCAATCACACAATTTATTTTTCCCTTGTTAGATCAACCTATTCCCCCTACACATTTTTTTCCCAATACCTTTTCTTGTTTGTTCTGTCCAATAAATTGTTATGCTGCCTGCGTGCTTCTTAGGCGTTTTCTTTTGGTCCATTGCGCATGAGTCATAGGGTTTCAGGTATTTGCAGAGGGACAGAGTCCCAGAGTCCAGTTCCATGACCAGGTTGCAGGTTCCATTCCCGACAATCAGTGCAACACATAAAAGGCAACTGGTATTCAATTTCAACATAAGCGTTGCCTTCAACAGGTCCCCGTTAAGGGTTGATAATGATAACTGAGATCAACATTTTTGTGTATTCATGTTCCCACCTCAATAGCTTTCAAAAATAGGGATGATCTTGATTTATATTGAGTATAAAATTTATAGATCTCTATAGGAACAACAATAGAAACAATGTGTTTCTAGGATCGTTTGTTTTTTTATGTAATAGACATAGATATTCCCACCAACAATGTGATTTCCAAGATATGACAAAATCTATGTATTTAATTTATTGATAAATTTATAATTTTAAAAGTACATTTAGTTTAATTGAGCAGCTATTTTAAATAATGAAGAATTCAATATTTGCTTTTATCTTTTTTGTGGAAAATAAATAAATTTTCATTTATGTGTATTGAATTGGAAAATACGCTACCTGTAACTTTTGTCTTACCAAAAAAACAGTATTTTAATATTCAGAATTGGCCTTTTAAATTACGTGTTAATTTTTAGATAATTTTCGAACAAATTTTAAGAACTTTCTTAGATTAATGGTATGAAAATTAATTGAAATTATTGTTATCATCAATCGATTTGCAAGAAATCCTTATTTTTAGCTATTCAACATTATTAAAAAATAGACCTAAAACCGTGTTAGTACGAGAAAACAATTCTGACTTTATTATTTAATTAGATTATTATTACAGGGACCTTCCGGAATCAAAAATCTGAAATTCATTGATATAACTTTGCAGAAAATCGCAACTTTTTTTGTTTTAAACTAGTCCAATTTTATACTATAACACTAAAACCGTAGTATTGAGTTTATTGTTATTCCTTCACAAAAATCAAAACATTGTATTTTAAATTAAATATTATTAATTGCAAGAAAACCCAATCTTGAGTAAAAATACAATCTTTTATAACATAAAATTCAAACCATATTACCCTTTAAAAATAAATTTTTAAGAACCCACTCGTTAAAGAGTTTATTACCGGCAGAAGTCGTAAAAAGCAGCTTGCATAAGTTTTGGGATTGTTTTATTTCCGAACTTAAATACATTTCTTAGAATCTAAACTATGCAAATGCGAACTTGCACAAAAGCTAGAAATCTAATCGACATATTTCAAATTCAGCAAAAAATCTATTTCTCAACATCTTTTTATCAACTAAGTTGTAAATGCTTAACTAAATAATAAAATACATGTTTTATATAGTATATGACAGACAATACTACGTGCTGTTAATTAGAGTTGCCCTTATCAGTGCTGTCAAAAATGCCGGAGCGAGTGTTGTTCGAAAAATGTTGCTTGGCACATTTGGTTTTGATTTAATTGTTGAAAAGCTAAATGATTAATAAGTACGAATTGGATGTTTAGACCTGCCACCATTAGATAAGGAAATTAAATCGATAAGATTCTGAATTCCAGATATGCAATGAAAATTATGTTAATTAATGCCATTTTATTTATAGTCAGTTATGCGAAAACTAGAATATATTAAAGATTAAGGCAATGATAATGCAAGAAACAGTTCTCTTAGAAATGGTACAACAGATGTTTGGCCTAAACATGAGCGATTTTTTTATAATTCATAAATTGTTGATGTTACCGGGAAAAGGTTTTCGAGGTCGGGAGTCGGGTTCAGTAGAGCTTTAGGAATATCGTAGATATTAGGGAAGCAACGAATACACATTTCACTGTTAGGAGTAATGGCGGAGTACATATCGAAAACGAATCTATAAATAGTAGTTACAAAATTAAGATTATTAAATCAGGCGTGTATTCCTTGTTGCACATAATATACATCAGGTCTTCAGGTAGTCATTTGTAATCTGACTTCCCCATTTTTCCTAAATACTTTTATTATAGTAACTTACACAATACAAATATCAATATATTTAACTGTCACAGAACGGTTTTTGTTTAACGCACTTAACGGCGACTTAATAATTAATACTGGATCTGATTCCCTTGATCTCAGTGCGTTTCGAAAACATAGACGTTGAAACAAAGAAACTTTTAGTAAGTCAATTCTTGAGACGTAAAACATTCCGTTGTACGAAACGCACTGAATATCCTTTATCTAAATGGGAATTTCCTGCTTGTTTATCTTTCGAGAACTGGATCCATGTCAAGTAAATCCTAATTCACACATATTGTCGTTTTCACACTAATCTGTCTTGGTGGTTGCCTTACTTTTGCCAGCTTGCATTATGAGACTGTTGGCAGTCGAATAAATTTAGTTTTGCGAAGAATTTTCGAATATCTAAATATTGGGTTATGGTTAAAACTTTGTACAGCGGAGCACTGCAAGGTTCTTTAGGGAGTAGAAGAGATTGCTTTTTAAAATCTGAAACTGGCCATTTCTCTCAGGTTAAAAACAATTTTCTGCCCAATTGTTAGAGTAAGTTGAGTGGAATATTATATAGATTATTTTTGTCTGCTATCAATTTTGCTGTAACCTCTGTTGCTAAGTATATCATTTAAAGTTTAAAGGAATATGTGTTCGTTTACCCTGTAGACTTTCTGTTCTGTTTCTATTTCTGTTCAACGCTCAACGCTCAACGCTCGGAGCCTATCGATATATTTAGTTGATATATTCTCAGGTACGCGCTGCATTTCTCTAGTTAACATTCCCTTTCCGTTCAGTGGATCTGCTAAGAGGAACATAGATCTTTTCTTTAAGTGTATGGGCTAGGCTAGCAATAGAGTAAGTGTTTTGTAGAGTGAGCTGTGTAACTTCTAGACTCCCTGGTGACTATCGCCGGACTGGGGCTGCTCGCCCGCCTCCGGCTGGTCGCGTTCCCGCAGCTCCCGCTGGTCCTGATCCTCTTCGTTATCCTCCTCGTCGCTGGAGTCTACATAGTTGCGCATGGTTAGTGCCTGGAAGTCGTTCAAGGCCTGCTCGAAGAGATCGATGGTGTGCTGATTGTGGGCAATCACCTGCTGTGTGTTCCTCAGGTCCCGCGTGATCAGATCCTGCATGGAACTTGAGCCAGAAGCGGAGACAGGCGAGCGTCCTGCATCCTGTAAATTTGTGGAGTTGGATTGCTCACCGCTGCTGCTGGAATCATCGCTGATGTTGCTGGCTGCCAGTCCCCGGGTGAGCTCGTCCGCATGTGCCAGTGTGGACCCAATTATGTCGCTAGCGATCCTTATTGCCGCATCCGTTGCTGCTATTGTGGATATGAAACTGGAGGCAGCTGCTGCCACGGTTCCTGGTTGGGCTGTGCTGGCAGGTCGGCTGAAGATGGTGTCGCTGGTCACCTGGTTGCCCTCGATCCGCAAGCCGGCCACCCCTTTCTTCGGTATGGTGGCCAGATCTCGTTTGACCCTCCTGCAGCGAGTGGGTTCGTTTTGGCGCTGCTGCACTAGCTGCTCCAAGTCCACAATGTAGACGTAACCCGCCACCAGGATGGTGCAGGATTTTTCGCCCTTCTTGAAGGCCTCCTCGATGTCCTGACTCGTGCGGTCATCGTACTGCCACCAACCTGAAGTTACACATTTTGGCAAGAAAAAAGTATTTGGAATGGGATGGGGTCTAAACTCGTTTAATTTCTTGGCCCTTGAATCACAGTTGGTTTTCTGTCTAGGATTAATAATGGGAGTAAGCGTGTGGGAGGGTTTGGCAGTTTAAAGGGTGATGTTATTTAGGGTTGGTTGTATCTTAGGTGCTTTCTGAGCCCGGCCACTCCCATGGTTCCGCCTGGGACATCATCCGTGCTCTTGCACCGCAGGATATTGCGACGCTTTTCGGGAGTCGAACGGGGATACTGCCGCATTTGCATAAAGTCAATGATGTACATGTTCCCGCAGATTAGCACCTGCAGCCTGCCTGGATGCGGCGCAAAGTCGGGGGGATCCTCGGTGTCTGAGTCGGAGTCGATGGCCCAAAAGTCTTCATCCGAGTCGTCAAAATCCAAATCCCAATCTTGATACAACATAATCTCATCTTCATCAATTTCACTAACATTGAAAATGTTTGGATGGTCCCCCTGCAGCTCGTTCAGCTGGAGAATTAACTGCCAAATCATCTTCTTCAATTTCAATAACATTGACCATGTTTGGATGGTCCTGATTAGGCACGTGATCCCCTGCAGCTCGATCAGCTGGAGAATTAGCTGCCAAATCATCTTCATCAATTTCAATAACATTGACCATGCTTGGATGGTCCTGATTAGGCAAGTGATCCTCTGCAGCTCGTTCAGCTGGAGGAGTAGCAAGACTTGGATGCGACAAGTTCGCCTTCTTGTAAACCTGATAGTCCGCATATGCGGTCTCGATGTCTCCGTTGGTCCGAGAATCGTAGGCCCACCAGCCACCTAGATGTGCATGGTGTGTGTTTTTTCGGAGGGGGTGTATGGGAAATGAGGGGCGGCCAACACCAAAAGCATATTTCACTCACCGTTCCTGCCCTCGTAGTACCACTGATAGCCGTCCTCGGTGGCGCGGGTGGTGCAGATGTCCTCGATGCCGTTTACCAACTGGGGATGGTCCAGAAATTCGGCGGGGATTTCGCGACGGCACATGGCACACCGTCGGTTCTTGTAAGCAACGCCCTTTTTTAAAGACAAAGTAAAGTTTTCTTAATCAACAGGTATATAACCAGAGAGGAAGTCAATTCTGGTAAGTACTCAGTACTCTCTACTGTATACTTTATTGCTGACGTAGACCAACCACATCCAAAATCTGGATACCATAGATACCAGGAAACTAAGTTCATTTACATAAACTGTAAATTGGCATTAATTCTCGGCCATGCGAGTTTCAGAACAGGAAAATGCACTCAAGTGCTAACTGGAATACTTGTCTTAGACTTAAACTGGTTAATGTTGGCCGAGGACGGAAGTCAATTGACAAGTCGCCAGCCGGAAGCCAATCTAATGCCTAAACTGTGATGATCCCGAGTTAACCAGGCGTGCTAATCAATCAGTCAGGCCCGATGTAGCACCAAAGGGTTCAAAACAGCCTTGAACTTGTCTACGTGCTTTGGGTGCTTTGGTGCCACCCGAAAATGATATTCAAAAAGCGAATTTGACGATGTGAACTGCATGGCTAAGTGGGCGAGACAAACTTCCGCTTATTTCTTTATGAAGAACTTACCTTAACGCACAAGAAGCAGAAGATGTGTCCACAGGGAAGACGAGCTGGGTGGATACAGGTTTGAAGGCAGATGGGACACTCCAGGGCAGAAGCAGATGCTGATGGAGAATCTCCGCCAGCAATTCCGGTGGCTGCAATTTTAAAGCAAGATTAAAAACTGGCCAATAAATATATGTATAAGTAAATTCAAATGGGCGTTAAAAATCCTTTGTTGAATTTAACAAAAAAAAAGTTCTTTTTTTTAAAGCCAAGTTTTACTAAACAGTTGAGCAACACATATGTATATTTCATAATATACCATAAATCTAGTCCTTGTTTTTTTTTTATAAAAAAATATAGGTTTTTGTTCTTATTTTAAGATTTTAGATTTTAATAAACTAGTATGATAACATAGATATTTATACTAAGCACCTGGGTGCGCTTTTGTGATAAAAGGTTTCATCTTGTTAACAAACTACGAAAAAACATACACCATGCCATTAATTTAAAATAAACTTCCTCAAATGTCAACGACGGACATGCACATATGTACATACATACATATATCCTTTAACTTTAAAATCTTGATTTAATTCGTTTTAAATTCTGAAATGTGTATTTTTCTTACCCGCATCTTGGTTTGATGTTTTTAATGCATGGCCGGATGACATAGTAGTAGAATTTGGATCTAATGCCACTGCAGCAGCTCCAGATCCTGACCCTGATCCGGATCCTGTTCCTGTGTCGCCGGCAGGCCCGTTTCCGGAACGAGCAGCGGCCGCCGCCGAAGTGGAGGGAGACAGGCAGAGATCGATGGTGGCGATGGGACGCCCAGCTCCCAGGAATTGCACATCCCCATCTTCGTCGTCGTCGTCGTCCAGAGTAATCACTTCCTGTTGTTGTTGTTGCTCGCTGCATTCTGCTCCGTGGCGCGTTGTTGCGACATGTTAGAATTAACTCGAGCACGTCAGCAGCAGAGAAAGCGTGCTGACGCCGTTGACTTCGGTTTTAAAATTTTCACAAACAACAGAATATAAAACATAAAAATTGTTGCTGCTCAAGTATGCTAGTTTCTTGTTAGGACGAAAATACCAGAGTGGCTTCAAAAATACTGTTTTAGTTCGTGCGGAAAAGTCAGACCAAATTTGATTAGGCCTCCGGTGTTGGTAAGCACAAAAAGTGCGCCAAATTTTGAATTTTAATATTTGCTTTGCTAAAAATATTTGTTTTGCAAAAAAAGTTAACAGTACGCAATTGTTTATAATAAACATTACCTAAAGACGATTAAGTTTTCGGCATTCAGTTTTCTTTGTTTTTGTTGAATATTATCAAGGGGTAATAAAAATATTAGGCTAAATTACTAAAAAAGGTCAGAAACACCGACCCGATCAAATAAAAAACACACCTGATAAAAATGAAAGATTTTCACTTGAAATATATTTACCAACCTTTTTGTAAATAGTTGGTGTAGCATTTATTACCCTATGCCGCCTCATTAATAATGCTTTATTAAATTCAACAAAAACCAATTAAAATTATGCGCTTCATTACATGCAACACCTTTTGCAACAACCACCCACCAGTCAGCCTTCAACGGGAATTTAACTTCATAAAAATTGACAGCCCTTTGGCGAGAGTTTCGGTCAGCGGAGGAGGCATCACGCACTTTTTAATATGCAGCCGGCATGCGACAGGCCAAAAAAAGTAAAACACAACAACAGTCAGTTGCAGTGGTCCTGGACAGGACCTTCGTACTCATTACATAAAAATCAATTTTTGGTTTATTTTTGCTTTCGCCTCTCCTCGCAATTGCATGTCATTTTTTGTCAATTACACACACAGACGTAGGCCAATTGCCTAATTGCGCGACAGACAAACGCGCTGAAGTCAACTGCCGACGAGTTTTGTAAATTACTCTCGTTTTGCTCCGGTCCTGCCAGTTGTCCTCCCGGGCTGTTTAATGCACGTGTCCCTTTGGGCGTTTTAAAAATGTGTTGCCTGTCCTGGGAAGCCACTGTTTCGACGTGATTTGCCTGGGGGAACGTGTATTTCGAAAGCTGGAAAAAAAACATTAAAAAGGGCAGTATTCCAAGTGTTGACAAAGAGTTACTTGGTTATTTGATTTCTATATATAACTTAATTTAATATGTTTAAGAAAAAAGCTTATAATTAAAATTTAAAAGTTGGTATGGTATTTCACATTTTGCAGACAGCTGATTAAGAAAATCCAATCCATTTGATAGAGTTTAAAATAACGTAAAATAAAATAATACTTTGAAAAAAGAATTGTGAAACTGGTTTTATATAAGTATATTATTATTACTATAAAATCAATATTTTAAAAAATAATAATAAGCTTTTATTTATTTTATTTGTGACCATGATAAATTTATAAACTGAACAAAGAACCTCAAATCCAGTATACTCTTAAGTCAGAATAATACAAGTCACTTTTAACGCACCCAACAACTATTTAGTATGCACGACGAGTCCTTCCACTCACGACACTCAACCCTTTATCCTGTGTGCTCGTTTCTGCACTTGGTTTTTTGTTATAATTGTTCTAACATATGTCCTGTGCAATTGAATTTTTATTTGCCAGCAAACGACCAAGAAACAGAAGTTTAAAATATGATTGCTCCTTCATTGTTTCATTGCCCTGTGGCCACAAAATGAGAACCATAAAAAGTAACCAGCAGAAAAAAAAAACAAAAAGAAAGCCTCAAATCTTAATGTAATTATCAGGCCAAAAAACCGTTTATAACGGTAGACGCCTCAAGATTATTAACACAAAAGGGGGCCGGAATGGTCGTCATAAGCATAAAAAGATTGCCCTCCCTGGTTCAGACCTCGTCGCCCAGTTTTCCGCCATAAAAAAGGGAGAAGTAAAAGAAATTTTCTTGCTGTCGCCTTTTTTCACCCCATTGTAATAAGCTACTTTTGCATCTAGCCTATTGCTGTTTATTTTATCATTTGCGATGCTTGTTCCTTTCTCCCTTAAACATTTTATTATTATAGTACTTTTTTTGGTTCGCCAAATCCCCTTAATAAACGAAAATTGTCTGTTGACACATGTGAACAGAGGCTTGCAGCCAGTGCAACCTAAGCTCTAATAAATTTACGATCGCAATTTCGCACGAAATTCCTATTAAAATGCTGATTTTCTTGTAAATATTAGCAAAGTGATGAGGCTGCATAAAATCGACTCTTTGTGGATTTTGGAGAAGCCAAGGGAAGCATGTTATTATTTAATTGTATAAGAAACTTCGATTTCATTGTAATTTAATGCATAACATTTTTGTTTTCAGTATTTTTTAACTTCATCCCATTTAAGCTTTATATAAGAAAACTTTTTAAAACTAAAATAAGTCAAAGCCTAATCAGTGAACTACTTTCCAAAGTAAGGTTCCATTCAGGTTTTCCCCTTCCTTCAATTCATTCTGCCTTTTCGCTGCTGGTTTTTAATTAAAATATAAAAACGAAGGGAACGTGCCGCGGTCGTTAGGCAATAAACTTGGACACCGCGCATCCTGCCAAGGACAATTACCAGGCGGAAAATGTCGCAACATTTTCGCTCCTTATCGCTGCCTTCGGTACTTTAGGCCAAGGAATTCCAAGCCGCGGCATAAAGGAAAGCGAATTAACGACATTGTAATGCTTATCTGAGAGAAAAGGTTCTTTTGCGGAGAGCACAGGGCATATCCTTTTCACCCCACACTCTTTAACATATTTTCCCTTGAATCTTACCCAGAAGCATAAAAAAAATGGAAAAATCTTGATTTTTAATTTTAACGCTTTATTTAATTATGTGCAGACGAAACAACTTGAAGTTTGCTAATAAAATGCTTAAGGAGTGTCCTTTCTGCTTTCCCTCATTTCATCTGAGCAATAAAACCCACAAAAAATGGGCTAAAAATGGATTTTTTCCAGCTACTTTTACTCTCTTTTTTTTAATAAAGACATCAACAGATGGGCGGCGATAAAAAGGCAAAGATTATGGGACAGACTACAAAGAAGAAGATCAGGGAAGGTCCAAGTGTCGTGTGGCTTTTGACACCCCCGAAAAAGAGGAAAAAACAGGCAACAGTTTCTGCTTTTTTCGGGCATTCAGTTCAAATTCAAAGCGGGCTTGGACAAAAGGCCAGACGCAGGAGATTTAGTTTTAAGCGTTAGCACTTGACCCAAGGATAAAGTGTCCAGCTGTGAGAGTTGCTTTCTTTTTATGGCTTTAAAGATAAGCGCTTATTTCCTACTCGCCTCTCTTGATGTGCAAACTTTTAATTAGTTGAATAAATGCAGCTCCTCGGCGTCGCTTTTTGATGGCTTTTCAATTGGCGTTGAGCAAATTTGACACCGAAACCACCCAATAAAAATCAAATACAGATCGAACGGCGGATATTGTCCACCCTGCCCCTTATTTTGTTTCCCCGAGGGGGATGTTTAGCCTACTTACCGGCATCATTTGCTGTGTCACCTGTTGTTCCCCGAGCTGATTTAAATCTTTAAAATCAATATGCCAAGCGCCAGGCCAAACAAATGGAGCTTCTCGGTAAACACAGCAAGGGGAGTCCTGCCGCGAGGGAGTGGGATCCTAGGAAGCTGAAAGGCAGCGCTGACATCCTTGACAGGTGTGAGAATGGGGGGAACCCGCAGTTGACTCCTGGCAGTCTGCAAAGGGCGCCTGCAGGTAACAGACAGGCGGGCAAATTGAAATGGTTTAGATTACATTTGACTTTTATAAGCGGATTTTGTGCGTGGCAAAGTGTCTTGTTATCGGAAGGGATGTGGAGTGTGGACTTGGGAAATCCATTCACCGTCTCTACATAAATGCCAGACATTACTCAGGACATTTTATTTTTTTTGACTTATGGCTTGATAGCCATGGAATCATAATATCATTAATAAATGTTTGAGATCAATTAGAGCTGATCAAATGAGATAAAAAATATATTCTGGGGTGCTTTTTTGACATTTACACCCGTGTGGAGGGTATAATGTTTTTGCAGTAAAATGTTTGAAAATCATTAATGAAGCCGTCTTCTATAAAACACACATATTCCTGATCATACGATTCGATGATAACATCTCGACAAAAGTATTTCGATAATAATGGCCAAAAGAATGCAACACTTTTGCCAAAAGAGGAAGGATTTTCATTTGTTAAGAGCACTCGACAATTTTAGTTTTCTTTTTTACTTTAACTCTAAAAAAAATATATATACATACATATATAAAAAAGTTCACACAAAAACATTTGAGTTGTAATTTATTTCAGACTTTTGATAAAAACTTAACATTAAACTCCTTAAATGCACAATCTACATTGACAGAATGGTCTTCTTGATAATGTCGATGCTCTCCAGCATTTGTGCCTCGTTGATGACAAGTGGAGGAGCAAACCGAATAATATCCCCGTGGGTGGGCTTGGCCAAAAGACCGTTCTCCTTGAGCTTCAGGCACACCTGCCAGGCATCGTATTCTGCGAAAGTAACAAGTAAAGATTAGGAAAGGGTTACCTTCTATCAATTTAGGCCACTCACTCTTGTTAATAACGATGGCGTTGAGCAGCCCCTTTCCCCGCACCACTGAGACCACATCCTTGGGAAGCTTGGACAGCTCGCTGCGCAGGAGATTGCCCATTTTGAAGGCATTGTCGGCCAGCTTTTCCTCCTGCAGTACCTCCAAGGCGGCCATGGCCACCCGGCATCCCAGGGGATTGCCTCCGTAGGTGGATCCGTGCTCTCCTGGCTTGATGCACAGCATCACCTGGTCGTTGCAGAGGACCGCGGACACGGGATACAAGCCGCCGGAGAGTGCTTTGCCCAGGATCAGAATGTCCGGCTGAACCTGTTCGTAGTTCACGGCCAGCAGCTTTCCGGTTCTGGCCAGTCCCGTCTGCACTTCGTCGGCGATCCAGAGCACATTGTGCTTGGTGCAGAGCTCCCTAACCTTCTGCAGATAGCCCTCACTGGGCACCACCACGCCAGCTTCCCCCTGGATGGGCTCCACCATGAAGGCGCACACATTGGGGTCCTTGAGGGCCTCCTCCAGCGCAGTCACATTGTCGTACTCGATCAGCTCGAATCCCGGCATGAAGGGTCCGAATCCCTCGTAGCTGCTCGGATCGTTGGAGGCGGACACTGCGGACAGGGTGCGGCCCCAGAAATTGTTGCGAGCGAAGATGATCTTGGCCTGGTTGGCCGGTATCTTCTTTTCCAGGTATCCCCACTTGCGGGCCAACTTGCAGGCGGTCTCTCCTCCCTCGACTCCCGTGTTCATGGGCAGCACCTTGTCGAAGCCGAACAGCTTCGTCACGTACTCCTCGTACTCGCCCAGGACATCCGAATAGAAGGCTCTGGTGGGAAAAGGTGGAGAGAACAGTTTACTTTCACGGATTGCAAGATCAAATTGTAAACAATTAAGAGAGAATAAAACAATAACAAAAGGTGCGGTAAGATGAGCGTTAGGCTCTTGGATTTATAATACTTTTGACACTAACATATTCGTTTATGCCTGTATGCTAATTAATTCCTTATTTCTCAGAAGCAATCAAAATCTAAGAGACCTTAAATATTATTTCCAAAATTAGGCCAAAGCCCATTTTTTTTTTAAATGTATTTTATTTTTTCTTCCATTACAATGCGATTTTCCCTATCAATTCTAGCAAAGTTCTAATTTTAGAAATCGCAAAAAACAATAACATGCCGTTAATCTACAATTTGTTATCAATGAACTCTTTTGACTTTATAGCCGCACTCAACCTGACAATTTGGCCCTGGCAACCCAAGAGAAACCAAATAAAACCGGCAACAAGAGGCCTCAGTAAATATAACTCAAGTGCAATACAGTAATTAAATAAATTCTTTTTTCTGACAAATCAAGAATCACTCAGAGAAGTGAGAATTTATATATGTATTTCCGAGCAGCTGATAAGATTTTAGCCAGTCCATGGGGGGTTATCAACGTCCAAAGTAAACACTTGGAATGAAAAAATGTTCCAAGTAAGTCAAACCTAGCTGTATGCTTTTAACTATAAGCTTTTTTTATGATTTCGGGAAAAAAACCAAATCATGTCAGGCCGGGTAAAAAATTACATTTTTAATAAAGTCGTTATTCAAATTTAGTTAATTAACCCGGAATTGGTATTTATAGGCTGTGTAATCTTGTCCAGACATACTAAAAAATACAATAAAACTCACATCTCTATCTATAAGTTCTAGCAGCAAACAACCAAAAAATATAATTCAGTAATCAATGAATTTAATTTTTCGGTTGACAACAGAATGAAAAAGCTCACGCAATCGGCACTTAAAGACAAGTAAACAAACTGAAACAAACGCAATTAATTTATCCCTATAAAACTGTTGGTGTGGTCTTCTAACTCTTTATTATGTATAAATGTATGTTAGCCATTTATTAAACGAACTAGATTTGTCGCTCTTAAGTGCCAGGCAAAATTGCTCATACGCACTGATGACCATAAAATATAATATTTTTTAATTACAAAAGAGTGTAAAGTATTTTTAATTTCGAAAATATATTTCTTGAAGTTAAAAAAAACAGGGTGTCGACAGCAACATTCATTGCCGTTGAACAGGGTCCACTCTAAATATAATTATACTATGTATCGGCTGATAACGTTTGGGGGGCACGTCTTTGTTCTCCGATTTTATTTCGGTGAACTCCTCCCCGGTTTCATTCACTTACCGCGATGTCAAGGCCAGTTTGGAGGCCTGTTCGGTGAGGGCCTTGACGATCTTCGGGTGGCAGTGTCCCTGGTTGACCGCCGAGTAGGCACTCAAGTAGTCGAAGTAGCGCTTTCCCTCCACGTCCCAGACGAACACCCCCTCGCCCTTGGACAAGGCCACTGGCAGTGGGTGGTAGTTGTGGGCGCCGTACTTGTTTTCCCGGGCGTAGACGGCTTCGGAAAGAGATCCGGAAGCTGCGGTGGATTCCTGGGCGGATGTCTTCTGGGCCAAGTAGCTCATGCGGGTGGCGATGCCGCGTGTTGCGAGTTTGGAGAACATAATAACAATTTTCAAGATCGATGGGTTAATGGCACTTCCACTCGCGGATCGCTTGCGATGCTCACTGAAAGTCTGACGGCTGTGGACGGGTGCTTTTTATACCCGGAGAGAACTGTGGAGCACCTCGAACCCCCATGGAAGCTTGCTCTCTCTCTCTGAATTATTTTCTGAAATCTCACAAGTCCTATCTTATTACAACACCACATAAATGCACATTGTATCTCTTGCATGTAAATCATTTTCCAAATGACACTTGATGCATTTGAGTTGTTGTTGTTGATCATATTTTTATGTTCTGTCGGCAAATTGTAATCAGCTTAAAAATTTCCACTGCTAAACTGATAGAGCTTGTGGAAGCTTTATGCACAGAAATATATTACACTTAAAAGCTTCTGCAGTCCAGAATTATTGTTTTGGAATTATTGGGTATCACGATAATGGGATTGCAATACACCTAAGGATTTTGGAATTAAGAACAAAAATATAAAAAAAAAACTTTCCCATTTTAATGGTCTTAAAATTAAATTTTGAATTATTTACAAAACCATTATCTTGCTATATTAAAGATTAATTGTTGTTTAATGCAGAATACAGAGATCCATCGATAAAAATAAACACGTTTCACCTTGTACCTATAGAAAATGATATTATTACTTTACCTAATCTTAGTTTAAACCTTTTTAGATTACTATTCTCCCATTACTTACCCATTAATTCCATCATTTAGCCGACATTGTTGGTATTTTCGTGTATTTATTTGATTTTTCATAAATAATTCAGGGCTTAAGAATTTACAACTAGTGTTTACTTAGAGATGATAATTTAATCTCATTTATCGTATATTGTTTGTTTCGTTATCAATCAAACATTTAACAATTATAGCACGTTCAGGGAAATTACGAATACATACAAACCGATACATTAAAGTACACATAATTATATGACAGGTGAGAAGGCAACACAAAAATTGCACTAAAACGTTCTTTTACAAAAAACCAATTGCATTTAAAACGAAAACAAATTAATTTTACATGTAGAATTTATACAGGGCAAAAACATTTGATTTTTATATTTTTGGTGGGCGAGGGTGTTGCCTACTTTGGGGATGCCCAATTAAACGTCAATTTGCTCGTCGCGCTTCATTAGCTACCTCAAATACAATATGTTATTAATTAATTTTAATAAATTCACGCTTGGATTGCAATTGTCAGCTCGGCCCCCCGGCTCCTCCCTTCACTCCATGGCCTGCGGAACGCTCTGCTGCGGCGATTGGGCGGGCGAAAGGCTGCGGGGCGTTGCCGTGGCGGCCACCGCCTCACCACCCCCCTCCACCTCCTCCTCCTCCCACCGCCCTCTGCTGGCTTTGGGCCTGGCTCAGCAGCTCCTTGTTCAGGCGGTAGCTGCTCATCACGTTGGCACAACTCTGGTGGAAATAAAAGTTACGACCGCGCAGGAACGCATCCGTATTGAGATCCTTTATGCCTGTCTTGAAATAGTTAAGAAAAGGTGTACCCAATTATAGACATAACCTTGAAGGGGTGAGGATAATGTTGTCTGTGCATTAACTAACAGAAGTTACTGGACAGGAAAGCGAAAGTTAGGAGGGACTGAGGGGATACAGATCGTGCTCGAAGTAAAGAGAAAACTGAAGCAAACTGAGAAATTACCTTACAAATGAAACACTTGTTTTCATCGTCCGGTTTTAAATCCGAACTAATTCCCACCTTTGAGTCCAATTGCGTTAATCCCGGCACGCCCATCGACGACAACTGCGACAGGCTGTTCTCCATGCTCTCCGCGTACTTTGACGCCGGATTGTTGTTGTTGTTGTTACTACTACTGTTGTTGTTGTTGTTGTTGTTGTTATTATTGTTGTTGCTGCTGTTGCTGTGAGATATGTCCATCGGTCCCGGATCGGTGCTGCTCACCTGCGGCTCCGAGCGCGGTCGCTCCTCCATGGGCGATATGTTCTCAAGGGATCTACAAAATGGAGAAGATATCCTCAGTGAGAATTGATCTCGAATGTTTTGGGTTGTCTTTTTCTTGCTTTTAATTTGTGTTTCTTCTTAAATACTTATAGAATTTAAGAAGAGAGTGTACAGTTAAAAGTTTAGCATTTTAAAGCTCACTCTTGATCTAATGTTTTTATACAACAGAATTTCGTATTTAAATCAGAAAAGTATAAATTTATATCAAGGCAGATATAGAAGATACATTTGTATTAAATGGCTGGTTTTATAAGCCTTCTTTGTATTGGGGGTTAACTTAGAACTTATTCTATTTGAATTTTAAGCAACAGACTAAGGCGACAAATATACGAAAAAATACCTGAATATACTTTTTGATATTGCACAGTTTAAAAAGTTAAATACTAAAACTGAAATATTATTAACGGTTCAAAGGGTGCCCTATATTTATACCAGAACTACATTTAAGTTCAAAGTGACCGTCCTACCTGCTGCTGCCCACATTCTGCTCCTCCTGCCGACGTGGAATCTTGCTGTAATTGATTTTGCTCGACATCTTGACGGTGTCGTCGTCGTCCACAATTACATCCTCGTCGCTATCATTTTGGCACGAGGCCGTGTCCATCATTAGGTCCTTGTTGTTGCCTCCGCCGTTGTTGTTGGTGCTACTGCTGCTGTTGTTGTCGTTCACGCCCACGCCACAGGAATCGGCGTTGTAGTAGTGATGTGTGGTAGATGACAGCTCGCTGACGTTTTTAACTGAGGGTAAATCGGAAGATATTAATTACAGGTGTATTATTACACAGGGTAAGTTATGAACATGATAAAATGAAAGCAAAGAAAATTATATATCTTAACTGTATAAGAAACTCGACCCTATACCGAAATTATACATTTTAAAGCTTTGCTCAAGGTAAAGAAAGGAAAATTTAACATAGTATAAAGAGATTATGTTTATTTTTCCATATTTCGGATACACCATTGTGATCCCTAAGCTATTATGAATTATCTTCCAATAGAAACCTTAACAACCACATTAAGTTAATACAACTAGGGTTACTTTTTATAAAAGAGTGTGAATTATAAACCCACCACTGATATGTGCCTGGGGTGGGGCGTTGACCTCGCCGGGCCAACTGCTGCTGCTGGCGGTCGCCACGTTGGTGCTCACGTCCTGCTCGTCGGGATGCGGATCCTTCTGGTTGATCACGCAGCCCGTCCGGTAGAGGATCCCGTCCAGCTTGCCCGGCTGCGCATTGCTGTTGTGCATGCTGGACGGCGGCAGAACGGTGGCGGATGACCCTGATCCCGGAGTGGCTATCTCCGATCCCGAGTCGGGCACGTCGTCGTTGCAGCTCTCCACATCAACCGTTTCGATCTCCTCCTGCGATTTGACATCGTCCTAAAAATACATATAGTTATTTTCCCATTAATTAACTTTCCTATGTTTTTTATATAAAGGTGGCACGGAAATTCCTTCTAAACAAGTTTAAAAAGTTAAAAAATCAAAATTTTTCAAGATTAAAATAAAATTGATGTGTTTAAGAAACCTATATGTAACTAATGGAACCCATTAATTTTCTATTACTTAAACAATTTGCCGTAAAAAATAGGATTATTTTATAGTTTCCATTTCAGGCAATTAACTATAATGTTATTTATCTTACCTCTGGAGGAATCTTCCCCGTCTCCAAGGCGTACTTCCTCTTGCAGATGGGGCAACTGCTGCAGTAGAGGCTCTCCATCATGTACATCTCGCCGTACTTGCGCTTCCGGACCTTGAGTCTCAGGCGGTTCTGGCGGTTGTTCCGTATTCTCTGGAAGGTCTGCAAGAGAAACCAAAGTTAGATCCATCCACGGGATATTTAGAAGGAGCACCCACCTCCCAGCGGTTGTGGCTGGTGCGGATGGCGTTCTCCTGCGCGGGACACGGAGGGGCGAACATGTAGGTGGCCTGCAGGTTGGCCCGCTCGAACCCGGCGCTCAGCTTGTAGAGCCTGTCCAGCTCGGTGAGGAAGTGCGAGTGCCACTCCTCGGCGCTCAGCTTCAGCCCGCAGACGGGGCACATCTCGGGGATGGCTCCGCCGGCGGCGGCGGCCTGGAGTCCGCTGACCAGGCTCAGGCCGCCCGGCACCGCCCGCAGACCCGCCATGCTCAGGCTGGCCAAGGCCGCGTGGTGGGCGGCGTGGTGGTGCGAGAGCGGGTGCGGGTGGGCCATGTGGTGGTGCGTCGTCACCGCCGTGGAGACCGGCGGAGCGCCTACGTGGTGGCCGTGGTGGTGCGAGTGGGCGTGCGGGTGGGCCAGCGGGTGCGGGTGCGAGTGGGAGTGGGCGTGCGTGTGGGGGTGGTGGTGCGGCGAGGAGGCGGCCAGGTGGCTGGCCATCGAAACGGCCACGCTGCTGGTCGCCGTGCTGATGGCCGGGTTGCTGGTCGAGCAGGAGGACGAGGAGCTGGACGCCGACGAGGAGGTGGCCAGTGCCTGGTGGCCCTTCCCCGCACTGTGCAGATCTGTGGGGAAAGAGGAGAGTTCCATGGGTAAATTCTAGTCAAGCTCACGGTCATCAATCAAGTGGTGGAGCAATAAAATTGGAAATTACGGCCATGCATTGGTTTCCCTGCACTGGCAGAAAATTGCGGGAGTGTATTGAATTTTTGAATATGGGATATTTATACGTTAACAATTTCTAAAGGATCACACAGAAAGTCCTTTAATGAGGAGATTAAATTAAAGCCCAAAAATACATACAATCAGTTTGAATTTTAAAAGAATGTCTGTAGCTCGGAAAACATTTAATAATTTCTCAGTTTTATATAATATTTTATTCAATGCATGTTGTGCCATTGATTTTTTCAAGTGCACCTCCCCATCCTTTGGCCTACGCATAAATTTTCCATCCATTTTCTAATTGCCCCATTCCTTTTTTCAACACGTCGGAACACATTAATTGGAGCTCGTAATTCTCGAAGAGAATCTGGATTGCTACCAAAAGCAGCAGCCATCACACAACTCCGCTGCAGGATTCCTGATGTCAGACACACGTCGACCCCACGTAATTCGGCAGCCACAGGCGAAAAAATAAGCCACCGGCAACCACAATAAATACAAACTGTTTTCAGCAAGCCCGCCAAACAAAATCTGTCCGCCATTCTGCACGTGACTGCGACCCGGCAATTAAAATAATATTACAATAAATATATCGCAATATGGTCGGCATAGTCCCAGTCGACCAGGCCAACTACAATTGCTGAATGGCTGGCACAACGGCTTTATTTATATTCTTCTAAAATATTGTTCAACAAAATATGTCGGTTAACCGCGCCCATCAGACGCAGTCGAATGGATATGCTTAATTTATATAGAGCTACATCAGAGTCGTGACTTTTGTTCAAATTAGCTTAGCAGCTCGTTGGACATTAATTCCACCTCTCACTTTCGCTTTTGGAAACGTTTAAGTTTAAAATGTTCCATAAATAAATCAGAACGATTTAAACAATTATTTATTGTTATTAAGAGCTTTTATTAAATGTATTTGCAATATAATTAAAACAAGCAATTACCTTTATTTCTCTATAATAAAATTATATCTTTTTGAAGTATCTTGGACATAACTTTTAAATTAATTCAAATAAAAACTATCTCTAGGAACGCCACAAAATGTCATAAACTTATTCAAAATTTAAATGCCAATGCCTGTTCATGACTGACTAGACTTTTAAAAATGTTTGGTGTTCTATAACTTCCAACTTCACCCCCTTTAGTGCCACGTGTTCAACGATGTTATTTCATAATTTTCCCCACCCAATAAATGGGCGTTTCATATGTCGTTTCGTGAAATATGACTATGGCCTCTAAACAGAGTTTTTGCCTTGGTTGTAGATGCCATTAATATTGCGGAAATTAATATGAAAATTCCAAGTGTGCATTCAATATAATACATCATCGGAGTAACAAAAACCGCGGAGGGACCCAAAAATAATAACGCTCGTCATAACAAAGGCAAACAATGCAATCAAAGCGATTTGCAACACTTGCGCATCCTTTGAGCCACCGAATCGAGGAACAAACCGAAAAAGTGTGTCCAACTGCCGACAATAAATGAGCAAATATTATGGGATCTCGAGGGGTGGTTGGGAATCATAATTGCCTCAGAAGAGTGGCCACAATGTCGTGGATGAGTAATTAGCCCAGGACGAAAGGACGTCTTCGTGTGCCGAACACGAGCCTCAAAGGATGTGCGGTCGGTTTGACTTTGTAGTCAAGTGGCTGGCTCCTTGGAACGGGGTTGATGTTACATTTCAATAAGCCTGCTCCAGCCGAGCATCCTTGTGCCATTTAAAACACTTACGACATGCACCCTTCTTCTTAACCCTTGGCTGCCTTTGAATTTGCGACATGCCCTTTTGACTTCTGCACGGGAAAGGGGTTAAATTGAGCTCGGCTCCCTGTTTACGTTTAGTTAGTTTAGCACATTGATAGATGTTCGCCTGCGCTGCAGTTTCAGCTAATTAAAAGTGTATTATTTATCGGAATTAATTTATGGGTCTCCTGTCTATCCACGACTACTGGCATAATCCGGAACCCAAACACAAATCCACATGTTGAGTATGGGTGGTGGGTCGGTGAGGGGAAACTGGTTTTCCGGCTTAAGTCGAAAGGCAAATAATTGCCTAAAGTTAAATAAAGAGTTGTCTGTGTGTTGAACAGGGGTGTCGAAATATGGAAGCCTTACAACAATTTAAAAAAATATATTATAAACTAGAAGTTTTAATATTTCCCAAATAAGTCCTACTCAAAATTGAGAATCGAAAGAGTGTAATATTTAGTCAATGCAATTTAGCACAAGTTGAACATAATTGTTTCGCCTAACAACCAATTGTTGTAAAACCCCCTTAGAACCCCGTCCCTGCCTTTTACATTTCGAATTTGTTTTGTTCATTTGCATTCATATTTATCATTTTCATATGCTGCCGCCCGATTTTTGTCATAAGGCGCTTAACTCGAACAGCTTTGCCGAACCAATTAGCGACGCATTTGCAGCCAACTCGGTTTAGCCTACATTTTCAGAAAGTATAGACACGAATTGAAGGCCGAGAAGCGCAGGAACAACCCCCAGGTAAATATGCGAAATTAAGGCAAAATACCTCAGCTCGAGAAAACTAATAAAAAACAAATTGAAGTGGGGCTGGGGGAGAGGTCCTGTCGCTGTCCTTACGCCTGCCAGTCAAAGTTAACCTACTGAAGCGTTAAAATTGCGCAGCAGAAGTAAAATTGAAACAAATACGCCCGGCGATTTTTATCAGCAAAAAGGGAAATCGAAATCCCCTAATTCGGCGTTCTTCCTTTTATCGCAGACATGCAAATTTTTTTGTGAACTTAAATTTGCTAAATAAATATGGTAGAGGCAGGGCAACCCTACTTACGTCTCAAATCCCTGGGATCCTGAGAATTATTACTGCGCGGACTTTCACCCTTTTCAACGGCGTCGTAATCCTGTGATCCCTCCATGGATTCGTGCGATGTGCATGTGGGGCTGGCCGAGTCCGTGCGAAAGGACTCGCTGCCGTTGAACAGATTCTGCAGGGAATATCGAAGTGCAAATCCCATTATGACAAGTGTCAATCTCGCGCCGATTATCGGCCCATCATCAGGGCTTCTCCCCAGATCCACCCGCCTCCGCTCTCCAGGAGGAGCTCCCCGAACCCAACTCACCTGGTCCAGCGATATGCCAATGTACTTGGGCGGCGAGAAGGCCGACGGCAGCGAGAAGTTCGACAGCACCGACGGCTTCCCCAGCGGCGAGCGGTCGCTGGCGAAGTAGCTCGCCGGTCCCGCTCCCGCCGCCGCTGCCGCCGCCGCCGCTCCGTTCGCCACCAGCATCCCGTGGTTGAGCAGCAGGTGCGGGTTGAAGTAGTTGCCGACTAGTGACATGTTGTGGAGGTCTTTGGCGTCAGGTAACTGCAAGAGGGGGAAATCGAAAGGGATTACCTACGGGGTAAAGTTGGAGAGAAGCGGGGAGATTGTTGTAGAGTCAGGCAGTTACGGCGATTTCACTATTATATTTCACTCTCGATTGATTTTCGCAATATATGTATTTCATTAATTAAACGAAATGCTAATACCATAAACTACGGAACTACGCAGTTTTAATTCCCCTGATTCAAAGGAACAGTTTTAAGGGATAAAGAATTGGCGTTTATGTTGTTACTTTCTTCAATTATTACACATTCTTGTTTTCATTTTTAAATTAATATGTTTCGTTTGTTTTAAAACACAGGTAAGATCAAACGATTTTGAGTTAAAAATTAAAAGAAGGAACTTTTTTTATAGATTGTAGCTTAAATTAAGCCTAATGCACCAAGGAAGAAAGAATTCCTTACCACATTTTGTTTAACTCTAGGTCAGACCCAAACGAATACTTGTTTTGACATATAAATATCTGGACTAGAACGAATCCACCTTAGTAGCGTAATCAAAGGACCAACTTCAAAACAAATTTAATGTTCCGAAATGCTGTATTTTTTTTTATTCTATGCACTCAAGTAAGTATAAACTCGAATAATAGCTAGCTTATGCAGGCTTTCGCATTTTTGCGGACTGTAAATACAAAATCGGGATAAGCATATATATATATAATTTTCATAAAAACAATTCTGAGAAATTTTTCATTAACCTTTTAATTGTAAGTTTGGTATATTGTAGTTTCAATATAAACTAACACAATAAACCAAAAGAAACTCATTTGACATAGTTGGCACTATAATCTGAAACGGCTAAGAAACATGAAAAATAGATAGGGAAGCTAGATCAAATCTTAACAATATCATCTCAAGATGATTAACCATAAAAGTGGTCCTAAATTTCTAGATGTTCCTTTACTGACTGCCACTCAAACGGAAATTTTTAAAAAGTTAAGTGAGCGTTAAATTTAAGCGTTAAATATGCGCATTACTGGAGTCTAAGCATCGGAACCCACAACAAATTATGTGTGCTACATGACTTGGCGTTAAAATTAGCCAATTATGGAAGGTGGAGGCTTAAACACGAAAAACGTTTCCGGATAGGTAACATATGCCGAGCCGAGATACTGTGAAAACTCAGGAAGATTACAGCGGAACTTAATCCAATTCCCAAGAGTCGCGTCGGAAATCGCCCCAAAGTGCGGCGTTGGATTTGCATCGATATAAATTATGCACAAAAATGTTTAATTTACGGCAAATAAATGTTAAATTGAGAGATTTTAGAATTACGATATCGAACACTGCCATAAACTGTGTCAATTTCAAAGAGAAGGTGGGGGACAGCTTACTTCCAATGGGGTGTAAAATAACGAGAAAAATGCTTACAACCCCCCACTTTCTCCATTCTGAAACTCATACATAAAGACTTTGGCAAATGATATGGGTAACATGGGGAGGGTGAGTTGGGATTTTCAAAAGTGGGGGGAGTTCGTCCCCTGAAGATAACCCACAGAACGTTCAACGTTCCTAACAAATTGAGGCTGACGAGTGTTAAGCGGCGGTTAGAACCCAGACAAGATATGAGTATAACATAAGCAGCGACATGTGTGACAAGTATTAACCCTCACCCACACTCCCGGTCCATCCCGACCCCTTAAACGTGGCAAACTTTCGTATGGAAAAATTTACATACAAATTTGTCTGCCAAAGAAAGTATTTTTGCAGCAAAAAATGTGTGAGAAAATGATAGGGAAAGTATTAGCAGAGGAAACGTGTATGTTTTCGGATATCCTCTGAGATCGTCCATTCGAAATCATATTTATTGAACTAGGATTCCGGTTAAATAAACGTCAGAGCATAATTAAACATTAACAAATTTCTTATAGCTTGTGTCTAAAAAAAGAAATACTTTTGATGCATTAACTGTAACAATACATATATTATTTAGGTACTTAGCTATTCAAAACAAAAAAAAATAGGTTTGAGAAAACAAAATGCTTACTTTACTGGCAGTAAATATTTAAAGTTTGGACAATCGATCTCATTAATTAGACCGGAAAATCCCTTCTTCGACTTTTGGTTAATCTGGTCCCACGTCCTTGTTAATTTGTGTCGTAATCCTGGTCACACTCTGCACACAACTTGAATCCAATAAATTAAGGATTATCAAGAGAAATTAGCACCTCGATTTGGGGCGAGCTGTTGCCACATATGTTGCCATATCAGATTGAATAATCACCCGGCATATCATCCCCATGCTCATTAGGTTTAAAATGTTGCAAGTCAGCCGGATGGAGGGAATGGGAATTGCAACCGCATGAGTTGCACTTTGTCTAAGTCTGCAGTTCAACCAGAAGCTGTTTGGGGGTCCTGGCGTGGATTGGAAAACCCCCAACAGAAGTGGTCAACCGCTTGGCACTCTCATTCCAAATGACTTTTTAACTCAATACGTGTGGAACAATTTCCTGCGAGGACTCCGCCTATTGATTTATGCCCGTTAATCAGTGCAAAGCTGTTGTACACATACAAAAAAAGTTTCATTTCGAAATTTGAACTAGAAACCCCAATTTAAATGTGTTACACCAATGGGTTCTAAGCAGATATTTATTAAAACTACCTTAATAGGGAGTATACAGGAGTAACCTATTCAAACACACCTTTGATACAATACTAAGCATGGTTTAACAAATGATATCAAAGTTACTACTGTTATTTAATACATTTCGAATTTCTTGCTAAATATGGAACCTTTTAGCTTATTCCGATCCGATTTCAAATCAATAAACTATTAAACTAAAGTCTTATTTGCAAATAAATGAAATATTATGAAATGAGAAGCATGGTTACTTTTTCCAGTGCAGGAGCAGGTGGTGGCACCACCCCCTGGAAAGTGGAGTGCTCAGCCCTCCAGCTCCTTGTTTGCTTTTCTATTAGCGCCGGGCGGGTGATTTGTTATCCCAAATTGTAGCATTCCTTATCCGCCAGAGGGGATGACTGCGCTCAGATTTGCATAAATTCGTTCTGTTTGCCTTTAACACTTGAGTTATTGGCGTTCTCCACGACCCCTCGGAATACTCGAACCAATTCAGTGCAACTCTCAGCTGCAGCGACGGACAAGCAACACATAACAGCCAACAACAATAACAGCTTAATTACAACAACACGATAACGAGTGGCAAATAGCAATTGTCTACATACAATTGCCAATTTCGCTTAACTTGGCCATAAAACACGGCCCAGCTACAGCAGACGGACACTCGTAAAGCAAACAACTTGGCCTTTTCAACACACCACAAATAAATCTCAATTTGTGGCACTAACACGGAGTAAACGAGGCTCAAATCGAACTGAAGCCTGCAGCTGGAGAGGCTGGCAATGCTAAAAACGTTTAGCAATTGGCCATTTTCGCAAACTAAATGTTTATGGCGGTCTGCGACCTGTTCGTCTTTTGCTTTTTTCGTGGCGAATGAACTTAAGAAGCGGAAAATTGAGCTGGTACCAAAATGCGTAGCCTAAATTGAGGCGTCAATTGACTAAAGGGAAAAGTAGTGAAATTAGCTTGTTTTTTATTTTTTTTCTTTTTAAAACAGCTCTTACTAATTTATAAGATGGTAAAATAGTAAAACAAATACTAAGATTAATTCCTTTGTAAATGTTTAGGGCCAATCTTAAGGTACTAATGAAAAGTAATAAAATACTTTTAACCGTTTCTAAACGAAAGCTAAACATGTTGAAATAGTTAATAGATTAACCAGAAAACTTTGTTTTCACTTTGTTTAAATGATCTTACACGCACGATATATAAAACAAACTTCAAGAAGCAAAATTTGAAAACTTAGCTATTAGCGTTATACTCAAAAAACAATCCTCTATAAGGGTGCACTAATTTAACCACTTCTGTTCTTAGGGAGGAAAAAAACTATTAAGCATTAAAATGTTTATATTTATTCTTGTTCAAAAAATCAACTTTGGGCTTTTACGGGAAAAAATTATATATCCTTCTATCGATTTCTTGGGAAGACCAATGCAAGTCTCTCACAAACTTTCACTTTAAATATCATTCCACTATTTGGTATTCCTCAAGACGGCTATCAGTGACCATTTGGACATTATACTCCCCACAAGGGCTTCTCGTTAAACGCCTCGGTGCCTTCCTATTTAGCTGCCTTGAACGCAGACTGCCATCTTGATAAATTGCTATAAATTAAATTAAGCTCAGTCCCACAGAAACGCACCGTCGCATATGCACACAACTCACCTACACATACTTTGTGGCAATAAGTGGCAAGAGAGAATTATTTTTCATATGTCGGCCCGTCTCAGTCCCATAATTTTGTCCACCCCAACTCGACACACTGCCATTTTTTCGAAGGGGTCAGTCTGTTTACCTTTGTTGTTACTGCTGCGTTGTGGTAACGAAATTGTTATGGTGCCTGCCGGGTTTCTTTTCGCTGCTTTTGACCCGCCCAGACGGGTTGGTGGTTAAAGGGCCGTGCACAAAAAGCGGGAAGAAGTGGCACGAGAACCCGGCCCGCATTAAACCATTTGACATTGCATTTAATATGCTTGCTTGGCTTGTTTTTATTAATTTTTATTGCTCGGCTTATGCTTGGTTATAAATGGTTTCATAAATAATGGTAGCTAAGCGAGTGGTGCAGTGGCGTTCGTAGCAGTAGTTATTGGAAGAATGCAAATTGGTAGGGAAGTTGGAATGTAAGGTAAGTAGTATTTCTTGGCTTCCATTTTTTATTTTATTCACTTAATCATTAGTTTTCTGATATTATGCGTAAACATGGTATCAATCTAAAAACCAAACCAGCTTTAAATGATTTGTGATAATTGACTTCCTTGAATATCCACGGTTATAAATCAAAAATCTTTGAGATCCCAATGTTATTTTTAGCAGATGGAGCAAAAACCCAGGCAATTTGATCAATTTTTTATTTTTTGGTTATTAAGAGAATTTTAAAAAATTATTCCCCCAAAAGATTATAGTACATAGTAAAAAATCATAAATGTATACGAGTCCTTGCTCTATGTAACAAACTGTTATTTTTCTACTAAAAAAATATACTTTTTCCTTCGACCCAACTCGCTTCTAGATGCCGGGGACATATTGTTGTCATGTTTAACATATCTTAACGCTACTCAATGCTATGCAGAGGGAGAGATATAATTTCAATTCGGACTCCAGCTCCAGTTGGAATAACCAGTTTCGCAAGCAGCCAGAGCGGACTGTTCGAACATCATCAGCGCTCGAGTTCTTCATCATTTGTAGCATCAGCGTCAAGATCATTGCTCATGTTTACAATGATGACAGGCAGCAAAATAAGCAGAAGCTGGCCGAGAACCGGCGGAGGAGCCGACTCCCAGCCAAATCAAATGGCAGCTCCTCTGCCGGATCGGGCCAGTAGTTAACAGTGGCAGTGACTGCTGCCCGCTTCCATCAGGTCCGACTCGGAGTTCGGAATTGAAGCTATCATAAATCTGTTCGTCGCAAAAATCTACACACAATGGGGCGTTTGCAAACGCATTCGTTGATCGGAATGCGACGTCGAACTCTCTGAATCTGCCTCTTGACTGACTGCGGCATTGGAAATGCCAGCGTGATCGGGTAATACTAGCCAGATATAAGAAATATCGGATACAAAAAGCAGTACTAGTAGTAGTAATATTAAGCGCAATTCCGTAATACGATCCAATTACTTCTCAAAGTGTAGGTTACAATATTTAATTTCCATTTTGTTGCAAGTGAGCTTAATCCATAACTGTTTTACATAAGGCTCTGAGGATCCTTGTTAAGATTCTAGAACTACTTAATATTATTTCCCTTATATTGTCCATTTTACTACCTAATATCAGCTAGGTTAAATGGTATCGAATTTTGACTTTAAGAAACCAAGAAGTTTTATTCCTAAAATGGTTTTCACAGCACATAAACAAGGATTCAGCAATGCTTTCTCTTCACTTTCTCCTTAATGGATCGTTAATTGAGTGCATGATCCGCAATCACGCTGTCATCCCTATTCGCATCGCCAACTGGAAGTTCACTTCGAAGTTCTGGTTGAATTTGTTGTTTTACAATGCAGCATTGTTTTGTTTGCTGTGGGCTTTCGGTCAGAGTTTTGCCTTCGCCGCCGATTCTCCTGACTGAGCGGTGTGCTGATTTATAGCGTCTTTCGGCATTTCGGCTACCGGCCCCCAGTCTTTATGATTTGTCATAAATATGTCCCCTCCGTCCGATCGGATCGGATCGGATCGAATTGGCGATTCCAATCAGCAGTTGTCCGGGTGTGTTAGCTTTCTGGGCTGGACTCTACTTACTCTCGATGGAAACGGACGTTGTCCACGTAGAGCCTCATGCAAACCGGAAGCGGCTTCCGAGAGGACAACGAGCGCTTGAGATGGCAAATGGCTGCTGCCAAATGCGTTGCTTTCCATCTGCAGCTCGTTTTTGTTGTATTTTTGGTTTTGGTTTAGACTAATTTGGCACTAGGGGGCACTCATAACCTCACTTTCTTTCGGGTTTTGTTTCAGTATTGGCACATGCAAAGATCACTTGGTATCCTGAATAAGCGGTTGGGAATTGTATTTGCGCGTCGGTAAAACGGTAACTCGGATCAGCTGACTGTCGTTTTGCTTTTTTTTGTTCGCTCTCACTCGTTCGACACAGAACACCCGCACGTACGCGCTGCAGAAATCCAACTGAGCCCCAACTGGAAACCAGTTGCCGTTAGTCAGCCTGTGTGCTTCCTCTTCTCCAGCCTCGCTGCTGCGCAGTCGGCGCCGACGTCGATGTGGAACGCCTCGCGGCTTCTGATTCGCCAGTGGCCACAACCGGTTTGAGTGCGCTGTCGCCGTCCCGCTCGCGCACACTTCCACTTCTACAGCAGGAGTACTTTTACATTATGTTCACCTCTTTAGTCGCAGAGTTTGTTTTTGCCGCTGCATTATTATTCCAAAATGGTTGCATGTTTGTCCGTTGGCCATTGTACGCCTGTTTGTCTGCCAGCACCTGGGACTGGTAGTACTTCCCGGGCTTCCCCCGCCCTAGCTCCCGTTTTTGCCCCTTTCCACCATCCACTTCTGACATTTTGTGTAAATAAACCGTATGGGAAACATTTTTACTTTTGGCTTTGGCATTTTGTTGTTGTTTGTCGGACACTGTCCTGGACAAAAGTATCTTGGAAGTAGTCTCTTTCTTTTTGCCCCTGCAGCTGGGTTTTTGCACACCGTCCACTTAATATAGCGCATTACTGTGGTATTTATTGGGCGAGAAATGATAAAAATATTTGAAAAGTAAAATACCTCGTCAATTCGAAGTAAAAGGCGAAGCGGTTTCTTGGACGGATCTTTGCCTAGCATAAAGTTTAACAAGTAAGTAGAAGTAATAAGTATGTATCAGATATCTTTAGGCAAATGCAAATTGCGATTTATTTAAAAATCTTTCTTCTAAGCTATGATAAATAAATAATATTTCACGTCACATACTAACATTGGTATTAAAATCAATCAAAACTTATAACATTAACAAAACGAGTATTATAAAATATGATAATTTATCAATCAAGGGACGCACCAATTTTGTATCCATTTAATTATTTTAAACTCATAGGATTGAATAGACTTAAGTAAAAAAGTGCATATGTTTTGCTCCGCAAAACAAAGATTTTTAGAGTGACAAGAAAAAAAGGTTAAATTGCATTGCGTGTTCCACTGTTCAACTGACCAACAAACTACCTACAAAGAGAAATAGTTGTCACACAATATTACTACAAACAACAACTGAAACTAAAACAAGTATTATAACAACAGCACAGGATCGTCTGCCACAACTCCTGTGTATAGGGAACAATATAAAAAGTTTAACCCATCTGCGCGCAACTTTTTATTTCGACCTCGTTGCCTTTGCTGTGATTTCCAATATGCCGGACTAACTAAATAAAGTATTTTCCTTGCAATTTACTTGGATGGGCAGAACCACGGAACACGGACCACGGGAAGGAAAGAGGTTGTAGATTCGTGTAAAAAATGCGCAAACCTTTCTGACATGTTTATGGGCCCTGTCTGTCACATCGAGGCAGTTGACACCACTGGCTCCCCTCTCCTTTAATTGGTGGCTAGTAAATTTTCTTTTTACCATCTTTGGGCCGGGGGATCTTCTCGGGAAGATTTCTTCTAATTTTTTGCTCATTAAATTTACATTTTAAGAATTCCTTTGCGAGCAGAGAAGTTTGCACTTTATAATTTCCAGCAGCCTGCCTTTCGGTTTATTACCCATTTCTGTGAGTGGGAGGGAGTGCGCAGTACTGCGGAGTGGAAGGAGTGAGAAGAAGTGGTACGTGGGAGCGAGAGATCTAAAATGCACCAAGAAAAAAATCGACTTAATTTAGCAACGAGATATTGGTATTGATTCTTAATTTATTAATAATAAACCAAAATAAAAAAGATCAGCTTGGCTCTTAAAGTCATTTGACAAACCTTTAATTATGACCACTAAATAATCCATTTTCTTATATTTTTTTTGTACACATTCTGAAGCTGCAGCTTAGTTAAATTGGTAACATCGTTTTTTAAAGTTCTTTCTTTCTATTTTGTGTTCTCTAGAAAATCATGAGACTCTATATATTTTATTAATCATGAACTCGCCTTAAGAATTAAGGCAACCAAAATATGTTATTGGGAAGTGTTTATTTTAGGCACACACACTGTTTAGCACCAAATTGAAAGCTCAGAAGGCGATATTGTTCTCGGTGTGAGAAGTTTGATTGAGACCCCAATATTGGGCATTGCGGGAAAATGGGATAGGAGTTCCAGCGTGCGGGAGATTGGGAGTGCCAGAGTGAGACAACTGAGAGGGAAGCTCGGAGTTCGCAGCGCATGCGCCGACGTAGGAGGTAGCCTACATTATGTGTCTATTTCTTGTACATAGAGCGGAGCTCCCCGAGCTCCCCGACTTCCCCACCCCGAAGGGTAACTAAGACTTCCTTCGACTGGCAACTGGTAACTGGCGAAAGCGTAGGGCGACTGCCATGTACAGGACTTGTACTGCATTTCGGACTGGCAGTAGATTTTTCATTTTATTTATGTGCTGCCTTCACTCTGCTGATTGCCTTTACTTATTTCTGCTCCCACCATCGCTTCTTGTTCTTCTCTTTGTCAGCTTGTCAGCTTCCCGGCTACAAAATTAAATACTTGTCTCTGGTCCGATTTCTTTTTTGTTATCTTTCGGGTGTGTGGGCGCGGCTCTATATATAACCAACTGTCGTCTGTCTTGGCCACCTCCTCATCTTTCGGCCAGTATGTACGTACTTTGCGCAACTTGGCATGACAACTAATTTATGTAGTGACCGAGCAGCTGCTACAAATTTAGCTTTGCCCAGTTCTTTAATAATCTGCTTTTTTATTTTGGCAAACAATTTCTCATAATTTAGTTTGCCTAGGAGACGCGATACAGTATTATAAGTCGTCTTTTTTAATGCCTAAATTGTTCATAATTGGTGAACAATTTTCATTTAAATAATGCTGCCTAAAGTTGTCATTTCTTTCATCATATACAATATTTTAAAACCATTTAACCAATTCAAACAAATACTTCAAGCATATCATCACTTAAAAAAATGGTAATAAAATATGTGCAATTCAATACCCTCAAAGCGATAGAACCATTCCCATTTTACAAAGAATAAACATTTATACTTTATCTGATAGTGTACTGGGTTCTATACCGTTTTTTAATACAAATTAAAAATTGATTTTAAAGTAAGTTCGTATACCTTGATTTTTATAACATTTTCTTGTTATACAATTCTGAACACAACCTTTGATTATATTGGATGAAATATCCTTCTATTAGGCTATTACACTTATGCAGCTTACATTCCAGCTTACAGTAGTTATAAACTTTAAACTACCAATTTTTAATGATTTAATTAAAAAAAATTTTGGATTCTATCTTATTATTATCTTAAGCTTATTATTATCTTCATTATATGTAGTTTTACTAAAATTTTTGTACATCCCTCGAGTGGGATGTTCATAACCAGTAACAATATGTCCAAAATTTCAACTTGTCTTTTGTAATAACTTCATATTTACATATATTTATTTCATTCTTTAGAGCAAGTTGTAAAATAGTTGTAATATCCATTAATGTGTATAAATTATTTTCATGGCTTTAAAATACTTTGCAATAAGTTATCCCTAATAAGTTCTGTGATTTATTGACTTCATCAGGCACTAATTCTCTCTCAATCGACATCCTAAGGCCTGAACATTCATAATTCTTATGGTTATCTCATCCACACCTGCTTTCAGAGAAAACCCCAGGAAAATCCGGGTAACGCCTCCGAATTAATTGAAACCGCAGAACAAAACAGTTTGCCTGTCGAGTCTGCCACGACCAATCTCTAGAACGAACCCCCAAAAGTACCAGTACAGATAGACAAAAAAAAAACACAGATGCGTCTAACATAAAAAAACAAGTGATAAAAAGAAAAAGAGAACCCAAAAGCAATCCCCCGCAAATCCCAGACAAATGTGCTGGCGAAAGAGAATAAAAATTTACCAATACTTTGTGCTTTTTTCATGTAAATATGAATGGAAATGAATTACAAGCGAAATAAATGTACGAAAAAATTGCATAAAACAAAGCGAAACAATAAAAAAGGTTAGCCGCAATGTGTGGTGTGGGTGTGAAAGTGAGAAAGAGACAGAGCTAACCTGGCTTTCGATCCGGATTTTTTTGGGATTGGGTGTTGGGTATTTTTTTTGTGGTTTTCGGTAGCACACAGTAGCAATGTTGACATGTTCCAAATGCAATTTTAACAGGATTTGCAAGGACACATTTGCACAAAGTGACAGAAAAACGCAGCGCAACAACAAAGTCAACTTTGTCAACCCCATACTCCTCACCCCTTATAAATATTCCTGCACTTGAAAAAATGTCTTCTATTCGAAACGTGATATGGGTTTATTAATACCTGGAAACAAATAACCCTGATAGGCCTGATAGCACTATATAATATTCAATTTAAATTGAGCAAACTCTTTTTGAACAAACTTTTGCTAGTAATCTGCGTGCTAGTAAAATTTAAAAGATTTTGTTAGTTAATATTATTAAACATATTTTTTTATTTAAGTACCCTCCCAAAGAGAAACAATGATCCTTGATTAAACATTGTTTTTTCTAGTGTAAGCCTGGGTGATGTGCGTGGCTGGCATAACTTGCGGCTTAAAGGGATCAACTTGTCATGTTTTTGTCGTCGGCATTGATTTTCCACTTTCCACGACCTGCGACCCAGCCAGACCACCACCCACCCCCTGCAGTTCCGCCCCTTCTCCGGTTTTCCGAACGGTTCGGGTCATCCGATGTGATGTGGTCTTAACGCTTCATCAATATGCTTTCCCGACGTCGCTAATTTTGCGCTTTAGTCAACCTCTGATCCAAGTACGTTTGGCAGATTTATGTCTCATCTATGCGGACTTTCTCCCCAACAACCGGAAAACAAGTGGACATCGGGCCAGCCTTTGCCATCTCTCTGAATTCGGGTGCATGTGGGTGTGTTTAGTGTTAATCCGTCAATGATAAGCTCAATTTGTTGTGGTCACTCCAATGACAATGGGCCGTTGGCCCCCTTGGTTGGTTTTTGGGTTCTAGTTAAGGATGGGAAAAAACCATTAAAGTCGAATGGCT